GACAGGGACAGAGAAATTAATTAATTAGTTAGCTGATTAATTAATTCATTTCTCTGTCCCGGCCTGTGATGGTTTCTGAGGTATATGTCCCGGTCTATGATGGTTTCTGAGGTATCTGTCCCGGTCTGTGATAGTTTCTAAGGTCTCTGTCCCGGTCTGTGATGGTTTCCGAAGTCCCTCTGTCACTGTCTGTGATGGTTTCCGAAGTCCCTCTGTCATTGTCTGTGATGGTTTCTAGAGACTCCATACATAATAATATAGACCGTAGTAGAGANGATTGTTTGTAAAAGTAAAGATTGAATATAGGTTGAGTTTATTTTTAAAGGATCAAGAAGTGTTCATTTTATTTAAGTAACTCACACTACTCTGAATGAGCGCGCGAAAAAACAAGAAAATTAAATTAGTAAAACAAGCACATATTTAGATGTGTATACATATACAACAAGCATCAAAATAAGATACAAAGGCAATGCTGCCGTCACAGAGAGCATTGAGATAAATGAAAAATAAGAAATAAAATTTTTTTTGTTTTGGTCACTTATTTGAAAAAGAAATCAAAATTATGATCAATTAGAAAATACTTCGCTAAATTTAACTCATAGACAAAGTTTCCATATCGTTCATATAACTTTATTTGCATTTTGATTTTCAAAAATTTTTTTTTCTTGTCTTTTCTTGCCTTCGCTTTCTTTTGTGTCTATTTTCTCTATCTTTAATTAAATCTATTATTCCAATCTCAACTAAATTCTCATCTCAGCTGTACCATAATATATTCTTTTGCTCATATGATGTAAACGTAAAAATCCAGCCTATATTAATTATCTTAATCAACCAGACATCTTTCTTTTTAGAATGCAATACGTGGATATCTATGAAAAAGTTGTAAACTAAAAAAATGAATTGCTGGGCTAACGTGTCTTATCTTTATGTGCTATCGCAGACAATTGATCAAGCATGATGCAAGAGAATAGAATCAGATCGAGTAGCTAACTAGTAAAAATTTTGTCCTAGGGGGTTTTTTCTTCTCGAATATTGATTATTATAAGGAAGTTGTTTGTGATTCTACAGAATCTACTGTCCTATCGAACTGGAGAGAAACTAATCAAGTCCTAGACTTTCTTTATTTTTGTTTTGATTGATAGAATTCGTTATTATCGATGGTATGTTGTTAGTTTTATATTTCACTATTCAACTGTAAAGACACAATCTCATTTGAATGGAATAAAAGACTAGAAAAAAAAGAAGTTTTATTTATCAACGATCAATAGTTTTATAACGACGTGCTAGAACAATTCTTTTGTTTACTTATGGTTTTTCTTAGATAAACGAATAATAAAAGTACTTCCGTTATTGCATTAAGTATAAGCAATCTCCAACTCGTTTTCCTCCCTAAGGAGATTTTATCGGTCAATAAAATCTCAAATTGATTCACATGGCAAATTTACATTTTTCTTTTTCAGCCAAGTTCGTATTGAAATATAGCAAATAGCGGATATCCAGTTTTTAGATAGTAGTCATTTTGTCAATACCCAAATGTCACATTAACGTGGACATTTTTATTGCTTTCATCTCGATGAAAAATCGATCGAGTTTATATGTGTTAGCGTGATCTTACCGATGTGACTTTTCGTTCAATATTATTTCTATCAGCTATTCCATTTATTGTATTCAATAAACATGCTGTATAATAGAGATTATTATCTATCTATTCCGTATCTATTACTCACTAGTTTCATATTCTTATTTGCACAATATCAAAAATGTTATTCACTTGCTACAGCAGATTCAACTCCATCATCGTCGTCTTCGTTCTTGCACGAAGGTCTAGCAAATATTACTCCTGAGACGTCCGATGAACAACGTCTTTTTTATAAAATAATGACAGGCTATGAAAAAGCGGTAAGACCATTGAAGAAATCATCTCAAGCTGTTGTTGTTAAACTTGGTATAACGCTGACACAAATTTTAGATATTGTAAGTCATAGGAACAGCTAAGAGAACAATTGCTTATTCTTGTATTATTATTCATACGTAGGATGAACGAAATCAAATAATGACAACCAATATTTGGCTCGATCAGGTAGAATTATTATGAATTTTCTTAGAAATTTCACGATTATTTTTCTATTCGATCAGTTACACTAACCACTACTCCCCCTCATATTTTCTCCCAGAGAAAGTCTGTAATAAGTTACATGTCCAATTAAAATGAGCATACTTCATGATGAAAGAAAAACCTGTTGACATTACAAGCGAAACCAAGGTTGTAATAAGAAAGAGAATGCATCTTTTTCTCCCACTACTAAACAGGAATGGAACGATGCATATTTAAGATGGAGTCCAGCAGAATTCGGTGGTTTAAAAAGAATACGTATACCTTGCCGTCTACTATGGTTACCTGATATTGTATTATACAATTCAGCAGATGATTATACACAAGGATATATGCAATCATTAGCAATGATTGATTATAATGGTACTGTCTTTTGGCCACCTATTGTTAAATTTCGATCGACTTGTAAAATAGATATCACTTGGTAAATTTTCATTCAGAAAAACCTAAAAAAGCAGCACACTTATCTCTTAAAATTAGGTTTCCGTTTGATGATCAACTATGTTTCTTAAAATTTGGCTCTTGGACATACGATTCTACTCAAGTCATATTAACAAATCGATCAGGAAATGTTGATACGAATAATTATGTTGATAATGGTATAGTTTATTTTTTGATTTGCAATTTCTATCACATAGTTATTGTTCTCTAATAAAAAAAAGGTGAATGGAAATTATTATCATCTTGGTCGGTTCTTTCAACATTAACCTATCCATGTTGTGAGGAAGCATATCATGATCTAAAATTTTATTTACATATACGTCGTCGTACTCTATACTATGTATATAATGTTATAATTCCATGTGTTATGTTATCGGGATTAACATGTTTAACCTTTTATTTACCAGCCGAATCCGGTGAAAAAGTTTCATTGGGTTTAACTGTTCTTCTTTCGTTTTCCGTTTTTATGTTAGTCATTGCTGAATCAATGCCAGCTACAAGTGAATTCATTCCTTTAATTGGTAAATTCATTCCAGGATATTTTTTGATTTTCCTATATTTTAATTTTCTTGTTTTGAAGGCATTTACTTTACATTCGTCATGAGTTTAACAAGTGTATCAGTTCTATTGGCTGTTGTTTTACTTAATGTTCATCTATATGGTTCCGCTTTGAAACCCGTACCACGTCGATTACGTCATATACTTTTCTTTCGTGTAGCACCGTTTTTACGTGTAACATTACATCGTATAACACCAAGAAAGAATAAACGAAATACTCCCTGTACACCATCATCGCGAAATTCGACAACGATTTATAACGCTGTTTTTCTTAATGACAACGATTTGTCAACCAATTCTCAACCATCACCATCACATACGCTGCATTCAACAACAATGACTTCCGATTCTAATGTAAAAAATGTACATTCCATGCCATCTATATCGAATTTACAATCGAAACCACAATCGTTACAAGAATGTAAACGACTTCTTTATGAACTCAATCGCCTTATTATTCGTGCCGGTGAAACACGTGAGGATGATTCTATTATACGCGACTGGCAAAATATTGCCTTAGTTATTGATCGTTGCCTGTTTTATGCATATCTTCTATTAACAACATCAGTAACAACAGGCGCATTAATTGTGGCACCATTGATGAAAACTATTCCAATACCGCCATCCTACTTTCGATTGAATATGACCGGAGCATAATTTCTTGGCCTTTTTTTCGTGATTATCTAATATTTCAAAAGAAAAAATATCAAGTACATGCATCCATCGTCAACTGTAAATATACACGAGCCCAACATAGACCTATGGTACGGTTTGAAACCTTTTCGATCATCCATCTAAGTTGAATTTCGATTGAATATCGAATAAAATAAATTTTGTACTCTAATATTCCATAATATCTTTGACTTAACTTTTAATAAAAACAAACGATCAATGAAATAACAGATTAAAAAATAGTGTCAATAGAATAATAGTTAATAATAGTTATTATTATTGTATTGATTAGGATAGTGCTGTTGTTGTTGTTGTTGTTGTTGTGGATAACCTCGACTTGAATTGGGACGATTTCGATTTTGATTATCACGTTGTTGATTGTAATAACCATAACCTGATTGACCATATTGAGATGCTTGTTGATATTGAGGAGTCAGATTATTTCGTTGTGATGACGTCGACGGCGGTGGTGGTTGTTGTTCTTGTGCATATTCGCCTTGTTCGTCGTAATATCCTTCCTAAAAGAAAAATTCCATTTAATGAAAAACAAAATTCAACAAAACCAATGAGACATACTTCGTATGGTTCAATATCATCGAAATTCAAGTTTTCCGGCTCATTAAAACCTTCATACATAATTGAACATTTTTGAGTTTCGTACATAATGCTCATTACAATAGCAGGATAATACTAAAATAAAATAGATATTGATGTTTTAATAATAATAATAGTATAGTTATTCTTACTTCATTATCTTCATAGTATCGAGCTAATACTTGATCGCCGACTTCAAATTCGAAGATTTGTTTCTAAAATAATCAACCATTTTTTTCTCTTTTAATTTAAAGAAGATAGAATTTACATTAACAGCACTTGATACTTGCGATTGATTAGAAGCAACAATAGCAGCAGCAGCAGCGACAGTAGGAGCGGGAATATACTTTGGTTTTGGATCGATCTTTTGAGGTTTTGACTGGGCTTTTTGTGTTAAAGCTATAGAAGAATGTATGTTTAGTTTTTACTTAAGAATCAAATACAAAATCTTACAAGCTGGTTTCGCTCCAAAAAAATCGAATAAAGTTACATCTTTACTTGGACGTGTTTCTTCACCACCATCATCATCATCACGTCCTCGACCACCACGTCGATTACGTCCAAAACCTCCGCCACGTCTTGGTCGACTATCATCATCGTCAAAGCCAGGTTTAGAAGGTGGTTTACGATCTGATTGCCCTCGTCGTTTATCTTCAGCTGTAGGTTCATCTGCTATTTGATTTTTCGCCCATTCTGGTACTAAAATAAGAACGATAATAAAAAGTTCAATTCAATTCAAAATCATTTATTTACATCGACTATTAGCTTTAATTGCTTCAACCGATGCTGCCATATTCGATGGTTTATTAGAAGCTGTTGATGAAGAAAGAGCTGCAGATGCTGTTTTTGGTCTTTCAGTGACTACTCTTTGACTTGTTTGTTCAAAACATTTTTTTACATTTCTACCGTTCATAACATTTTGTTGAGCAAGTGTTTGTGTTTTTGATTTTTGACCAGTAAGAAGATTATCAATAGCAGCACGACGTTGACGAACAAATTCTGGATCTTCTTCAGTATTTTGTTGCACTTTAGCTACATCCATCGAACGTTTAGACGTGTCAACTATACACAATAATGATGAGTAAAAATAACAGAAACAAAAAAAGATGTATACCACTACCTTTAGTTGTTGATGCATTTCTAGTACCAAATGGTACCCATGGCGGGGGTGCACCTTCTCCAATTAATGTTCGAACATGTTTACCCATTAGCTAAATTCAAGAATTAATTTTTCTAATTAATATCTTATTACAATACGAACTTTATTAAGTTTCCATTTATGAACAAGTTCATTTACCGTACCACCAAGTACTTCACAGGTTTGATCATTTAATATATAAAACCCATTTAAAACTTTGGTCTTTTGTTTTAATAAAATTTTAACACCTGGTGGTGTGTCGAAGCTAAAAGTTGAAAAAAAATTTCTTTTTAAAGAAAAAATTATATTTAATTATTTACTTAAAATTTCGTAATGATGGTAAAACAATTGCATTTTGAAAAGCGTGTCCATCTGTTATTGTCAATCGATAGAGATGTGGTCGATTTGATGATCCTTCGTTGTCTTTTGGTGCTGTCACATTACGAGTTTTATGCAATTGGATGATATACGGTTTTGTTGTCTAAATAAATTCAACTTTAGAGAACTCAACTGATTCTTTCGTTCATACTTGATCAAGTTTTGTTATTTCGGGTAAACATTTTTCTCCGGTGTGCCGTATATCACTCTATAAATTTACGAAAATTAAAAGATAACCAGCAAAGTAATTAGCCTTACATCAAGTAATTGTTTTTTCATAAATTCAAATGATTGTTGATTTCCTTCGAAAAATTCCATTTTTACTGACCATCCCAATTTATTTAATTGATCTTTCACATTCATTTTTTGAATAAATCTGCAAAAGAAAAAAATGAATTATTTTGACAATTATAAACATACATGAGTTAACATTTGTGCAGAGAGTACTTTATCTAAGGTAAACTAGTACTCAATTAGGCTATTTTTTCTGTGGAATGGTCATCATTTGTAAAAAAAAATGGTTTTCAAGTAGGCGATCATTCATTGGTCGGATAGAATCTCAAATGAAATAATTATTTTTATTAAAAAAATAATATGAATTAAAAATTCTCAGTGAGCTTTGCAAATCAATGTGTAAGGAGTATGCAAAATTTTGGTTTCATTCTCAAATTTGATAACGTATGGTACGATAATCTTGATAATATCACTAGTGGCGACATTGCAGATGGAGTGAGGTCATCGTAAATCTCACTGTGTTCTGTTCGTTTTAATTAGCTGATTACTGCACTTACTTTAAAGTGTATATTTATAGGAGTAAACAAGTAAGTCTATTCATTTTTAGAATGAAGTATTGCACTAATCAATATATTGAATTCATCATGTATCAATTGATCTGCGAAAAATGAATGAGTTGCACGTTGAATTTATTTCCTCAAACTCTTTACATGTATCTTTCTGTGTCACATGTGTTTTATTGAAGTTTAAAAATAGATTTCTACATCATGTATATAATATCAACATAGAACTCTTTTAAACTTCTATCACGTGCTGAAAAATGTTCAGAATATAGTAGCGTATATTGATTATTTTTTAGCTTTTGAAATTTCTTGTGTTAAATGAAATTTGTAAGCATCAAATGTATTCTGTAACAGCATAGCTACGGTAATGGGCCCAACTCCACCAGGAACCGGTGTGATAAGACTTGCACGCTTCCAAAGCAAATCAGTTTGTTCAACATCACCTTGAACTTTCATTTTACCTTTATGAACATTCCCTGTTACTGTAATTCCTGCATCAATTACAATAGCACCTGACTTAATCCAATTTGCCTTCACTAGATTTGCAGCGCCAGCACAGCCGACCACAATATCAGCCGCTTCTACTTTGGCCTTTAAATCAGTTGTTTGCAATGTGCACATTGTGATGGTACTACCACGAGTTGATAGAGCCATTGATAATGGCACACCGATCGTTATTGATGCGCCAACAATACAAACAAGTTTACCAGGTAATTTGACATCATAGAACTGTAGTATCTCAAGTATACCACGAACAGTACAACAAATGTATGAGAGACGTGAAAACTTTGAATTTGACGCTGATGTTAAAGCAGCTAGTTGATAGGAATGTAAACCGTCAACGTCTTTGTCTAACCTAATTGTATCCAATATACGTCGATGATCTAGTGCTTTAGGTAATGGCAACTGAACCAGAATACCATCGATCTCAGGATCATTATTCCAATGGTTTATTTGTTGTATAATTCTATCTTGTAGTTTATTGAATGTTTTCCATTCGTGATCTTTTATTTCTGTTACATGACTAGAGAAGCCCATACTTACAGCTTGAATAACTTTCTTTTGAACATATAGAGCAGCATCTCGACGATTACCAACAAGCAGGCAAGCTAGGCCTGGTGGGCGAGATTTTATGCCCGCTTCCATGGCATGAGCTTGTAATGCTTTGATTTCAAGCGAAATATTGGTTTGACAACGTTGGGAAAATTCAATACCATCAACACGAATAGCTTTATCACGTCCGAGACATTTCATGTGCCATGGTGTTACGAGTGGTGTTATCTTATGTACAAAAGCATGACGAGCTGCATTATAGGCTGGATCTCGAAAATTTTCTGACATTTTTGCTAGTTCATCCGATCGACATTCTGCCAATTTTTCGTAGAATAATGAATCACTTTCTTGTGTTTTCTTCTGTATCAAATCGCTAAATTGATCACTTGATAATAATGCGTTTGAAATATCTTGAATTTTATCGAGTAGTCCACTTGCTGTTTCACTTAAAATACCGTCAATCAAACCAATTTCGTGTGCTTGCTTAGCTGTAACGGGTAGGCAAACTTCTGTTATTTCGTATGCCTTCTTATAACCAACGCGGCGCGGTAGATTATAAGTCCAATATTCACTGCCAAACAGACCCATTCCACGATAGTGTGGATTTAGAATTATTTGAGAATTCGCATATACATAATCAGCTGCTAATGCCATCATGATGCCTCCGGCTCCTGCACTACCTTGCAGTGCTGAGATTATCAGTTTATTTCTTATTGACATGATCTTGAATACAACATCATCAATTGCATTAATATTGGCCCAACTTTCGTCGTACTTATCTTCGGCAGCTTCAATCACGTTCAGATGAACACCATTACTAAAATACGTAGATCCACCACACAATACAATAATTTTTGCATTGCCAATTTCCGAAACTTCATCTAACGCCCGCAGAAGATGTTGACACTGTGTTGTTGACATTGCACCATTATAAAAAGAGAAGTGTAGAAAGATTATGTTGCCTTTTTGTGTATAATAAACTTCATTAAAAGTTGCATTAGTAGGTACAGTAGTGAAGCCGATAGTTAGGTACGGTAGAGTAGCCAAACGATCACGATCCAGTAACATTGTTGACGGTAATTTAAAAGTACTATTTGTTGCACGTTTCATATGTGTTATCCAAACGAGTTCCTTGCCTCCGTTACATGAAACTAAAATAGCACCATCACGTTGCCCCAGTAACTGTTTCCCTTGAGTACCAGGTGGTGTCTTTATCAAATTTTCAATATGTGCACCATACAAATACATTCGTTCTCCAAAGAGTTTATCATCTAAGACCTGGATTTGAATCACGTGCAGATATTTTCCGAACGACAGTTTTTGCATCGTCACACTCCCAATTGATAGAACAATCAGAATGTTTCATTGTTGGTTTGAGTGTTCCCTTGACAGCAGGATTTGAATAGTCCAGTGGGATTGGTTGAACTTGTTTCACAATATTTGTTATGGCTTGATGAATAGCTTTTAGTGCAGCAGGTACAGCATGGTTACGATAAATTTTTGATTTTGTTAATTCAGCTGGAAGCAAAGTATCTAAAGGAAAATTTTGTGTTCCGTAAATTGGCCCTGCATCCATTTCTTTCGCGGCTTCTACTACCGTAACACCCCATTCTGCTTTTTGTTCAAGTAAGGCCCAATCTATGCTATGCATGCCACGATCGCCAACAATACCCGGGTGAACAATCAATGTTTTGAATTTTGTATATAAACTTTCAGGTACAACTTTCGTCAGAAATGGACATATAATGAAATCTGGTTTTAATTCAGTTGCAACCTGTTCCATTTGTTCGGATGACAAAGCTAATTCAATCATAACAGTATGACCCATTCCTTTTAGCATCAAATAAGCAGCTTGTGACATGGAATTGTGTGCATTTGTCAGAAATAGAATACGTAACTTCATTTCAGCTATGCTTTGATATTCTCCTTGGGATTTTCTAACACTTTCATCCAGTTGATATTCATTATTTTGATATTTAGGCACTCCCTCTTTTAGTTTATCTTGTTGAACATATTCATAATAGCTGAGATTTATAGTAGAAGTAGACCTAATANTATTCATTATTTTGATATTTAGGCACTCCCTCTTTTAGTTTATCTTGTTGAACATATTCATAATCGCTGAGATTTCTAGTAGAAGTAGACCTTATACGGTTTATAGAGGAAGATTCCGAGTGAAATCCGAATTCTACCATATGAAGTGGGCGCCATGCTCGTGTATGAAACAATACTTGATAACCGTATGTTGTAATCGGACGAAGTTTCATGTAAGATAACATTATTTTTGTCTACAAAGGCACAAAAGAAAAAAACAAAATATTTGAGGGTGTGGGTGCAACCACACCCACACTATGGGCGTCACCATCAAAAAAATTGTCGGGGGGGGGGGGGGGGGGGGGGGTAGGACTGTTGGTTTAGTCATCATAACTTCATTAAGATTTGTTAATCCACTTNCCCCCCCCCCCCCCCCCCCCCTAGACCCCCTGGATACGCCCCGAACCCACACCCACCCTCCGGCCGATTGTGTATCGAAAATGTAAAAAAAATTTACAAATCTTTAATACATAATGTCCTGTTCTCTTTTTTAACTAGTCCTACCGATCGCCAGTATCATAACCTAGGGATTTGCCCAGTAGCTGGGTGTCAATCCTCCTTTGAATCAACCGAAGATCTAGGCTTGCACATCGCTGCTAATATTCATAATATTTTTGAAGAAGAACATCAAACATCTAATGATATAGTACGTCTGCATCTTATAGAAACCGTTCGATCTACGATAACTAGTACAATAAGTCAAACAACAAAACTTTTTGAAGATCAGCTAACTCAACATACTAGTTTTAATCAATCACCTAGTTGTCGCTACTTCTCATATGCTGTTTGGGCTCTCAGAAAACGCAAACACAATAATCCATTGACGAAAAAAGTAAAAGACTACATTGAGAAAAGATGGATTGAATCACAAGATAATAATACTAAGGCTTCTGTTGGTCAAATTCAAAATGAAATTCGAACATTGAGATCCAACACAGGTAGCAACATGTGCGAAATGTGCGAATATCCAACCTTAAACCAAGTTAAATATCAATGTCGAACACTAACTAAAAAGTACGAACTCCATACTAGACAACAGCTCATTGAAGAACTGGCTGAAGATGGCATTGAAACGATAAAATAACATAAATTACTTTTCGCTTATTTACGCTTCTATTTCAAATATTTTATCATTAGTCAATATTTCAATAGTCACATATTATTAATAATATTCATTCATTTTATTGTATGTTTCCATTTTTTATCGTTTTTCCATTCAATACTCATTCATTAGTACGTAATACATGAAAAAAACATACTTATCATGCTGCCTTTTTTTCGTGTATCCTTGTTCTTGTTTCAATCAATTAACGATATTGACGAAGTAATTAATCATTACAAGTATACTCCTCTAGTGAATGTATTCATCAAGAGAATACTCAAAAAGTACTCACGTTAGAAAATGCCGCGAGAACTCATGAGTACTCGGGGTTTAGAGTATTCATTAGTAGTACTTGTGCTGGGATCTGAGTATCTGAGTACGACTATTGCGTACTCGCCTTATAAAATTGAGTGTTTCGAGAGTACTCATCATGAATTCCTTGAGTACTCTGGTGGGCTTTTCGTAAAATACTCAGACCTATATTTTGTTTAGCATCCTGAGGGTGTGGATGTGGGTTGTATAGTATAAATAGGGAAAAAAAGAATAATAAAGAAAAGATTAAGATTCACATTAGGAATCGTAAATAGAAAATTTGTTGTTGATTGGCTAAGTAGAAATATAAATTTCTATTTTGTGAATTGATTTAAGTTACAACGGGGCCTCTTTAACACTTCCTATCTCAGTTTTTTCAATATCTTCATATTAAACACAAAAAATGCATGTTTATCTTTCCTCATTTTTACTCTCATTAGTATCCACACTGCTATATTGTAAAAATCAAACACATCGCTAATGTAAAAATATCGATGATCGAATAAGACTACTTATCAGCCGATATCAAAATGCTTATTTTTTAATGTGAGTCTGCAAGAGGTATTACTGTGTATATGTCACAGTTGACATGAGAATTTCAGTTGAGATTGGAATGCGCGAAGAAAATAATGAACCGAAAAAATATACTTTCCTTTTTTCTGCTCGTGATAATATATTATAGAAAAACAGAATAGAGAAGAAATATTCCTCAGATAAATTCAATGTCGCCATGCCCCCATAGTTAAAAAATACACAGAGAGCCAATTAATCATACAGATAAAAGCACATAATTTATTGTTCTCAGATAAATTCAATGTTGCCATGTCCCCATAGTTAAAAAAAATAGGCAGAGTTGCATTATTTAAAAACTCATTGTAAAAAGATGCAAGGAATAATTCTCAATATAAAAATTTCTAAAGTCAGATCTCAACGAAAATTCTATTAAAAAAATTAAGAAAAAAACTATTCCACACTCAACTAAATTCCTAACTCACCTGCCACATATATATAGGCGTTACATAATTTTTTTTCTAACATAAAATGTTTACCTGAGTCAATGACGTTACATATTTTGTTTTCTAACATAAAATGCTTACCTGAGTCAATGAAGTGTGACTCTAATTTCGCTACTACTTATTTTCGCATATAAAAACATTGTTTCATGTACACCGTAAATTCACCAAATAAATGATCCATATTTTCCTTTTGAGGGTGACTAGTGCAAAAAAAAACGATAGTTATCTTACTATTTCTTTTCATCAAGTTAGCGCGTAGGTGACTGAATAACCGAATAAAATAAAATAAATGGAAAAATGTGAAAGATGTATAAAATAAAAGATTGTACTAAAGTTATTGAGTTCAATTGGGAAAACGGATCAATAGAAAATGTTAATCAGATCTAGCCATAATAGAGCAAAAGTGAATGAAGAATAATTAAATTTGTCAAGCAATTAATGAGTTCAACGTAATTTAGATTAACGATAACGTTGAGCCAATGTTCTTAATTACGCGATAGGAATCAAAAAATATATACAGTGATGATGTTGAAAGTATATTTCATTTCTCAATCTCAACTTTTACTCCATATACAACATTTCAAAAAGATGTCTCAAATCGAAAAACTCATTTTTGAAAAAGGAAAGCCACTGCTCTGCCATAAAAGTTACATCTCCACTGTAGAACGTACCACAACGACAAAATTGATTTTTCGTTGTCAAAATCGTGATTGTAAAGGTAAATTCACTTTGAATATCATCAATCAATTAATTCAAGTAAAAACGATTTATTAATTACGCACGTTGTCATACCAATTTATCCATGGACGCATTTCTCTCCCGACCAACGAAACATTGTCATGCTCCATATCCTGATCGTTTTCCAGCTTTCCAATTAAAGAATGAAATAAAAACTCGCGCTGTGATGACAGATGAATCATCCAGCTCAATTATTAATTCAGCCTTACGCACATACCCATTGAGTGCTGCTGGTAGAGTCCGTCGGGTCTTAGTATTTCTGAGCCTGAATCCGGACCCGGACCCACCCGAATAATTTTTTGGACCCAGATCCGGACCCGATAAATCAAAAAAAAAAGTCCGATCCAAATATAACTGATTGATCAATTACTTTTTTCGATTCCAATTCTACTCGTGAAAATATTAAGATATTTTTTAATTAACTTTAATAGATATTTTGAAAATACAATGTTTTTCTTGAATTTTGCGTTCGACTAAGAGTCACCGTCGATGACTCACCGACTAATAGCACACTCGAATGTTTATCTAATTCATTAATGATCTATAAAAATTCAATTATAATTGGTTCTTTTTTTTCGCTATTTGCTCTCGATAGAAGAGACAATGTACTTAATAAGTGTTTGTTTATATTATTTCTTGTGTTAGATAAGTATACAATTACGAACACGAGTTGTTTTACTTTTTATTGTGTATATGCATGAAAAATTTACCAAAATAATATGGATTTATTCGAAAAGAAGAAAAAATAGCCGATTTGATAAAGAATGAAGATAAATCAATCACATTTTACAAACCGAAAAAAAAGTCTTAAATCATCGCCTGTATGGGAATCTTTTAATATTGTTGTTATTAATAATGTTAGACAAAAAATGGTGTGTTGCGAAAAATGCAAACAATTGTTGGCATATAGATCCAGAGATGGCACAGCATCTTTAGCTAAACATAAACGTTCCTGGCAAGCGACTGATCATGCTTCTGATACTGATAATACTTCAGCCAAAGATTTAGTTAAACAAACACAAGTTACTGAATATTATTCTTCAAAAAAATCACACAGTGTACCAAAAATAATTCGGGAAAAAGTGAAAATTGCCTGCACAGAGTTTACTGCTTTAGATTCACGTGCATTTGAAACGGTAGCTGGTGATGGATTTCTAAAAATGATTCAATCTATTTTTGATGCTGGTCGATATTTTAGTCCTACATCAAACGTTAGTGTAAAAGACATCATTCCATCGCCTATCACGGTAAATAGACTATTTTTAGTTCTACAAGCCTATATTATTACTAAATTCTTCTTTTTATACTAGATTAATCGACATATTGATCAAACGTATGAAAACAAAAAATTGAATTGAGAAATTTGTGCTTGAACGTTAAAAGCTATTGCATAAGATGCGATTTTTGGACCGAGCGGTACTCAGGTAAATTGCCTCTTGCAACCACTTCATGATAAAACAATCAATCGTATGTCTCATCGTTTTATATCACATTTTGGTATTAGTGATTGAGATAACGCTGTTTCAACCGTATATTAATTAGATTTTAAGACTAAGAAAAGCATGTAAAATCTTTTTTTCGAAGTACTTTTATTGATAAGCATAAATTGTCTTTTTTCATCTATGGAGTATTCGTTAATCAATTAAAACCTATCTGAGTAATGGATTAAAAATTTTCTATTGATAATTTCGAATTACTAATATAGATAATTATCAAAAAGCATTACATAAGATATTTTTGTGTCTATAATGTAAACATAAATCTTTATTTTAATTACTTCTTATGCTGTAGGACTTTCCTATTGTGGCTTGGCACTAAGATTCGTTACAAAAGATTTTACACTACATAACTTTATTCTTGGTTGTATATTTTACGACGCTGACTCACAGTCGGCTAATAACATTCGTATGTTTGTTGATGCTCAATTGTTATCATTTGGACTAACTTTAAATAATAAAATTTTCGCCGTAACAGATAATGAAAATAAAATGCGTGCAGCATTCAAGGAAAAATGCACACGTATAGGCCGCTCAATTCGTTATCTCAACAAACAGTTGGAACATTCGTTTACATCAGAAGAAATCGAAAGAACATTTGTTAGATGTAGTAAAATTCAAAACTTATTCGACAATGTGAAAAAAGTTGGAACACATGTACGTAGAAGACATCGACAAGTGAAGCTTAAACAAAAATTACAATTGTATTTAGACACTAGTTTTAATGGCACATTTTATATGATGAACGTATTTCTTAATGTTTACGATGATATTGGTAGTGTTTTAAATAGTGGATATATTGATTATTTAACTAGTGTTGATAAGGACTTATTGAAAGAAGTGTGTCGATTTTTAATTGTTTTTGATAATGCTATTGATCAATTAAGTGCAGAAGAAAGGCCAACTATGCACCAAGCTCTTCCGATTCGTCAATTATTAATTGATCATTGCGAAGTTAAATTCGAAGATAGTTCTGAACTAAAAGAACTAAAGCTTTTTCTTTGTACGTGAATATCAAAATTTTTCTACTAAAAAATAGATGACCAGCTGACTTATTTAAAACAAAGTTTTATAACATCAGGATTTGTTGTCTGTCAAAATCATATAATATAAAGGGATATATTTTATATTTCTTAAAGATGGAAATTTAAATCTAATTTTTAAAAGAGAACTTTATATTATTTTAGGTGAACGTATAAAATCTGTTTGGATTCTACAAGATCAGCATTACATTTTTACTTTTCTTCATCCTCGTCTAAAACGCTTTGATGCAGCACCATATGAAAAAGATATAGCGTTTGATTTAGTTAAATGAGAATTATTAGCACGTACATCGATATCATGTATTACAACGGATACCGCTTCAAAAGCAGTGACTACTAAATGTATCAATTACAAATGATTCAACAACACCGGTTAATCCGAATAACCTATTAGCTTGTTGTTTTGATAAACCACGACAAATAGTTAGTTCAGTTATGACACCAGTAAAGGAATTAAATGACTACATGGAATCGATTGTACCGCACGAATAAAGTGACGATATCCTTTTATCTTTGAAGAATCATGAAAAATCATTTCCAACTTTATCTGAAATTGTATGTGATCTATATGCAATACCTGCTTCGAATACCATCGTAGAGCGGTTATTCTCAGCATCAAAAAGCATTGTAACTGATCGAAGAACTAGTTTAGGCGAAGAAAAACTCAACAAATTATTGTTTCTAAAAAAAAACATTTATTTATTTTAAAAGAAATTTAAAAAAAGCAATTAAATAAGAATGAAGAACAGTCAAAGCAAGGACTGTCTATACTTGATGGTGAATCAGTCGTAATCATTGAAGATGTAGGCAGTGCTACTTCATCGCCAACATCAAAAAGAATTAAACCAAATGATGACGATGATGACGATGATGATGTTTTATATGATATTGAATATATGCATGACAGTAAAGAGCCAGATAATATATTTTTGAATTTATAGTTTTTATGTAAATTAGGTTTAAATATTATAGTCAAGAAGGGTTTTGTTATTTTTTTTTGTATTATATTCCTAAGTAAATTCGATACTTTTGTGAAACACGTTCTGAAAGGTGTGTTGAAGTATATAGGGTAGAAATTTGGGCCCCTCCCCCCCCCCCTACAGACCGGGACAGAGAAATTAATTAACTAATTAATATCTATGTCACGGTCTGTGATGGTCTCTGAATTCTCTGTCACGGTCTGTAATGGTTTCTAGAGACTCCATACATCAGAATACAAACCATAACAGAGAAGCTCCACAGACCATTAGTGACAGTGATAGACGAACTCCAGAAAAGAAGTCTCATCTTGTTTCACATTTTAATCCCACAAGGATTGCGCTAACAGCTTTGTAATAAAAAGATCACACATTGAAATTAATGATCTAAACTATATTTTTTGTATGAAACTTTCTCTTCGCATCCGCAATCGATCAGTAAAAAGTTTTCAATTGGACCCGAACCGAGACCCGACGGGCTCTAGCTGCTGGTGAAATTTCTAGAAGTGATGAACTCTCGCTCATGATTCGACGACAACGTACTACTGAAACAGTCGCTGTCAATGGTCGTTTACCAGAAACGTTGCGAAAAACGTATCGTGATGAAGACTTCATCTTACACGAAGATAAAAAATTAATTATCTTTACAACGAAAACTAATTTATCTATTCTAAAGCAAAACGAACATTGGTTCGCCAATGGAACGTTCAAAGTAAACTATCAACCACATGTCTTTTTTTCTAATTTTCTTTCATGCAGGTGTGTCCCGACGAGTATTATCAACTCTTCACATTATAGGCGATGATGACTAATGCAATTATCCCTCTCGCATATGGATTGCTAATTGGTAAAAGCAACGATGACTACAATCAATTCTTCGAAAAACTATTTGAACAAGACAATTTCCAACCTGAATCAATTATGACTGATTTCGAGTCTGGTACAATCAAATCAGCCAAAGGGATATTACCTAACGTTTTACACAAAGGTACGTTCTAATCTATTCGCCAAAAAGAAAGGATAATTAAATCGTTTGTTACAGGATGTCTCTTTCATTTTTCACAAGCGATATGGCGGCAAGTTCAAAACAAAGGATTGGCAACCAAATATAGAAAAGATGAAGTTACAACTGCATTTGACTTAATTGCCGATCAATTCGATGATAACGCCGAGGATTTACTCGATTATTTCGAAAAAACTTGGATTGGTGAACCAAAAAGAAGAGGTAATTTTTTTCTTAATTCTTAAAAAATTTGAAATATCTTCGATATTCTTAGGAACCGGTCGAAAAAGCCTCTATTTGATCACAAATTATGGAATATTCATGATCGTGTCATCGCTGCTGTACCTCGTTCCAACAATTCCGTGGAAGGCTGGCGCAACGCTTTGCTAATCGTGTCTCAATAAGTCATCCAAACATCGTGAAACTGGCAGAGAAGATTCATCGTGAACAATCGAAATTCGAAGTGGACATGGCGAAGATTCTCCAAGGTCATATTATCAAGACGAAGAAAGCCTGTTATCGAAGATTGGACGAACGTATTACTCGGCTGGTCAACGCATTCGACTCATCTCAACTGGATGAGTTTTTAAAAAATATGGCAGCCAACATTATTCTTTAAATGTTTTTTATTTGATTTTTCTTTTTTTTTGTTCTCAAATTTTTTATCGTTATGTTATGTATAATGTATAAAATAAAGACGAATTGATTGTTCAATTTCACATCTTTAAGAAAAAGAATTAATTAAGAAAGGTGAAGCGAATACATAGTGACGAACAGAACGAAAAATATTTTTCTGCGACGAATTGAACGGTCACCGGTTTAATGCGTTCCGCAGCTGTTGAATCGGTTAAAAACGCCGCGAGATGATATACTTTTCGTTTTCATTCTGAAATAGTGGCTCCCAAACGCGTTTTGAGTAAATGGAAAAATTGGTTTTACGCCTGTGTTACCATAGGAAACGCTGCGAAACACGTTAAATCGGTCAGCATTAACGTGTTTCGCAATGAATATATCTTAATTTTTTATCCCATGGGCAGACCCTCACACTGGCACCCTAAGAAACCATTTTTGGGTGTGGGTATATTTATGAACTCTTAATAAACACTCACACCCAAACCCACACCCTCAAGATGTGGCCGCTTCAATGATGCTTGTTTGTCTTTCGATGCTGTTACATTACGAGTTTTATGTAATTGAATGATATACGATTTTTCTGTCTAAATAAATTCAATTAGAAAAAAAGGATCAACATGTTTTTTCTTTCAAACTTGATCAAGTTTTGCTATTTCAGGGAGAGGTTTTTCTCCAATTTGTTTTAAATCACTCTATCATTGTACGAAAATTAAAAGAAAATCAGCAAAGCAAATATTCTCACATCGAGTAATTGTTTTTTAACAAATTCGAATGATTGTTGATTTCCTTCGAAAAATTTCGTTGTTACTGACCATCCTAAAATATTCAATTGATCCTTCACATTCATTCTTTGAATAAATCTGCAAATAAGAGAAGTTCAATGCTTTTGGCAATTAAAGAAAACATTCATATAAATAGATCTTGTCAAATAATAACACAGAATACAAAAGACTGAAATGTTCAAATTAAACCTATTCAAGACCAAGTACATAATTAACACCTTGTACAATTAATAGAATTAATGGTTGCCAAGCGACTAAATACCGAATCCAATCAAGTAGATTTCCATAGAGTACATGAGGTTTCTAGAGAAAATAAAATTCTTACTTGAATAATTATCAATTTTTTGTTTTTCTTCTATTAAGCATACCTCCCATGGATTAGGAAATAGTCTTTTTAAATCAACTTTTTCTTTACAATAAGGACATGTTTGCTTTTTCCCAACAATACACCAACCACGTATACAAAATTCATGAAATCTAATTAAAATAAGATAAGAAGAAATTAAATGAGTATGATATTTATGTACGTGTGTCCACATTGTAATTTGTATGTTTCCTCTATTAAGGCTTGTTCATTATTTTGCACCAATATTGGATTGGCACAAACGGCACATGTATTCGATTCCAATGATCGCTTAGGTAAACCTGTTTCTGAATAATACTGAAAAAACAAACATTTCTAATTGTATTTTTGTATAAAATCTCTTACTCCAATTTTTGATGCCATTCGATCAGTACATGATTCAGCCATATCTCTTCCCAATACACCATAATAAATTCCATAAAACATAGTTAATATTCCAATATCAAGAGAAGTCTAGAAGTAGCAACTAATTTCTTGAAATTATTCATCCATCTTTAAATGTTTACCTGTGGAGATATTAATAGAAGAACATTGATCCCAAGAAAAGTCATCATTAAAAGACAATAACCACCAATTGCAAGACCATAGGAAACTTTATAGACAAGAAGAAACCATTTATAAACTAATCTATAATTCGAAGAAGATTTTCTCTTTGAAAAACAAAAGATTCCGGATATTTACCTTGGTGTATTGGGTTCAATCGGTTGTCGTGTTGCTCGACATGTCACATAACCAGTAATAATTGTAAAAAATATCCAAATAATAATAAAACGAATGTAAAAGAAACGAATTGATAATCCTAATGGAATCAACCACATTCCAAGAAGAGTAAAAGACTAGAAAGAAAATTTTTTTTTATTAAAAACAAAACGCTTCTATTCGATAATTATTACTTGATAAGAACGAATATGATATTTTTGCCATACTAATAATAATAACTGAGATATAACAAGTGAAACAAGTAGAATAAGTATCATTTCCATATGCATAGCTTCATGTCCTTTATGTTTTTCATGTATAGCTTCATGTTGAACTCGAAAACGTTCTTCTCGACTAAGTTTATCAAGTTCATATGTCTGTAGAAAATATAGAAAATTCTTTTCTAATAATTAAAGTAAAAACATCTAAACTATACTTTGTTTCCTAATATGACAGTTTTTCCTATAAAATCATCATCTAAATCCATGATTATTTTACTATTGAAGAAGTCAAAACGTGGCTAAGGAAATAGCTGTTTACTGATTGGTCGCGTAGAATCTCGAATGGAAAAGATAAAAGTCGCTCTAAGTATATGGTGCCATGGGAAGCAATATTGTGTATCAGATAATGATCTGAAATGTTCCAATTTACTATTTTTCTAGTGTTTATTTTACAATACAAATTTACATCGGTAAACTAGGTTAATTTATTCAATAACATCTACTAATATTAATTTTTTCGAAGACATTTGATGATACAAGTGATACTGTCGTATCTCTCAATATCGAAGATAATGTGATAACTGGAAAATTCTTATCATTTTCTAAAGTGAATATCCGCCTTTCGAGACAATTAAATATTGATTTATCACCTTCACGAATTATATCCTCTCTACAATATGAACGGCTAATTGAAGTTTGTTTAATTAACAAAATTTCAAAAAAATTCTAAAAGTTTTCTTTTTTGTAAAGGAATCTCGACTGAACCAGCATTCCTATTATACATTAAAAATTCATTTTAAACGTCGTTCTACACAAGACTATGTGATGACATCAATGCCAATGGTATATAGTTTTGTTGAGTTTTAATTTAAATTGCAAATCATCTATTTTAGTGTCTTATTTTACACGCACATTTTCAGTATCCTATCAATTTATTTGTTAACGAAAACGGTTATATTGTCAGTGTAAATATTTTAACAAATAATTCACAGTGTAATCTATCGAATATAACTATAAGCGAACGACAAAATGATTTCGTCTATAAAGTTTCATTGCGTTTACACTTTAACGAACTTGGGCCACAGTAGGAAAAATAGAAAAATTTTGCTTTCGATCATGATGAATTATTTTACTAGGCCTGACATTCAACATTTTCTTGAAAAACTTAAACATGAAAGAAATGAAAAAATGAATACACAAGAGAATGATAACCGACCATTTCTATTCAAATACGTAAGTAGTAGAAAAACAAGAAAAAAAACAACATGTAACTGTATTTCTATTTACTTTTGGTTTTCTAGTGGAAATATATATTACCAGTTGTCGTGATTTTTGTTCTTCAAAGTGCTTTTACAGATCCTGGAGCGGGTGGTCGTTGATAGTCATTTTCATTTTTATTATTTATTTTAACATTCGATTTCTTTCTTTTGATATTTTGAATTACTTGTGTTTCTGTGCGCATACAAGTTGTTTAGAAAGAAATAAAGACTCTCTTGCTTCAATTACAGCAAAAATATATGCTTTCATTGATTCATAGTTTTTGGTAATTAATACTTGCTTGCTAATAATATTGAATTGATTGATACATATGTATGCATTCATACTTTGCTATTCATGTGTGTATTGATAAGATACATTCAAATGTAGTAAATAATATAGGGTTGATATAAAATAACTTATTCACTTAGTTTCTATTTTACTTTTGCAGCTGGGTGTTGTTCAAGGACGCTCCATGTCTATATCATTAGTATTCAGTTTGCTCGTTATTAAATATTGATTTAACATATCAATGACTAGATATTTAATTCAAATGTTTATAGTTACTTTTGATATGTATAGAAGAAGAAAAAAAGTCTCACGTCATGAATAAAGTATCAGATTAACATATTGTCGGACAGACATTACCGGCAATGGTAACTTTTTTATTATTATAGATAATGGTACATCGGTGTATAACTATCGATTACTTGTTTTCATTAAAATGCGAATCTTTAAATCAAATATTGATCGTACCTCGATCAATTTTCAACAATGAATATCAATTCATATATATATATATATATGTGTGTGATATTGTTTATACATTCGTTTTTTTCTCTCTTCACTTCTTCTTTTCTTATTCTTAGTCACTTCTATTCAGTGTGAAATCATTGCATATTAATATGCTTAGTAGTGTTACCTATATAACCCTTATTACTTCACCTATCTTGAATAACGTACAAATATACAATATAAAAAGAAACATGATTCCACTTGCATAGTTCGCATGAGGATAAAGAATTAATAATCATTCTTTTCTTAAATTCCCATTGAATAGTTTCATTTTATCTTTCAACACCGGATGTATACTTTCATTTTCTTAACGATTATCTTTACATGAACATGTATAATTTATTCTGGAAATTGTTCAACGGTGGTAAAATATGCAGAATCTATAAGTACCTTGAGCACGTTGCACATCATATTAATGAATCTATCATTATATAAGTTTTCTTATCAGACTTAAAAGAAACACATAAATTTTTTTTCGACCTTGAACAATCGCTTATTGAATAAATATTCATAAATATTTTCTGTGTTGATTAACAGCGATTACTTTTCTCACTTTACTTGTTTTTTTCTTCTTCCTCATTAAATGTGACATAGAGAAGGGAAAAAACATGTCTCAGAATAAAAAAAAAACAATTGATATCGTGCAACCACAGGATGGATGAATATGATTGGCATCTATACAGCACACACGTATGTATTCAAGTGGTATTTTACTTTTTGTTTTTATTCTTTGACATTTATAGAAACAACCAAGAAGAAGAAGTCCAGAGGCTGTTTTTGAATGATTTAACTGTTACACAAGAATGAACACTTTACGGCTCTCAAAAGTTTTATTCCGAGATGCCATACATGCACATATATTATCAAGATCGACAACCATTGATTTGATGAAAAAAAGAAGCAGCAGGAGAGAGAGAGAGAAAGAGAAGAAGGATATTAAGCTTTTTCCTTTTTTCTGCGAGCTAGGTAAAAAGAAAAAAAAATCGTACGACGAGAAATAAAATTAAAGATAAAGAAAAGACAAAAGCGGACATTACTCTCCTTAGTATGAAAGAAAAAAAAAACGTAAGTTATTAAATATTCTTTCTTTTACAATTGAATTATTCAATATAAAATAATAATAACAACAGTCTATTAGTCGTTTACGTTTTTGGCTCCAACTCGTATTTGTTTAGAAGCAAGAATCCGATCATGTTGACCTTTTGCGAGTTATTGAAAAAAAAGACCACCATTAGCATAACTAATAATAATGGTAATAATAACAAAAAACAGGGGAAAATATATCGTTAACTATTTGTCATCAAATAGGATGACATTTTTTTCCTTCATCAATTATAAAGGTGTTGTCGTCACCGGCCATAATGATTCTGATTCCGAATAAATATATTTTTTCTTAGTTGGTCTTGTTAATTCTTCATAAAACACAAGAAAAACATCGAGAAGGCTCCTATTTTTTTTCTAAGTCTATAAAAATCTATATAATCATCATAATGATGACATATCATATCATTATCGAGTATGTTATTTCGTCCATATCTCATACGTTGATCGTGAAGGATGATACGCATGCAAGTAGATTGTAGATATAAATGTACGTACATTTTTGAAGGCATAAAACGTTTTGATATAGATGTAATTTTTCGTCTACACGAGAATGACATATTTATCTAATGATGATAATCAGTGTAACGCACGAGACAAGACGATAGGAATTGATACACTTTGAAGAGACAACAAATGCTATGTCCTTCGAGTACGATCCATTAGTATTAATGATTTTGTATTGAGAAGATAAAAACAGAAACGCTAGAATATTTGTTTAAATAATCGAACGATTTTCTTCGAATGTTCCCTGACAAATTGTTAATATGTAGTAGATTTCGAAATTGATAGATTTGCAATTTTGTGTTTTTTTTTCTCCTTTATTTGGTGATTATCTTATCAAGATGTTTATCAGAGGAAATTTATTAGCCATATCCGATTCGACATTTTTATTATATTTAAAAAGAAGCTAAATCCTATTTTTATAAGTTAAATGATACACATTTGACTCGTCTTATAGTAGAATCAAGCCTTCGTTTTATTCCTTTTTGTTTTTAAAATTTATACCTTATCTATAAATCATATCTATTAGTTTTTAGGTGTAACACGATATGCCCTTGAATGAACATTATCGTTTTCGATATTCTTATAGGTAAAGAGAGAGAGAGAGAGCGAGAGAGAGAGAAGAAGAGAGGAAAAAAGATTGACTCTTGTGTGACAAAATCAAGGATTACTATCAATGAGGAAAATTTAAATTACCTTTATCTTTATCGTAAAGAATCGTCGTATGTTCAGTTTTTTATTCTAGTTATACCTTCTTCCTATTCTTTCTTTTTCTTGTGTCAATCAAGGTGACACAATGCGCTTGTGTTCTTCTTCTCGTATTCTTACTGTTTTACATATCTATTCCTATACGACAGCGAAGACAATTAGAAATAAGCCTATATCAGCTATGAAAACTTCGTATAATCATTAGCATCCTCTGCTTGAAGTCAATTGTCTCAAAAATTATTTTCTATTTGAACTAAAAGCTTCGTTTTTTTTCTCTCTGTTCTTCTTGCTATGATGTAATGAAAAATAATCGAGGACATCAATTGAACATGACAGTATTTGTGCAAAAAATCCATGAACTCTAATTCTTTGATCGTTCGATATTTTTATTTTCCTTTGGTTTTAAACAAAAATATCGTTTGAATTCGATAACTTTAAATATTTATTCAACAAAACACACCTCTTTTTTCTTAGATATGCATTCATTCCGCAGCTTTGTTTTTATTAGCGGTTGATTGAAATATCCTATATCAATGCAAAACAACAACGATGAATATTATAAACAAATTTTTCATTCAAATGTGTATTTAAATTATGACAATCATTCAATAATTAAGATCAATTTAACAAATCGATTTCGTTTATACATATTTTGTTTTTTAATTTTAACTTCAGCATCCACTGCTTTACCTATTCCTCCAGGTAAATAAAACGTTGAACATGCAAAACAAAAGAATTTGTTTCGATTCTGTTTAGTGAATTCCAACCAAGCGAATAGTCTATCGTACATACAGCAACCTTCGACAACATTTTCCATTGAAATATTTCAATTCAAAGATTCTTCGACACCATCTATCTATCCTCAACTAGATAAATATAATGTCTATCGGCATATTCCCATTGCGAGTTATTCAAATAATGCTGTCATTCAAGTCTACGACGACAAAAATCTTAATAATCAACCACAATTAAGACGCGAACGGTATCGACGTGCAATGATAGATAGAATGTTTCTTATGTTTGATGAGGATGGTTCGATTAAGAATTCTTTTGCTTCTAATTTGATTCTTTTTTCTTCTTCTATTTAGCTGATGGACAAATGACAAAAGATGAATTATATTCATTAAGTTTACGTTTAAATATTTTTCCAAAAATGCATCATTTTCTTAAACAAAGTTCAATACGGAAATAGATGACATCTCGATTATTGAATATTTTTCTTTTAGTGTTTTATGTTGTCTTATGCTACTATTTGTCTTCTTCTTTTGTTCCTATGAAATAATGTTGTTAATATAGATATATGTGAATGAATTCAGAATATTACGCTGGCAGACATTGAAAATTAAAGAGCTCCCAGTATATTAAAGTTAATCTGGATTATTATAACAAATCTGATGATCACGATATGATGCACAAGGCAGTACTATTAATGATTTTACTTGAATTACATATGTTTGTTTTTTTGAAAAATCACATGAAATATAATATGCCTGTTTTCAAGAGTTCTATTTTGAAAACATCAGGTGCGAGACCGATGGAATTCTATTCCCCGCGTGTTTTCTGGGAAGACTTTCGTCGTAGAGTCTAGGTAATCATTTATTCTAAAATTCTTAAAGAATTTGAGTTAACATTGTAATTTGATTAAGATATTCACTGAAGTTGATATAGGATCTCAAATTTTAGTGCAACTATCACTATTGATAGCTTTCCAATTTAATAAAAAACCTTCAGACGACAAATCAGATTAAAACCATACGATTGTTATCGATGATCCCTGATTGATTTCAGGTGCAACGAATGACCTTAAGATTTAATTCGAAAAATCAATCAGACCCGATGATTTTTCTCATAGTTTTCTAATCAAAAATCGATGTGAATTTCGGTACAATGAATTCTTTAACAGTTGACTGTGGCTATAGTGTAGAAGTTATAATTGGTACTTTTAGTTCTATGACATGACGTTGACAGGAGATATTCAACAAATAAGGATTAAGAATAATTCGTTTGATAAGCCGACTATCTCTTTAGGCCTTCATGGAATAGATTTATCCTGTTTTGAGAAAAAAAGCAACGCACCAACGAGAATATTATGTTGCTTTTGAACTGAAAAAATTCGGACTGCCGTCTCACGCATACGTTTCAATTTTTATTTTTCAATTATTACTCTAATATTTCATGTAACTTTGCCTGTGCGATATACACTAGTTTTACGCCCAGGGCGAGAAACCAGACGGAAAGATCGTACAAGAATCGTACGTTTGATCATATCTGATGTGATAAGATCAGACGAAAAGACGTCGTCTCTGATTTCTTGCACTAATTCGTATCAGAAGATTCTTGAAAGGTTCTGTTATCTATAGAAATATCACGACAAATTTGTATTGAAAATAAATTGTATGTGCGACCTTTAAAGAAAATACAGTATGATCCGATGCAAGATTTCAGAGACGACGATTTTTTGTCTGACGTTTATAAGATTTCGTTCAAATTGCAAGATCTTACGTCAGATTTTTCGACTTGGGCATGATTCATTAAGCTTTTGTAAAACATCTATTTGTTTAATCCGGCATAACAACTGAGCCATCAATTCTTCGAAAATTAAATATTTTCAATACGAGAAATACTACGTTCAAGAAAGTTTGTTTAACATCGAAGCACGGATTTTATTTTGAAAAAAAAACGAGAAGATATTTCTAGCAATTCTTAAAATTCGATGAGACATCATTACAACAGTCAGTTGGACAACAGCAATCACTCGTTGGTTGAGTCCAGTATTGCTTTTCGTTTGAATCAAATACACTAGAAAACGAAATATTGCTCTAGTCGAGTTTATATGTACGCATCACTATCTTACTCATTGAAGCCATTGTTACATTTGGATTGACCCTTTAGTTTTTGTTGTTTATTTGTGTTTTCATAACATTGTATGAAGAGTTCTCGATCGTAATTAATCGGGCGAGTTTTTTGCATATATGCCCAATTATTATAATGAAAACTACCGTAGGACATATTTGCTGTTTGATATCTTTCCGCTGGACGACAAATACAAGCGAAATTCATACGTGACGAACGATTCTCACACATAGGTGAATATACTGTTTTATAGAGTTGTTGAAGTGGACGGTAACAATTAGACGAACGATAGTGGCCTGCCCGTTGACCAAAACGATTGTTTGTTTTTTCCTTATTAACTTTATTACAAGAAGGAACTATTGTACAACATATGTTACTATTGTCGTTTGTTGCTGGTGGGCAATTATTGGTAGATTTGTAAGAGAGCATAATTGAAAATTAGAATCGATTAAAAACAAAAGCGTTTCAGATATCGATCGTGAATGTTAAAATCTTATTTCGAAAGAAAAATCAAGCAATGATAAAAAAAAAGTAAAATAAAAAAGCGCTTAATTATTTTGTTCAAATCAGCCTTATGATTTTGCTAGTCGCTATTAAGATAAATATTCATAGTTGATACTAAATAATAGGTAGATTCAAATTGCTGTTTGATTTCGAATGATATTAATTTCACTAGTGGAACCGCCTGGTTCATACGTAGGCCACGAATACCAAACACCTACGCATAATATTTATTCTGAATATAAAACTTCTGATTTGATCTTCTCTCTACCTAAGAGTTTTGCAGTAGACTGACGTGATTTCTATTTCAACTCAAAACCCATGATTATGTATCAAAAAGCAAATTCACATGTGAGAAATCACCTGTCGTACAGGTGATCTAATGCCATCTATCATTTTGACAACACCGCAACGTCTTCCAAGGTGTACCTGGTGAAATCCAAAATTTATTCAAATATTTTTATTTATTTCGTATTACTCATTATCTTGAGTTGATATTCTACAAGTATGAGTTCGAATGCAGAATTTAATCTTCGATTTACGAAAAAAATGATTGAACGAGAAGCATCAGCAGCTGAGAAAAAGTATGAAGCTAGCCGAAAAAAAGCAGTGAGCGCATTGAAAAAATCTGGTGATGTTGAAACAGCTCGTATCTATGCTGAAACTGCTATTCAAAATCGAACATCACACAATCAATTTCTTATTATGGCTTCTCGCATTGACAGTATTATTTCTAAAGTAAGGAATTTTTCTTCTTTGCATATAATATTTCGAATAGAATTCTTGTTAGATTCAACAAGCTAACGCACAAAGTGTCATGGTTCAAAATATGAAACAAGTCAATAAACTACTTGAACATGTAAATAAAGACATGAATATTTCAGAAATAGCTAAAGTTATGGACCAATTCGAACAAGTTAGTTTAGCTGTCTCTTCTTTTTTTGGTATTTGTTACACGATAAAATTTATTACTTGTAGGTTTTCGAAACGTTCGATGTTAAAGAACAAGTTATGAGTAATGCAATGAATCAAGCCATGGCAACAAGCACACCTACTGATGCTGTGCAAAATCTTTTACGTCAAATTGCTGATGAAAATAATTTAGATATCGGCGAACAACTTAATGCAATTCCAACGGTTCCACAAACTGTTAAAACGCCAGCACAACAAGAAGCTGCAGCGCAGAGTAACCGTTTAGCTGCTATTCGTCATGCTACATAAGTGTATTATTAACAAATACATTTCATAATATAATTACGATGTTTATTGATATAATAATAATGTCTGTCTGTGTGTGTGTGTGTAGAGTTCAAACTTATCTTTTTTTATTAACAGAGAATATAATAATATTTTTATGATGACATTTTTCATTTTTTGATCAATGAAAATTTCACTGTAAGCCGCTTAAGAACTCGTGCGATCTCCCGTTCACGTTTTCATGTGTCACATTACTGCTATATAGTAGCCCTCTGCATTATACTTAGAGCAAAATTCTGGTTTGCTTTTTGGTAGACAAAATGAAATATCTGCGCTCTGAAGATAAGTTTTATTTTGATTCCGTGCTTTATAATCTTTTGAAAGTCTTCTTGACTTGAGAAGCTCCTTGACGATCTCGTTATCGGCGAAGTGCGATCGAGATTGTTCAACTATGTTTTAGTTTAGTTAGGATCTCTTGTTAGTCAACGGTAAATGAAATATTCATTTAAATCCTCTCAAAGTTCCAAATTCGATATTAACATTCCTTTCAAGATATCGAGAAAAACAATAGAATAGATATGACACAGTAAAGTCAGTGATATACGCTTTCTCTACTAAAAAGTTCCTCATTGTTTCTCGTATATTGAATCACCTACTCAACTACTAACACAATATTGAAATTTCGATAAGAGCCGTTTGTTATATCATATGACAGTAACATCCGACCGTATTTTGTCTTCGACGCGTATCCTCGTTTGCATATTCTACCCCAATGTCTATCCATCTGAATTGACTAAGAAAAAAAAGTAGTGATCTCAATAGAGCAAGAAGAAATAATCATTTCCTTCAATTGTTCTTTTCAAATTGTTTTTATACCTTGTTAGATTTAGACGGCTAGACACCACGTGGTTTATTGAAATTTTATTTTTGAAAAATTAGCTAAAGATGATCAAGTAGAGTATTGTTTGCACTATCAGATACCAACGAGTTAAAGTTCCTGGAAGCTTCTAGATAAGAATTTAACATACGAATGCCAATCTTTGTTGTTTTATCGTGTCAGCAACTGTTTACTTTTTGGATCTGCGAAATCCTTCTACCATGAGTAACCATCGATCTATTTTGATGGGACTCTATTGTCAGTAGCTGTAAGCATGGGTGTAGATGTATTGAAACAGCATCATAACTAAATCTCTTATAAATAAATAAATACACTGCAGTAACTCCACAGCCAAAGGCCTATCAAAAATGCGTATCCATATTCAAGCAGACGGATTCTCGTCATCGAAAATATTTTTCAGATGTATAAATGTTCTATAGTGTCGAGTGCCTCGAAGTCTTTGTCTCCCTATCACTAATATAGCTGGTGGTTGGTTTGAAATGATCTATTCATTTATAGCAAGATTTTGTTCTCCTACTGCGTATACATATAGTTAGTCACGCTCTGTTAGATTGTTTTTGATTACCTTTTATTTTTCTCTTCTTAATTTCATGGCGTTATTGTTTTTTTCTTTTATGAGTAACTCGCGTTTATTTTCTATTATTTAACATTATTACCGATCTGTCGTATGACAAGAAAATCAAGCATTTCAAAGCTGTTTGCTTTGCTGCTGGATTTCTAGACAATCTTCTTTCTATTCTTTGTTAAAATTTTATTCTAGAATTCATCGCGTTGCTTTTTTTCCCAGTCAGCTGCATTTTTTATGACAGATATTGTATCGCTGCAGAAGTAGGAAGAAAAATGACAGAAAGAAAAAAATCAAGAGACGTAAAAAGCTTTTTTTTTCTTCTTTGGTCATAAAACAGGTAGAAAAAACCAACACGCTGAAAAATAAGACAAACACAAAAGAAAAACTGAGAATGCTGATTTTTCCTCTTCGGTTCGTTATTTTTACACGAATGCTTTGATCTTGTTCTAGATGAATCCATTCTCGTCATATCGCATAATCAATGCTGAAGACATAGTTAGAGCTAATATACGTCCTATGCATGTATGTGTTCGCTCCCATAATGAAAACCATATTTTTATGCAAAAAATTCTCAGTTTTTTTCGTTTTCGTTGTAGGTTGCTGCAGATACAGACAGTTTGTTAGCTGTATTAACTCCCGTGATATTTATAACTAGATCAGATGTACCAAAAGCAGAAAGTCTTCATTCGAATTTCGTACAAAAACTTCGCTCAAAAGTTTGTGTCTATTCTCTGACTGATTATAAAAACGTTACTTGTTTTTCTTTTGTAAGGTGCATGTTTTAGATTTATTGCAACATTTCGGCTATGTTTTGAACGAACAGGGCTATTATATCTATAGACAAACCGATTCAATCCGTGACAAAACAAGTCGTGAAAATGCCACTAATGAATTTAAACGATTTTATGATGATTTGAAACAAATTAAAGACGGTTCTTTACATGGTTTCGACGGCTTTCTTACGGTAAACGTTTGATTTTTATCACGAATTTAATTCTTACTTGTATTTGTTTGTTTTCTTGAATTCAGCATACTAGAAAACGTCCATCATCGGTATATTCGGATAATGATTCAGGTAAGTGTTTTTCGAGAAAAATGAGACTTAAAACTATTCTACATTTTTGTTTTAGAGGAAGAACCATACGCGTGAGTCATTTTTGTACGTTTGAAAAACATGTTTAACTATTTTTTTCGATTATAGAAGAAATTTAACACCGACTACAACTGTAAGTCGATTAGTTTAGGCTATGAATAGAAAAAAAGACTTTTTTTTTATCTCAGCCTCGTTCACGATCACCACCATTGCCGAATGCTAGACGAGTTGAACAAGGCAATGAAAACACACTAGATCACATTAGATTATTCAAGGTTTAAAATAATGACTATTTTTATTCGTGTAAGTTTTTCTTTATTTTAGGAAAGCATCGCACCAAAACATGGTGGACGATCTGCACATAGTTTTATTCGTCGAAAATTATTACTTGTTTTATTTAAACAGAAATATCCCGATTCAGCTGAAGTTGGCGATGAATTTATTGACGAGGACATCGATCAAAAGATACGCGACTTAAAACATCGGGATACCAACCCAAATCCTACTGATGGCGACGAAATTTACGTTGAATGCTTACTCCGGGCGAGTCTCGATCTTGAAATTGCATATGGCATTCTAAGAAATAATCGACCAAATTTAGTATGCTGTATTATTTAGGATTATTTCAAAAATAGTTTTTTCTCTCCAAAGAAACCACCTGAACCAGAAACTCCACGAGGACCAACAACAACGGCACTGACGACTAGTATACCATATTTGCAGCAGCACTGGAAAGCATTGAATGAAGATACAGAAGAAAGCGTAGCCCCACAAATGCTATTGCATGAAGGCGACGTAAGAATAATTCTTTTTTTAAATAAATTTTTCCTTGATAAATAAATATTAATTATTTTATTTGAATTTTTAGGAATGGAAAAATGCGACGCATGTCATAACATCTATTAACGATATTCGAGAACAATACCGGAATCAACCAATTGATGAGAATATAATTTCTGTATAAATAAAAAAATGCCAAATTTTTGTTCATGATAATCGAGCTTTATCGTTTATCTTTAGAAAATGTTTCGATTGATCTACAGTGAACTTTCAAATGTAGTTGGCCCACAATCAGGCGTAAAAATTGAACTATTTGCATATGCTTTATGCGACGTGTCACCTGATACTCTTAAATATCTCTACATGATTGATGTCAAAGACATTTTGCGTACAACTAATGACACAGAAATCAATGAAAACTTTCGTGACAATGCATTTAAGTCGCTTTCAATCCAATGTCCAATGTGCTTTGAATCTTATCCACGTGGTCGCATGGAGACAATGTATTTATGTGATCACGTGTGTTGTTTAGATTGCATCAAACAATATTACCGCGGAGCTATTAAAGAGATTCGAGAACCTCAATCATTGTTGAAGCTGACCTGTTTTCAGGAATTAAAGCCAATTTCTGATGATGTAAAATTGAACTTTTTTCAATATATAGGATCAAAAGTATGTTTATGATCGTTTTTGATTTATTTTGAATCGTAGCATTGCGTAAACAATTTTCTTGTTGCTATTTTTAGTTTAGTCAATGGTTTACCGATGAAAGAGTGCTTCTCGATACCTATCAAGAAAACTTATTTATGGCAACACGAGATTCACAAATCAAAAAATGTTGTAATCCAAAAGTATGTTTATCAATATTTTCTTTCGTCTTTTTTTGTTAGTTTTGCCATTGCTTTAGTGTCCAGACTTTTTTGTTCCTAACAATAACAATAACCAAGTTGTTCGTATTCAATGTCCTCGTTGTCAATTTCCACAATGTCAACAATGTAGTAGAAAAGTAAGTTTCGAAAATATTGATGAAGCTGTTTTTTTTTGGAATAGACGGCTTCTTTTTTTTAAAGTGGCTTGCTGATCATAATGGGAAGACTTGTGAACAATATGTGAAGTGGTTATTAGATAACGATCCTGATGATCCGGAAGTACAATTTTTAAAGTATTTGAATACAGCTGGTATGATGTGTCCCAATGAGCAGTGCAAAGCCGTGTATGAATAGTAAGTTACATTCAAAAGTTACTTCTATTTCTTAATTATACATTCATGCAAAGACTACTTGTGCAAGTAAAATTTAAAGCAAGATTCAACTAGTCTTCACAATCACAGAAAAATCGCTTTTTACATTTCTACTCGTTTTAAAGCGAAATTTACAAAGGAGAGTAAAACAATAAGACGACTTTGTTACGAAATCCAATGTTCCATATTTACTTATTGTAATGCAACTAAGTCTTAGAAAATTTGTTTTCTATTCTTCTGAATGACTTTTTCACAGTTGTTGTTCCAAGTAATGCAAATCAAATAGGCTCCAGGCTCAACACTAATTGTTGAAACTAAGCCTTTGCCAAATTTTATTTAGTTCTCCAAATATGTCTTAAGATATAATTCATATAATGAAATGACGTATTTTTATTCAACAGTAAACCAGGTGGATGCGAACATTTCACATGTACAACTTGCGGAACGGAATTTTGTCGAGTATGTTCGGCACTTTTCTACAACCCCAAGAAGAATAAAGTAAGAAGTATAGATAAAATAAAATGAAATGAAAACACAATGTTGCCTTTGGATTAGGTCTGCCCGCGGAATAATTGTACGTTGAAAGATACGATACACGCCCATTGTTCTTACAATTGTTTTCGTGAAATTCGTGATGCTGACGCCAATGAATTTGTTGAATTACTAGCAGTTTGTATTTTGCTGTGTGTCTTCTCTTAAATTTGCATTCATTTCTATTTCAAGGCTCATAATATAAATGTCGTTGAAGAACTTCGTCAAAAACCAGAGGGGAAAAACCTTAAGTGCCCAGTAGAAGATTGTCCTAATGCGCCATCCGCAGCATGTAACAATCGGTTTTGCGAGTATGATATTAGCCTACTTGTGCTTTATTTAACTTGTCTCGAAATTTAGTCGATGCTACAAAGCATTTCTGTGTTTACTCATATGGCGTAATAAAATCGAACCCTGGTTGGTCAATTTAAAATTCATAATATTTTCAAGTGTCGTTTCTGTTTTGTATAGGACATTGAATACAGATGGTAATTTACGTCAAAAGCTTACTAATTCTTCCATTGCTGTACCAGCAACTGCAACAAGAGAAAATCTGATTCAGGTATCTATATAGTCATGTGATCAACATTGTTTTGTTTATGGTTGTCTTGTTTTGTAGCTGGCACGACAACATTTGACTAAACTTCTAGGAGAACCAAAAAAGATAGAGAGACAAAGATAAAAGCAAAATTTGATAATTCCAATAGTGAAATAATATTGTAGCAACACAATTTACACAGAATTTCAATTACGATATGAAAAACATAGACGTCTGTTTTTTGTTTCTATTCAGTTTTTAATCAATAGCGATATGTGTGTTATTTTATTTTATTTCAAATATTTGATTGAATTTGTGATATATTGTGTAGATTCATATGATGTTTTAATTTTGCTTTTATAAAATCTATGAACTTTTGTTTTGTATGTTATAACTTGCTCTGGATTCTATTTTCATCTTAGATCACTTATTGAATTCTTAGAATACAATTTTTCCCAAGAAATCGAAAATAAATAATTATTTATTTTGTGATATAACATTAGTTTCGAACTGGCACGATCACCGTAAGGCTATTGTGAAACACGTATGCATACATTTATTTATCTATTACTTCTATATTATATTTTTTTATTTTATAGAGCAAAGGAACTGAAATTGCATCAAATGGCTGGTTGGGGAAGCGGTGGAAGCACAGGCCATTCAACAGGTTCATCGTCGGGTGGGAGAAGTCCAAAGAGGCATCTAGATGGCACCGGAGTAATTATTTCTACACCCATTTTCTCATTCTCCAACGCATTATTTGTAATGATCGTTAAAATCCGTGACAGAAAATTTTTCACTATTTGTACGTCTACCAAGCGAAATAGACATATCTTTAATGAAGTGCTCCGAGACTCGCACATCAAGCCTTTGTTTTGTTTTTCTTATAACTCTCGAATATTTGTTTCTCATCTTGAGACTGAATAAGTCAGAAACTCAAAGCAATATTGTTGAAACCTACGTAGTTCAACATAAATACATACTGGTGGTTGAATCAATAGACGTTCATATTGCACGAGAATCCACAAAATTGTCTGATCTTCTTAGAAAAATAAGCTTTCGTTATCAAGATAGGATTCTTCAAAAGAAAACACGATCCAACCGTTTGGTTTAAACTCAGTGGTGCGATAGACATGCCTGTTGTGTATGCATACAACAACTGTTAAATGCTGTCAAAAATAAAACTCATGTTACATCTTCCGCTAGTTGAGCTTTCGTTGTCACATTGATCATTATTTTTCATTGTTTTCTAAAGCTTCAAGCACTGAGAAACAGTCATTCGATAGAAGAAAATTGATTCTTAAATGCCGGATCGTTCTAAAACCAAAATACTTGTAGTTCGCGACCTAACAAGCGCACATATCATTCTATCCAGACTACATAGAGCAAACAATTCTAAGAAAATATGCAACGACTTTCAGCAACAGGTACCACAGCTTCATTGAGAAATTAAAAATATCGAATTTACTTACTTCTGTAGAAATTACTGTAGTTGAAGAAAACTTTACGTTTTAGAAAGGTAGACGACACTTCATTTTATACACTAGTATTCGATCTTAAAGCGTGAACAGATTTTACTTCCCTAAGGTCCTATTAGTAGAAAGCCTATGCTGTGTGTGGTTCACTTGTTGATCTACCTCTGAGAGTTTTGAAATCAATCGTTTGTTCAGCTTCTTGTGTAAACTAATGTCCATCACTAAAATCACTAATCGGCTGTTTTCAATGGTTCTAGACTGTAGGAAAAAATACTAGACATAAATAGGGTTTAACATATTTGATAACGACTGTATGTTAATATGAGAGGTTTATTGAGAAACCGCCAAATGACATGTGAAATAATTGAAGTTATCAGATATTTTTTTTGCCATATTTTCAGTTTAGGAAAGCGAATCCTCGCATCTATTGTATAAAATCTTCTTATATTTTGTAACATTTCAGCAACCGCCAGATAATCATTTATCGGGCGCATTTGGCAATGGTTCAGAACAGATTCTAGTTAATACTGCACAACGGATGAATGTAAAGCTTTTGTTTTTAGTAGATTAACTTATTTAACCCCGAATATCGTTTTTACAGGAAGAAAAAAACAAGGATCAATCATATTTCGATCAAGAAACTATTTCGCTTGTCGAAGCATTGAAAGTAAGAATATGATTTACTGATTTACTTGCATTATTCTAATGATCGTCGCGAGTCCAGGGTAAGATCAAAGAGAGACTTCGATCAGATCCATCAACTGTCAAACAAAAGTTTATCGAAGATGCTGTGGCCAGCGTGAGATGTGAACGCAAATGTAAGCAGCTCAATATTGATCAATGGAAAAAAAATCTTCCTTCTGATATAAATAATTGTCCCGAACACGTATTAAAATTAGCAATGGCCTATGGAGATCACCCAAATGACGTGAAAGCTGTACTAGAAGAGAAGATGAACGAAAGCCAAGAAGAAACTAACACTTCGTTGGTAAAAATTATCACACCTCTAAAAGCTCTGAAAAAAGAGTTGTCCGGCAATCAACCTCCCAATCTCTGTCAAGCTGTTCTCAGTGCCAAAAATAATGAATCCAATGTGAGTATTTTCAATTTTCGTCATAGTAGCTATCGCTAATTTTACGCTTGAACGTTAAATCATTAAAACACAAAATAAGTTGAAATTTCTATCTTAAATCTATGGTACGCATTTCAATGTTGTTAGAATTCAATAAAATGTGAGATAAGCGAAGTACTGACTTTTAAGAAAAATTAGAACGTTAAAATACCGCATGCCGAATGATAAATATTACTCTATCTTATCATCGAATCAATTCGTTTTTGGAGAAATTCATCCGTAATAAATATTTTCAGCAAGATTAGTATGAGACACCGAATTTTAGATCGTATTATCCTTCTGTATAAATTGTTCTCTCTTTTACATTACTTTGAAGAAAATGTTCATTTTTATTTGAATCATATTTGATTTCATTTAGCTAATGCCTTTCTCGTTTTCTAGCGTGCTGATCGTATACTGTTCAGTGAAGCTTCTTGTTGGATGGATAATCCAAATGGTTACACAATTGATATTGCTCATGATCAAGTAGAAGCTATTCGTCTCACACATTATAATTCACAAGATTCAGATCAACTTTATAAATTCATAAGAAAAAATAAAACGTTTGATGAAGCTTACATATATCTGCAAAATCTTGCAAAAGAACAAGCGAGAATAGTAAGTTAATCATAGTCTTGGCTCAGATGTTGGTTAAGAAGCTCGCATTTTAGAATTCGGCGAGAGCAGGCACAACGCAATCCACTGGCCAACAGCAAACTTCAGGATCAATTGTTAGATATCCTAGTAATGATGGCAGTGGTTCAAGTCCTGCCACTCCTATCTCTCTTAGTTCTAGCAAACCTTATTACGACACTAGCGGAAGTTCATCAACGTCAGGTATTCAGTATTTGAGGCTATCTTAGTCTTTGAAGTATTATAAGATCAGTTATTCTTAATTAGGTCGTCCACCATCGAGAAATCACGATTCATAGTTATAACAACAAACAAGGCGTACCAAACAGTTACGAAGGTAGAAATTTGCAAGATTAATTTTAATCAAGTTTTATCTTCTATGATTTCTTAGGCATTGATTCCAATAATTTTTGGCAAAACTAAAACGCTGCTGAACAATATTCATGCAAAATTAATCTTTTGAATAAAACATGATTTAATTGCGTTGTATCGTTAATTCTTGTGTTAAAGTAAAAAATTAATATTTTTCTACGAAATTTCTTTTTTTTTAAATAAAATCGAATTTTTTGTGTTTAATTTATGAAAACTAAATAACAGTCTAATATTACAACGGCATCCGTGTACCAGTTATCGAATTACAGAAAGTTCGTGCATTTGATTTTTGTCAACAAAATATAAATAAAAATGATGAAATTATTAACCAAGACACAGAAAACTATGCTCGTAATTATGTTTGTGTGGCAAAAAAATCAAAATTCAACCTTAATTTCAAAAATCATACTACGTGTTTGACTGGAAACTGTAAGTCTCAATGGTCAATTCGAAGAATTTGTTAAAATAACGATAAAATTTCTATTTGCAAAACTCGACAACTGAGAACGTTTGACAAGTCTCAAATCAAAGAATATGGCATCGTATTTTTCGTCTTGGGATGTTAAGAAAATATCGCGATTGATAATTAGCTTGATTTACAGAAATATTCTCAAGAAAACAAGCATCGAAATGAACCAAATACCATGAGATTTGACTCTGGGCTGTATTTATCTACCGTAATTTGATTCTTCAAACGTTTTGTAACATCTTCCGATCGAGTTTCTACATCTAAATGAAGAAGGAAAAGCATGAAATCATTTGCTGTGTATAGCAGCACTACATATTGTTTGAATTTTATGATAGATGTCATTAATGAAGATGATTTAATTCATGTCAATCATGAAATTTCTAATGAAAGAGAGTTTCGCTGGAAATGAGTTCTTACCAACCACATTTGAAGTTGATTAAACATGATTTTATTCTTTTACGCATATACGAGCATACTTTTTTAGCTATACTTTTGATTAATACAATTCTTCTTGTCATTTTACTTTTTCTTCGGTTACTATTTTAATGCTGCGGCAAGTTGGAAAAACAAATTATCATAATATATATATATATATATATAGTATAGAAGACAAATTTAATTCAATCTATCGGCTAGAGAAGATGTTGAGGGAAATATTTCTCTAGCGTCATATGACGACAGCAAACTAAAACAAAATAAAGATATTTACAAACTTAATGAGATTGAATAATTTTATTCATATATATATATATATATATATATATAGAACTGAATAATAAGAAGACGAAAATGAATGCTCAAATAGTCTGTTTAAGAAGTTGAACACTACAATCTATAAATCGTCTTGACATATTAGGATTAAAATGACATTATATTGTCATATGTGAATTGGCACACGCTGGATTAAACTTCATATGTCAAACAATTTTTTTTCCGAGCATTCGATACATATTTTTTGTTATTGTTATAATCAACAAGTTTTTTTTTCGTGCTGATTTCTTTTCTTTTAACTGTTGTTTTAGAACACATCGAAGAAGAATTTCGCTAGATTTTCTATTCAAATCCGACCCGAAGATGTTAGATATCATATCAGTTAAGGTTCAGAATAGTAAATTGAAAACATTCCTAATTTAGATCAATATTTATTTCAATTAAAAGAGTTAATTCTTCGTCGTTATTTGATTGTGCGCTTATAAAAATCAACAACAAATCAAGTAGTTCTATCAGCTCTTCAAACGAGACCAATTTCGTATTACTGCACTATGTTTTTTCATCATTCATGAGTCTACTTGCAATTTCCTCTAGTTTAGATAGTTGTTTCATAAAGGCTTTAAAGCATCAATTAAAATGTTTCATAGCACGCAATGCTTGAAATTAATTAGTCATAATAATTTTTTGTCTGAATGTATAAAAACTATTATTGATTACATGGTAAATATTCTTTCGGAAAAGAAAACGGCTCAGCACACAACTAAAATTCTCATTTGTTCTCTTTTGGCCTATTTCTTTTAATCAAGTATTATGTAAAGCAGACTCAAGAATGTCATAAAAGTCGAATTCTTCCTATGATCATTTTTCAACTTGTATGCAAGTATAGAATATCAATTTCATTGACATTTCCCCATTCGGATTGCTTGAACACATGTGAGATGATGGATAGAATAGAAGTTGGCCATGTCTTTTAATTCACATTGAGTTCGCTTGCATTTTCTTTCTTCTTATTTTTTTTTACGAGAGAAAATCTCGAGTTTTGTTGCACTATCGTGCCCATTAAGTCTTCTTCTCGTGCAGTAACTACCATAGCATATTCCTCTTCTTTTTTTGCCTTCATGCATCCACGCATTTTGACTGAAAAAAGAACATGAAAAACGTGCATTATTGGAACAACATTAAAAGAGGATGTGTTCTTTTGTTTGCCTTCCGTAAGTGGTCATGAAATGATGGGACAAACAAACAATCGCTATTAGAATAGAAATTTTCTATTGTGCTAAGCAGATCAACCGTAAGTACGATGGATATTCATCGATCGAAGAATTTAGCGACTTGAATTCATTCATTGTCTTCAAATTTATTGAAATACAAGATAAGAAAGGCGATGCCTGTTTCTTACGATTGACACATACTTAGAGGATATATCAGTATTATGAGAGAATTCAAGTATTTATCTTTCTTCTCAGCGATTAGTTTACGCATACTGAGACACGCATTCATATCGAATAAAAATGATAAACCTAATATATGTATATATATATTTGTATCTCTATTCGACTAGGTAAAAAAAGGAAGTACCGAGCTAGACAAAAAAGCGGAACTCGAGGAGCTGATAACTGTAGCTTCGACTAACAACATAAAACAATAAAGTAGGCGTGTAAGGTTAAAAAAACTATGTAGGTAGTCCTGTAATCATTAGGCTATAGGTTCCTTTGTTGTGTTGTTGTTGATATCTAACTTGCGTTGTAATAAATTAGTTGACAAAACTATAGTCTAACATAAAAATAATACTCACGAGTCAATGAACAATATTTCATTTTTGGTATCGTAAATAATAGAAAATTTGTTCTATAATAAGAAAAACAAAATTCATCCGGCAGAAGATTCAAGTTTACTTCAATAAACTCAATGATTTGAGATTAGAATGCAAGATGTAGAATTAATTGAATCTGACAGCGCGAACGACTATTCTAAAAATACAAGATGTGTCGCACCATTTCATTAAAGAAGTTGAGTGTTGCTAGATGAAATTTGACGACTACTAGATGATCTTTTCTATAAGAGAAGAAAAAGAAGAAAAATAGGCTCGGAGTAAAAAATAAGAATATATTTTTCTACCTTCATTTCCCATACCAACTTGTCGTCAAACGTATGCTAGCTTCGATGTTAATNAGAATTAATTGAATCTGACAGCGCGAACGACTATTCTAAAAATACAAGATGTGTCGCACCATTTCATTAAAGAAGTTGAGTGTTGCTAGATGAAATTTGACGACTACTAGATGATCTTTATGATTATCTATAAAGTACATCGTTTGCAGGGGGACAGAAAAGCAAGTTCGAAATGCTTACATTGAACGTTTGTGCGTGTACGCGCACTTGAAAATTGGGACATGCGAAGGTTCAGGAAAATCGATCGCGCTTTCAATGCAGATCTGCAGGTTTGTATTTTCCGGTTCCAGTAATTCTAGCTTTTTACTTATTGTGTGTCTGCATTTAGAGAAAAATTTATTTGTCTCATATTTTAAAATACCTCTTCAATGCTCGCATCTTTTATTTCTTTACTAAAATTGTCAGTCAGGTCTGACTTACCTGTGCTCCGGAGTGTGCGAGTCTCACTGTTTCCTCGTGGTGGAACCGTGTTTTTTGTGTACTCAAAAAAAAAGTGAGTACACTCTAGAATCGGTCAGTGTGTACCGCTGTTTACACGATAACTCCTGAAAGGCTGATCCGATTATCATGAAATTTTGTACATAGCATTATCTCATCAATATCTCAGTCGAGTTCGAAGATGAAAGCAATCTGTCAAAAAATGGCTGAGTTATCGAAAAAATTGTCATTATTGACCAGACCATCTCTGGAGGGGAGGGGGGTACAGGGATTTTTTCAAAAAAAAAACTTTTTCTCAGAATTATTCGCAACATATATAAATCGACTCAGTTTTTAACGCTGATTCCGAATCTGATATCAGTTTTGAACTAAATCGTAGCTTTCTAACGAAACATCGCCTGAAAATGGTATAAAAAAAAAACAACTGCATCCAGAAATCAAATTGCCTAGTTTCTCATGATAATTTTGGTGTTCAGACATTCTAGAATGACTTATATGTCCCATGCACTTTTTGCAGTACACATAACTCTCGGATGAAATCGGAAGTTTTCACATTTATTTAGGTCTCAATTTCGGTTTTGTACATCTCTAGTCTTAACAGCTTATTTTCGAAGTTTTCAATCCATCGTGCTAATGATTGTTCAAGAATGTCGAAATAAGTAGCTGTAACTTTAACATGTCAAATGTTAGTTTTTATAATAAAAATCTCGGGAATAATCGGATCTTCTTTCAGAATGCGTCCTTTTCTATAAGAGAAGAAAAAGAAGAAAAATAGGCTCGGAGTAAAAAATAAGAATATATTTTTCTACCTTCATTTCCCATACCAACTTGTCGTCAAACGTATGCTAGCTTCGATGTTAATGTGCGCATTAGTTTCTCACATTACTTATATCATACATGATTCAATTGATTTAGCCAAATGGTATCAACATTTTCTAATCTTGTGCATTAATCATACGACGCTCGTACTCATATTTTCTTTAAGCCCCTTTTCTTAGTGCATTAACTGTATTTTGTTTTTCAGATATTATCAGCAGCAGTTAACCGAAATGATTATATTCTCAAAAGAAAATGAGCATAAATCTTTTTACGATTATTGTTCTATTTTGCATTGAATGTTTATCATTAATCAATCGGGTAAACTGTTCTAGTGATAATAATAATATAACAACAACAACAACAATGTTAATTTTGACAACAGCACAATCATCATCAATCAATGATAATTTCAAGCGTCGATCAGCGAGGCATTTTATTAATAAAGCTCTACATTTCACTGATAACAACAATATTACGTCGTCAACCTATCGAATACGAATATTCGGCACTACCAATCATTATAATACAGTGAGAAATTTTTTCAGTACGCAAAAAGAAAAATTTATTTATGCATTCGAAAGAATTTATTTTTGCAACTTTTTAGTTTTCACCAAAACACAAATTAAAGTTACTCTAATTGTAGTTGTTATTATAAGCTTGGTCATGTTGATTATTGCCATTTTTTGTTTCAAGTAAGTATAGACGACACATGCATAATTGGATATACTACGTTAGTTATACGTCGTATTTTGATGTATGAATATATTTTTCATTTTTAACCATCGATCTTGTCCACGCATATTTCATCGTTATCGAAAAGAGAGAGAGGAGGAGGGAGAGGGAGAAAGCAACAAACTTACGATTAACGTCGAGACAAGCGAACATAAAACATACATTTATTTGATTGCATAAAGCGTGTCTCGCATAGACTGCTTGTAGGGACTGAAAACGATACAGCCTGATGGAAATAGCGTCCACTATATGCCATTTTATGTGAGTGTAATATGTATTTATCTTATTTTTTGGCTAAATACCTTGACTTGTTAAGTCTCAAATGACGATACAATTTTTGTCCTGAACTAGAATACTTCAGCACCGATGCAATATTGACTTTTATGAATACTCGAATTATATATTAAAAAAAAAGAAAATGTGAGAATCATAGTTCCGGTAAATCAATGAATATAGGGGAACTTCCCATGTAAAACATTCTACCCAAAAAAAGTGACTATTAAGTACTGTTGACAGTAAGAAAAGTATGATAAAGTACTATAGAAAGTGAGAAAATTATCAGAAACTACTATAAAAAGTGAAAAACAGTAAGAGAAGTTACTTTATTTTACTTTATTACTATTAAAAGTGACTTTTTGTTCACATGGGTTGCACTAACGAGCTGTGATGTTTAGTAGGCGTCAAAATTATGGAAGCACACTGCTTCTTTTTCTTTCCTGCTTCCTATCAAGGCTTGTTTAGGACTTTTCCATCAATGCCATATCCTTGCTAAGAAACACCAAGTGTTCATATATATATACTTCATTGTAGTGTCTTTTCATTAAGTAATATCAATAATGATTTTATATTAAGATTAAACAGCTTCACTATTGAGTTTTATTTCTATTATTATTACTATTTAAATATATATATATATCTAATCTAGTAAGATTATAGATCCTCAAAAAAATATACTCACATATGATAATATTTATTTTGAGAAAGGGTAATGCAAATAAATGAAATGCATTAAAAATACGATGCATCTAAGGGGATTGAAAATTTCGATAAAAGTATAACTATGAGTAACTTTTGTTATTACATAATGTGAGCCACGTTGATAGATTACAAAAGAACTACTACTAGGATGTTTTGTAATCGAAATGAATTTATATTTGACACATTTGAGAAATTTTATTGTTTATCTTCAAAAAAAAAGAATCATGCACTTTTTTCAATAGATTCCTCTATTTAATTTCTACCAGATGAAAGTATTTGCACAAAGCCTCTCTAGTTTTACTTGGATTATTTGCATTCATCAGTTTTCCGTAGTTGTGGAATGAAGCTTTCATACAGTTGAAGTCCTGCTTTTTGTGTACTCAAAAAAAAAAGTGAGTACACTCTAGAATCGGTCAGTGTGTCCGTCCATCCGTTTACACGATAGCTCCTGAAAGGCTGATCCGATTGTCATGAAATTTTGTACACAGAATGATCTCATCAATATCTCAGTCGAATTCGAAGATGAAAGCAGTCTGTCAAGAAATGGCTGAGTTATCGAAAAAATTGTCATTATTGACCAGACCATCCCTGAGGGGGGATACAGAGATTTTTCCAAAAAAAAAAATTTTTTCTCAGAATTATTCACAACATATATAAATCGACTCAGTTTTTGCAGTACACATAACAATCGGATGCAAATCCGATGTTTCCGCATTTATTTTTTGTTAATAATGAAAAATAAAGATTTCGAAAGAAACTATTTCAGAGTTTTAAATTTCTAATTAACAACTAGAAACTCAAAATACTTTGAAATACACACATTGATCTCTCTTTTTTGCCAAGCTACAATATTTTATTGCTTCTAATCATTTTTGCATCGTGCACTGGTGTCGAAAAGGGAGGTGATGGCTTTTGACTAAAGGAAAACAAAAATTTCCTTGTTCAGCTTGAAAAGACACTTGATGGTTCTTTTGTTGTCTGTGTTTTCAATTATATATACAATATTATCTCTGAGAAATGCAACATGGAATTCTATTTTTTGTTTAATTCTATCGAATGAATGACCTTCAAGTATTATCATCTATCGATGATGCAATTAACGACTGTAAGATAATCAATATTGACTTATCTGTTCTTTTTTTTTATTTCGAAGGAATGCCTGTCGCAGTCAAGAAAATGACAATCTTCAGACCGATATCTTTCGCGATCGTTCGTCGCAATGTAATGAGCCAAGCTCGAGACGAGGCAGTGTGGGAGTAAGTGTTAAATATTATTGATTGTGTAAATCGTATGATATAATCACTGTTCAATAGAGTTATAAGAAGAAAAATAAAAAAAAAAGTAATGAGAAAGTTAAATACAATAAACTTGTTTTATATTCAACGCTTGAGAACAGCCAATAACGACAGACATGATTGCTTTTAGTTAAACAAGCAATGAGACATCAATCCACACTCGGTATTGGCCATTAAAGGAAACAGAACAAACATAGAAAACACATAATAATTTATTAGAAAAAAAAAAACGAGAACGATAGGCAAAAGAAATCGGCAGTTCATAGACGTGAAAGTATAAAAGAAAATCGTTCAGAATATTATTTCATTAATAGGCATATCGGTCTTCCCGTATGCATTCGACTTTTTTCTCTTTCTTGAATCGAATACATATGTTTCTCAACCAATTCTGTTTATCATCTATTGGCTTTGTATCACGTGAGCAGAGCAGCAACAGCAGCAGTAGCAAGTACTACGAATGTGTTATTGTTTCCATTATAGTTTATAACTGTATTTTCCATGTGCATGTACGCGGATGAATCTGTTACTTTTTCTGATAAATTTTTCTTCGTCCTATTATGCGCTATTTTTTCTGTCTTATTATTATTATTATTATTTTCACCATTGACATCCGAAAAAGAATAGCTTCATTATCATCAGAAACATACCAAATCAGTCTCGCCGAAAATACTTCCGTTAGTTTCTTGTTTTTTTTATCTAATCAAATGCTCGACAATCATATTTAACATAAAGAGATACTAGAAATTTGATATTATAATGTAAGTATACATCGGTTCATTATATATGCAATAGAGAGTACGCGATATGTTGCTGTTGTTTTTTCTAAAGCATATTCTTATTTGTTATAAAAGCATAGGCGAAAAAGAAAAAAACTCTCCTTTTCATCATGCCACTTGAGACATTTAATAATGAAGTAAACGAGAGAAGAATAGAATCATGATTATTTTGTTCGTGAACGAAAAAGTGTTGATTATTAAAAAAATAAACAAATTTACTCTCAGGTCATTGTTCTATTTGCGATGATACAATAGATAGATGAGCGTCGTTCAAGAGATAGTTTTCAGAGAAGAATATTCTTCAATACGTCTTGGTGAGATTTTTGATCAGTTCATACGTTTTTTTTTTCAATTAAAAAAATAATGAGGAAATTCAATAAGCTCCGGTCCGGATTTACGTGACATAGACAATCTGTTAACGTAGCAGTATTATTACTTTTGATTTTTCGTTCACATTCAACGTAAAGAACAACGTAGACGACAGTATGCATACACATTTCTCAATATTTATGTCTGAACTGAATTTCTCTTCTTTGTTTTACTTCATCTATCTTTCATGTCATAATAGCCAAGGACGAAACAGCGCAAAATATTGCTCCCATATTGTCTCGCAAGAGAGTGAATGATTGTAACAATAGTGATCAACAAAATCTGTTAGAATTATTATAAGTATTTCCTACCGAACACAGTAAGATATCAAAAATGCTTTTAACTTAGTTTTTTTTCTTGTATTGATTGCAATCGTAATGAGACGAGAGAGCGCGAGAAGCGTTTTCTATAAATTGCTTTATGGTCATATCCTTAAGGCTTTTTTTGATAGAATCGTTATTTATATACATATATATATATATATAGATATATATCTGCGTGTCTATGTTAATAAACTGACTAATAGCTTTCTATAATACGATTTTTATTCGATTAATTGTAAAGCTAAATAAGAGAAAAATTAAATTTTTATAATTAGTCTACATTCAGAACATTAACACAACGAAAACATGTTAATGCGTAATTGCATAATCATATAGTAGAATCGATCTGTTTCGTTCCGAATTCAATTGTCTATATTCGATGAAAGAAAGAAGAAGAAAAAAACAAATATATATATAGCTATATATATATTTCCTTTTTCTTGCTCACCTTTTTCTTGACTCTTTCTGTAGAATGCATGTCATTGCGGTTAGACAATCGGAAATGCTCGAATGTATAAATAGACAATGAATTTAATCATAAATCTATTTTAGTATTATACTCGAAAATATAGTCGAACAACAAGTTTTCGTTCAAACAATCAGATAGATAATTCTTCACCAAGTAACCGACTTGATATTCCTGCTTGTGATCAGTTGCCGAAATCAGCAGCTGTCGTTGCTGTTACATCTTCACCCGTAGATACAACAGACGGTACACATCGTCATCAACATCATGTCATTTCCTCCTGTGACACATCGAATACTTCTAATCAACATATATCAATTGTTCCAATTTCATCTATTAATCTAAACACAACTAAACACAAATCGGCTGTTCCCATCAATCGTACTAGTCAAGTAAGTTTTCATGTATTTATGTTTTATACTTACATAGTTTTAGCAAAGGAAGAGAAAAAAAATAATTACTGCTACATGAGGGACCAAAGTGTCTTGTCAAGGAAAAAAGGTGTTTTCTTTACAAATGACATTTACAATTACAAGTCAGTAAGTCGGTGAAACACATACGCACTTGTTTATGTTACTATATATAGTCTGGTTCCTCCTAATCGTTTTCTTTTTTTTGCCTTGCTCGTTTGTACCCTAAAAACTAGTATGCAAACATTCTATGACATAATGCACCAATAAAAGTGATAAGATATTTAAGATTAACGATCGACAATCACGTGTATTCCCAATGATGTAGTAGCTATCGTTTTGTCACTGCTGGAAGCGTTCGAATCATTGTGTATATGCTCGAATGGCAAGCGAAATGACGTTTAAGAACTTATCGTGTCATTCTTTTTTTTTTTTCTACGATGAATAATCATTTTTTTATATCTACGTACATTAGTCGTTTCATTGAAATTCATCAATATTTAATTATCAGTTGATTCTAAGACTAAGCCGATTTCGACTGATATGAATCGGTTAAACAAATGTCAAGACTGTCAATCTGGTATAGACAATATAGATGAGCACAAATAAGGGCAATTTGCACGATATTTATCGACACACGCTTTCCATGTATCTGTTGTATTGATCGATAAATGCCATGTATAACTTTGCTTACCGTTTTTTGTCTATCTTAACTCATATATACATATATGTATATATACGTACAGGAAGAAAGTTGATTCGTCTAGGGACCAAAATCAATATCCTGTGCATGCATGCAAGTAATCAGTTATGCGCAAATTCATTTACACATGCTCACTGCATAGCGATATCAAACGAAAGTCGTTTAAAGTTTATTTCCATTTTTTTTAACTAGTTATAAAAAAATCGATTTATCGATAAAATATAATCTTCAATTACATTTAAGATATTGTATTGATATATTTATATAAGAATCATCTTAGAAAGCCTTTTTGACAGATCAAGATCAAATTTCTCGAAAAAAGAAAAAAAAAGAATCAAATGTCAGTGGTAGACCAACAAAGAAAAAAAAAGAAATAGCCATAACCAGCAATATTGGAAGAAATGAAGTATATATAAAAGATTTAGTGTTCTTCTCATAGATAACATTAACGCAACTGATGTACGCTATGTGTTTTTCAGCCTGTTAGCTTATGATTTCGTTAATACAAATTGAATCTATCTGTTGTATTACTACAATGATGAGTCTTTTTTGCTGGTGATGTTGGTGATGGTGATAATGCATGTCAGTTATGTCTCAGCGACTAGTCACTCAGCCAACTAGTATGAGATAGACAGACAGATAGAGAGAGAGAGAGAGAGAGAGAGAGAGAAGAAAGAGGGAACATGCCGTTTTTCTACTAAGAATCTTTTTCTTGCGCAAGTTTGCTGTCTGTTACTATGCTCGCTCACTTTGTCAGCGACAGGAAACAAATATCATAAATGGAACAGAGAATACATAGAACGAGAAAAGGCTCTTGCTACCATATTAATGAAAAAGAATGCCGTTCTTCGTGCTAAATAAAGAATAGTGGAATCGTAGTCGAGTCAATTGGCATGTTTCGCCTTTGTGCAGATCATCATCATCATCATCATCATCATCGTCGTCGTCGTCGTCATCGTTATTCTTGTTATTTAAGATAAATTACCTGTCGTTGGTTAATATTTTCTCTTTGTTGACTTTTACTATTGATTTCGAACAATTTTCTCTGTTCATCTTCAAAAACGTCGTTTAATCCTCTACACGATCCCACTGCATACATTCAGTCGTTCAAATATAGTTCGTTATATTTTTGTTATTAACGTGCATGATCAACGCCTTCGGTATCCAACTAAAAAAAGAAATAACATCAAACTGTCGTCGCCAACACTTCGAAAACTTTGTCTACCGTGTATTACAACACGACATCGTCTTCGTCATCATCATTCAAATAAAAAGAAAACGCGGAAACCTAATCAACATCGCTTTGCCGCCGGTGTTACTCGTGAGGATAGTCGTGTTGAATCATTACAACAATTTGAAGTTTTTCCAAGGACATGCTGTCCTAAAACGACAATACCTATAGTACACAATAGTGACTATGCAACAGAAAACAATGCTAATCATTTCCACGAGCAAAGAAAACATTTCGAGATATCACTTCAAAATGAAAAACTCGAGGAGGAGAACAATAATGAAACATCGCCTGTAAAAATAGAAAGTAAACTGACATCATCCGATGTAGTAGAATCAGATCTGTTACTATCGTCAATATCTGCAACTGAACTAACGAGATTAAAGGACAATGATGCGGTAGGTACAGAATTTTATTTGCATAAAGAACAAAACACAAGGGAGAAATCTTCATAAATTGAAATTCAATGAATTTAAGTATCTTCATTTTTTATTTTTTGTTTTCTTAGTGTGATGATCGTACGCCACTATTAACATCAGAACTTTCGTCAACTATTAAGGGTTCATTAAAACCTTCGTCTCGAAAATATTCTTTCAATGCTCTTTTACCACTCATACACCCTTCAAATTCACATCCGCTTTGTTCTTACTTGACGTCTACGACAAATGCCAACGGCACCCAGAGTAGTAATGGTAACGATATCGATTTAAAAGCTCGCCATCGAACGTCAATTTCATCTGCATTGCGTCGGAGTTCATTCGCTAAACAACCACGTGCATTTTGTTCAACTATTGATTCACCACGTGCGAATTCATTATCGAAAACTCAGAACAATTCCGATAGTAGCGATCAAATATCATTATTAAATAATAGTTCATCGGAAAATCAGAATAATTCTCGTAAATCTTCAAGTATAACGCCACCATATCAAAAAGAATACATGCAAAGAATTGAACGTTTTCGCTTCATTGATGATAGTGCTTCAAGTACGGCAACAGTAACATCACCTGTGGAGAGTCTTGAACATGTGAATACACGTCCAACGTCATGCAGTCATTTAATAACGAATACTATTGAACAATTCGATGATTATGTTCGCACAAGATATAATAATATGGATGGCAATGATGATGATGATGATTCGTTAATCGATCGTTTAAATTCAAATCTCCTAAACGATAGTTCTTATTCGGATTTAAATATTCTAAATAATAATAATCACAATCCATCACCGAAACCAATCTTACGTCCACAAACATTCAAACCGGTGAATAATAAACCGTTCGCAGCAACAGTAAGTCGAAATTATGTTTCTAATTATCTATTAGCAGATTTTTTCTTCGGAAATAAAACTTGTTTCGTGTTATGATTATAAACAAATTAGCTAACTTTTTGTATATTTATTTACATAAGCATAGTTGTTAATATAGAAAGAATAAAGGACAAGTGGTCGCAGATTAAATGTTAATAGATTTTTAGTGTTTCCTTTTTTTTCTTCTTCTTGATTAGTTGACTTTGATGTATCTCGTTCGACATTCTTATTCTCATATGTTTTTATTTATTTCGCAATAGATTTTATCTGGTTCTCAACAACATAAATATCATCAATCAACACCGATTAGCATTCCTCATTCAATGACATCTTTGCCGCTATCTAAACAACGAAATCAAATGGAAACCAATGGATATTCACGTTCGATGGATTTTCAATCTCTAACAAATAAACGTGACCCTATTCGACCTCTATCAATGATTTCAACTGTACACGAAACGCCATCGTCATCATCCTCAACTACACTTACATCGCTTCGTAGTGCAACTAGTTTAGAATTTGATGATAATACAAAGCCGTCCGGTGTTCTTGTTGACGATGATTTTCTACCGATGTCATCACCTGTTGATGAACATTTCTGGGATATGAATATAAAAAGTTTCAATGAATTGAATGCGAACAATAATAAATGTTTTCCCGATGTTGGCTCTTCACCCGATATGGAAATAAAACATTTCGCTTTAAAATCATTTCATACATTATCCGAAACATCATGCGACGAAGACGATGATAGTACAACATCAATAGATCAACCGGAAACATTCACTATACAAGAATGTAAACTAGATGAATTAAAACAATCTATTGTGTTAACGACAAAAACTTCACCAGCCGAAGGCAATGTCGATCAATCGTCATCGACTCCGTCCATTGATTCAACAGAACAACGCAGTAATAATACAACGCTAACAAGTATGTATTTTGAGGAAAAAATCAAAACGATTAATTTTTCGTTGTCCTTACTCTTCATAGCTTCTCATCAATCAAACGATGAATCATTATTAGAAAAATTTTCATTACCCGCACAAACATCAATAGGGTTAGATTTTGTTTGTGATTCGATTTTATCATCGAATCAACATTCTCAAGCGACATCCGAAGACGATGATACACAAGATAGTTCAATCCATGATGCATCTGAAGGTGATGACAGTGCTGATAATGGGGAAATCGATCTTGTACAAGAATTCGAATTATCGCAAAGAGATACACAAACCAAAACTAACAATTTATGGACAACAAACGATCCCGACGTATATATCATACAAGATGGTGATCTACTTTCAGCTCTTGTAACAACACCGACAACAACTATGAGTCGAACTCCACCGGCTTCAATTATGAAAATAACAAATAATAAATCATTTGAAACTATCGATGAACAACAAACATTAAAACCCAAAGTACGTTTTAACCTTGATCCACAGTACGAACGTGAACGTGAATGGAATAAAGTGAATAAACTACTTGGCAATAGTGTTGAATGGACTGATGAATTTGAAGTATAAAATAATACAAACGTTTTTTTTCTTCTTGTTTTTTTTTTCTTTCATTCGCTTCTTCTTCTTTTTTTCTGTTGTACAGCTATCTACTGTTTATTTTCAATCAAGTAGTTTATTTAAAGATTTGCAGATATATCAATGTGTCATATTTAGGGAAAATTCAACAACGATTAACTCTTTTGTCCTCGAGAAAAATGTTCTACTACTTAAAAATTTTACGATGCCGATAACATTGCAGCTCGTGCACTCGAGAGTTAAGAAGAGCCAAGGCATTTTATTGGAAAGATTTGAATCCTGCGAAATGTTTATTACTTTTAATATTCAGTACTCTATGGCATGAGACTTATTTTCAAAAAGCAATTTATCACTTGACTAGATTCTCTTCAAGGTACCATTGCTAATTTGACTACAGTAGAATGCCATTGAGATTTGGCTTCTTTTCGAATTCTCATGAAAATAACTCACGTCCTGTTTTGTAAAATGCAATTCTTTAATCATGTATTTAGAATGAAGGGAAACAACATATCATGCTTTAATAAGGACATCATCCCCCGACGCAGTAGACGTGCATTTATTGTTAATTTTTTGTTGCTTTTAATTAGCTAATTTGTTTTCTTCTCATATAAAATAACAAAAAAAGATGGTCGAATTTTTCTAAATTTACTTCATGCTGACACAACGTCAATTCCAAATCTGTGTCCAATGCAGTAACTTATTACGTTAAGCGAAGAATAACGGAAGTAATCCAAGACTAGACGAGTATGATGCGAATCGTCCTTTATTTTGATTAATCCCAGGATAGATTCTGAAGTCTAGGCTTCGCAGCAGTACTACTTTCCTGATTTCTTGTTGATGTCCTGATTTCCCTGATTTTGTCCTGATATTTTATGATTTTTTTGCCAATAGGCCTAAATATAAATGACTTTAACATTTTCTTTTGTTATGATCAATATTTCAAGGTCTATGTAGATGTAATTATTTGATAAGTTTTACGAAAAAGCTTTTCAGTGCAGCCACGTTGGAGCTAAAATGTGGAACTCACATATTTCGATCAGTTAGATGCTGATCAAATAGAAGCTTTATTTTTTCAGAATAGTGAGATCATATTTTGTTCAACAATAAGATAATAAAACCATTTTAACATATGAAGTTTATTGAATCTATCAATAGGAAATATTACTAGAGAGAGCCGTATAAAAAACGTTTTGTTTAAAATATGTCAGTATGCTGAAATGTTTAGTGGTTTCATTGAGAAATATTCTGAATGATAATAGTTTAAACAGTATTTAGGATATAGCTATCAGTAATATTGAGAAATTTATATTTTTTCGTATTATCAGGTGAGAAATTGATACATTTTTTCATAAACGAAAATTTGATAAAAGCTTCCCAGTGGATGGAAAAGTTGCGAATTGTAAATACACTAAACTGGATTCAAGCTCTAGATTAAGGTATTTGTGTGAGAAAAAAAGATTAAAACCTTCATCTGTTTATTGTAGGTGGTAGAAGTAACGAGTGTAATAGTGGCATAAACTAAGTGTTCGTTTTTTTAATATTTTATGTCTGTAATGGGGAGGAGGTAGAGTGGGGTACAGGGGACCCGCAAAAACCTAACAATTCAAATTACACTCACTATTTTCTTCGAAAATATATGTGAGTTCCACAAAAAAAAGAATTAGAAGCAAGCATCCAACGAAAAGCGATTTCTTCAAATTTTTGATTTTTCCTTCATGATTTACGAAGCTCATCGAAGCAATACACGTGGCTATAAAAATAAATTACCATTACTTTATTCAATTTTGTGAAAGTTTAATCGCTTAGTGTGTTATCCAAACAAGTCTACAAATGTCCTGATTTTTTTCCAATTTGTGCCCTGTCTGAATTCCTGATTCATCATGTTAAATAAAGCATTTTTAAGTTTGCGTTTTACTTGGTCCTCCTTTTCTTTCATTCCGTTAATAAACATTATATGAAAATGTGCACGAGATTTTCTTCGCTTCACTCTTACGTATGATATAAATAATTTTACTTGAACTATTTTGTGATGTTGGCTACATCGTTCAAATGCGAATAGATCTGTTGAAAGACAATTGATGAGGTTCGAATAAAATGTTTCGAAATATTTACCATCAAATTCTCTCATTTTGTCTTACAAACTTTTATTTACAGATCATGATACGCTTTTTAAAATTGGTCAAATTAATTGCCATCTGATTCAGTGTTTCGAGTAGAACTCTGAAATAAAATGTTTTTGCACATTTTGTTTAGATGAAAAATGTGTATCGTCACCCTTCAATTTTATAAATAAAGTGTATCAAAGTGTAAATAAACGAAAAAAGTTCAGATAGCCTAGAAAGATAATAGGAAAAATTCTTTTTTATCTTCTTCATAGAGAAAGAAAGTCTCATAGATTATAAACAACAAAACAAGAGCATCACTAGGCGCTGCTATTTTTTATCCAATATTATCACATTTAGTTGAATACTTTTCATTCATAGCATGTACGGTTTTTGATGAATTAATAAATACATTTTTACGTAGAATTTCGACGTCACAATGTGAATCTGTTGATGCAGCAAGCGATGCTGACGATGGCAGTAATTTAATTCCGCCCAAGCAGACAAAGATTTAGCGAAACGCGTTTTCGTGATCTAAAATCGGAGTGTTATTTTCTTTTTCAAAGTGTACGCCTTACATTTTTGTTTTCTGAGCAACGTGTAAATCAGAGTGTATTTCGGAAACAGCAGGTGTTCCGGACATTTTGCTCTTGCTGTGTACACGTGCTGTTATGAGATCAATATGGTATTTTGTGGATCGATATCAATATATTTTTTGATTGACCGAATGATCGTACATATTCTATTGGTCATCTGGCTAGCTTCACAGTGGTCATAATAGACATGTTATACTTCTTTCTAGATCATTTGGGTATCGATAAGAATTCGTCTTTGTTTTTTTTTTGCTGCTTACATATAACACTATTGCATTTCAACGGCGGCGAAACAATTTCAATCTAGGGGAGGCTCAAAATTTTTTTCAGAGAATGAGGATGACGAGAGATGAAATAAAAAACAGAAAGCAATCTGGTACTAATAGGTGGTCTGTTGATAATTTACTTCTGATTCTACTTTTCTCAAAACTTGTACAATAATGAAAAATATTACTGTAATATTTATTTTCCAGAAAATGATCAATAAGAACAAAAATTCTAAAACAAATTTCAGAAAAGTAGAGCAAACAATAGCAACAATCGATCGAAATTTTGCCAATCGTGTCTACATTAAAGATGAGATCTACAACTTTTTTTCAAATTAAATGAACCTCCCTAAGCCTTCTTCTCTGATGTGCATTACTTAATTGTATTGATATAGTCATCAGTTTTTATTTTCGACTTCCTAGATTTTAAAGTATCAAGTATGACAACTCGTTCTGCAACTAATCGGCGTAGCAGTGCGTCGGTACATCCTTATCCCAGTCCATCATTGGTCTCTATTGTTCTTGGTGCTCAATGGGGCGATGAAGTAAATGGAACAAAAAGAAAGATATTAATTCTATTACCATTGGAAATTTTATCTTTAGGGAAAAGGCAAGTTAGTTGATCTATTAGCATCGGAAGCTGATATTGTTTGTCGTTGTCAAGTAAAATTCGATATTTTGTTTTGCTACTATTTATCAACTAATTTTTCTAGGGTGGCAACAATGCTGGGCACAGTGTTTTAGTAGATGGCGTTGAATATGATTTTCATATGCTTCCATCAGGTTTTCATCTACAAAATTGTGTTAATATTATTGGTAAATGACTCACAAGAGATTCACTATATCGATGTTCATGAATGATTGCGGATTTTTGTTTTAGGCAATGGTTGTGTCGTTAACTTACCTGAACTAGTAGAAGAAATCAAAAAGAATGAGAGTCGTGGTGTGACGAATTGGTCGACTCGATTGTTCATATCTGATCGAGCGCATCTTGGTAAATATGACAAAAGAAAAACATGTTTTTGAAAGGAAATAATTTTCGATATTTTTAGTTTTTGATTTTCATAAGCAAAGTGATGGTTTTCTTGAACGAGGACGTGGTAAGAGTAGGTAAGTAATTATAATGACTTGATTCTAAGAATTGAATTCATGTATTCTTCAGTCTTGGTACAACAAAAAAAGGTATCGGTCCAACATATTCATCGAAAGTATGCTTTTATCAAAATAAAAAAGAATCCTCTCTTCAAACATCATTTTAAGGCTACACGAAACGGCATTCGTATGAGTGATTTGGTTGGCGATTTTTCTATTTTCACTGAAAAGTAAATTATGATCCATTTCAATTTTTCACATGATCGTCTTTTTTGTTTTTATACATAGAATACAAAGCCTTTACAATTATTATAAATTAACATTCCCTGATTTGGAGGTTGATATTGAAAAGATCATTGCACAATTCAAAGAACTTGCTGAATATTTTCGTCCAATGACTATCGACACGATAGCCTATTTAAATCAATCTATACTTGATGGTTCGAAAAAAATTCTTGTCGAAGGCGCTAATGCTACCATGCTTGATATTGATTTCGGTAAGTTCAAAAAAAACAAAAGATACTTATGCAAGAGAGAAAGATTGTATTGATAACAATTACGAAAGCTAAAATAGAAGACATCACAAGTGTAGTTACATCATTATCTGTTCGCTGTCTATATCACCTTTGAAGTATAGAGAGTCTATAAAAATTCGATTTTTCTTTTCTAGGTACATATCCATATGTAACATCATCTAATTGTAGTATCGGTGGTGTCTGCACGGGTCTTGGCCTTGCGCCAAAATATATTGGTGATATATATGGTGTTGTCAAGGCTTATACAACACGTGTTGGTGATGGCGTCTTTCCAACAGAGCTAAAAAATGTAAGAATAATTATTTTTCTTTCAATTTTGTGTTTATAAAACAAATTTCCTCTAGGAAATCGGTGAACATCTGCAAACACGCGGTCGTGAATGGGGTGTAACAACAGGACGAAAACGTCGTTGTGGTTGGCTCGATCTTGTTTTACTTCGATATACAACTATGATAAATGGTTTCACAGCTTTATGCTTAACGAAACTGGATACACTTGATGAATTAGCTGAGATAAAAATTGCAACAACGTATAAACGAAATGGAGTTGAATTACCAAGTTTTCCTGGTTAGACAATAGAAATTATCCTACAGAATTGTGATTTTCTTGTTTTGATTAGCTTCTGTGGATGCGATGCATGACATTGAAGTTGAATATGTAACATTTCCTGGTTGGAATAAATGCTCAACATCTGAATGTCGTACATTTAATTCCCTGCCAGGCAATGCTCGTCTTTATGTGCAATTTATTGAACAATTTCTTGGTGTTCCTGGTTCGTTATTCTATTTAATTTCTTAAAATTCGAGATATTTTTTCTGCTTTTAATAGTAAAATGGATTGGTGTCGGTAAAGATCGTATGGCAATGATTCGCGTTTTCTAAAAACGAAAAACTTCCAATAGGTAGATAGTACAAAACATGAGCTTCAATTTTTCTTTTTCTATCACTTGAAAGATCTTATTATTATTTGAACGCACGTGTAAATTGTTTGTCTATCTATCTCATGAATAAAATAAACATTTTGATTATGTTAAGATATTTTCTAGCATGGCTTTGTAGAAAGTCATATCCAGTAACAAATCGTGAGTTTATTTCAATAAGGGTACCCTTCCTTTTATTTTAATTTTAATATATAAAATATATTTATTTAATATTTGACGTTTCAATCAATGAGAACATAAGATATAATAAAAAAATTAATTTTTTTTGAAAGCTATTTTTCAAAGATACACTGTGGTTTGCGAAAATCAGAGCTTTAATATCGAGAAGTGGAATAGATGATCGGGCGAATACACCCATTATCAAGGTTTTCTCCGATAAAAAAAAATGTCTATAAGTTGTCTAGCTTGTGGTCCACCAAATTAACTTATTGAAATCACATCGGTCTTTACAGTGCATATGTTACGTTTTGATTGTCGACATAAATCTATCTTTTCTTTTGAAATCTTAACGATAAATATCAATTGTATTAGTGCAACAGCAGCTAATCATTTGAATATTATCGTTACTATTTATACGAGTTGTACTAAATTTGTGACATTTGTTTTTCATAGAATTCAACAGAAAACTAACGACGAAATTTTGATTCTCGGATACACAAAAGTTTTACCAATTGAATTTGAGGGTAGAGTAAAATTAGAATGGATTGTTTTACCGTGAGAAAAGGTACGACCACCAAACGATTGAATGCTGCAATTGATTTTTATTTTGTCTTGTGGATTTATGGTGGTTGAAATTCGGTAACTGAATTATCAAATAATTCTAAAACGATAATGCGATAGAAGCTCATCAATAATGTCCATGGTTATCTATGTTATTATCTATAACAATTGTTACGATTCTTTATCTACTTACACAAATATATCCATAGAATTACTTAGCTCAACTGCTCGTATTAAAAAAACAGAGATTAACACAATCACCTGGAATTGTCTTTTTTTTTCAATTTTTTCTTACGGAATCCAGTCGATTGTATGTTTTATTCTAAGTGATATTTTGTACTATCAGAATTGTAAAAAATATTTTTTTGCTTTCAATACGAGTCATTCTTGGCAGTATTGTAATTTCAAATTATTTCTAGAACAAATGACAAGCTTCTTCGAAGAATTTTTCGATTTGAAAAGTCATCGATCACATTTTTTTTTGTTACGAAATATGATGAAACGATAAAATAATACACGATTATGTAAACTTCTTTTTTTTATAATCCTATACAATAATCTATCAGCTAAATCAAATCTTACCTTTTCTCTATGATGAAAGGTAAGAGTGAAGCAAAAGGCCTTTTGTAATCTTTTACTATCGAACGCAATGTTGATGATGCATATGCTTATAGTGATCAGCATTTCGATCTAATATGGCAGCATCAATGCCATCTAATTTCGAGATTAGTAAGTCGAGAGTACAGTGTGATCGTGGTCGAAAATCTTGTTCTTTAGCTAGTGGTGATTATGTTCATCGGCGTCCAAGTGGTGCACCTTCAATTCAACTTTCACGCTTATCAACTGGAGTCATCAGCCGACAAGATTCATTGGAAAATGTAATATCAAAAGATGAAGTAACACTGAAAAGACATTTAGGTCTATTCTCAGGAGTTTGTTTTATAGTTGGAATTATTATTGGTAATAGAATAAAATGTACAACTTGTTTTGTTCACTCGTATTATTATTTTATCAATAGGTTCGGGTATATTTGTCTCACCAAAAGGTGTTTTACGTGGTACGGAATCAGTTGGCCTATGCTTGATTATTTGGGTTGCAGCTGGTCTTGTTTCGTTGCTTGGTTGGTTCCAATTGAAACTTCGATTTTTTTTCGAATATATTAATATAATGATTGTTATAGGTGCATTATGTTATGCAGAGATCGGTGCACTTATACCAAGAAATGGAGCTGAAATAGCCTATATGAAAGAAGGCATTGGATCAGTTCATGAACGAGTTGGTGAAATCTTAGCATATCTATTCGTATGGACAAGCGCATGTATTCTTAAGCCTGCAAGCATCGCTGTTCTAACACTCACTTTTTCTCAATACTTTTTATCGGGGATTTTTCTCGGTAAATTGTTCTCTCGGAGATAATATTGATGGTGGATTCTTTTCTAAAATGTTTAGATTGTGGCGTATCAGAAAATGTTGTTAAAATGACAGCGATACTTGCTATTCGTATGTTAACATTTCTTTTTGTTTGTTGCATATGTATATTGTTCGTTTCAAGTCGTTCTCATGAATATTAATTCTATCAGCGTGTCGGTAGCGAATCGACTGAATATTATCTTTGTTATTTGTAAAGTAGTAACTATTGTAACTGTTATTATTATCGGTATTATACGCATGGCACAAGGTTTGTTTGTTTACAATAGAGCTATTTTATCCAATGAATAAAATTGATTTTAGGGCATGTAGAAAATTTGAAAACTGGATTTGAGGGTAAAAACCAGTAGTAAGAATGCAGCGAAAAGCATGAACTGTTTTGCTTTCGGACAGGTACGACCACCAAACCATTGAATGTTGCACTTGCTTTTTATTCCGGTTTATGGGCGTATGATGGATGGAATTGTTTAAATTCAATAACAGAAGAAGTAAAAAATCCGAAAAGGTAATCTGATACGAGTGTATTGATGGTCTCTATAATTATTATTCTTTTTTCTCTGCATAGAAATCTATGGTTATCCATAGTATTAGCTTTACCATCGGTTATTATTCTTTATCTTCTTACAAATATATCCTATTTTACTGTAATGAATAAAGCAACATTACTTAGCTCAACTGCTGTTGCTGTTGTACGTAACTAACTTTAACTATATATACGTTCAAGTGTTTATTTTTGTATTTGATTGTTCCTTAATAGACATGGGGTGAGGTTGCATTAGGTCCTGTTGTTCGTGTTCTACCAATTCTTATATCGATCAGTGCATTGGGCAGCGGCAATGGATCGCTTTTTTCTTCTGCGCGCTACTGCATGGTTGGCGCTCAGTATGGATATTTACCTGAAGTTTTTGCTTGTATTCATAAGCGAAAATTGACACCAGTGCCAGGAATTGTCCTTCAGGTGATCCTATTGATAAATAGTTGATTAATTAGTGTCGGATTATTTATTTTTAAGGGTGTCATTGCAATAGGCTTATGTTTACCAAGCAATATCGATGGTCTCATTGATTTCTTCAGTTTTTCGGCATGGATATTCTACGGGATAACATTTTCTGCAACACTCTGCTGTAAATTTACGATGAAAAACGCAGAACGAGTCATCAGTGTAAGTTAAAACATAAGAGAAAAAAACTAAATCAATATTATAATTAGGTTCCAATCCCGTTGATTATTATTATTATTTTGATTTCAATCTATTTGGTCGTCGCACCTGTTATTGCCGCTCCGCAACTTGGATTTCTTCTCGCTAGTCTGTTCATTTTGTTTGGTTTAGTATTTTATTATCCATTTGTTTATCGTAAAATGGAGATCAATTTTATCAGTATGTAAAACAATGAAGTTCGATTGTAGTAAAACCAAACTAGCATATTTTCTTTTCTAGGAAAAGTTAACCGTTTTCTGATAACTTTCTTTCAATTACAACATGCCCAAATTAAAATTTAAAAATATTCATCTTGTTTTTGTATTTAAATAAAATATTTCCTTTTAACATTTATTTCTTCAACTTTTCATGATAATATTTGCTTTGTTTGATCAGGAGAACAAACTTCTTTACTAAATCATTGATGTTCCATCACAAGCGGAGATCTTCATAGTAAGGTAATGTGATTTTCAATGTTCGAAACAAGCAGAATCGAATTAAAATTGTTTTCAAATCGATACCAATGTTTATGTGCGTATGTGCTAACAGAGATTATCGCAATTTCAGCAATTAAGACAGCATCCACAAGAATAGCAAACAAACGAATCACAACACAAAATTGAGATTTTCAATTCTTTGTATTCATTGGAAAGTGTAAAATCTGATTTTGTTTTAGCTTCTTCAGACTTTGTACAGTGAGGTTAGCTGCGATCAATTTTGTAGCAGCGTGAACTCACTCTTAACAAAAACAAACTCGTGAATTATCTCTCACTGCTATCAAGATTGTATAAATACAAGTGATCATTTTTTCATACAATACACTAACAAATAGAGTATGAGCAGAGATTGTGGGTTAACGGTTGAACAGCATTCAACTAGCGGCGTAACCAGAAGTTGTAGGGTGCTGGGACTCAGCCCCAGACTGCCTCACCACTAGAGCCTGTTGAATCTTAAAATAATTTTTTGATCGGATCGGAATCGGATTCCGGGTTAAAAAATCTTGGGTTTGGCGGGCTCTATTAATTAAGATGGTCCTGAAAATATGCTCGTACGTTCATTACCCAGGATGAAACTGGAGAAGAAGCGTTCCATATCCTCGAATTGACTCTTTAATTGTGATTAGAATATTTTAATAACACTACAAAATTACGGTTCGACAAGATCCGAATCAAAATGTCTTGGACCCAACAGACGCTACTCGTCATTTTCATGCATTGACCAATTTGTGTGTGGAGATTCACATCAATGCGCTCTCAAACGTAGCATCAAAGCAATTTAAAAAGCTATGTTTACACACCGAGAATCTTGATGAGTTATCAGTTGATTCAGGTCTATGATCAAAATATTATTAAGAGAAAAAAATAATTTTTTATTTCAACATAATCCCAGCAATGTCCAAAAACTGAGAAATAGGAATTTCTAATCTATCGACGAATTATCAGTGCCACTGTGATAATTCCTAGAATAAATGGTCATAAACCATTAGTTCCCTCACAGCTTCTCTATTCATGAAAGTCGCGATATTGTTTTGTTAAAAATAATTTTTTCGCGGAACTATTGATTCTCAAAATTTTGCAAATGAAAATAAATGTAAGAACAAAAATTATCATGAATATTCCATATTTTTACCTTTAGTATGCAAGGAACTGAGGAAGAATTCCCAATTCTCAGCTGTTGGACACCGCTCAAAGTAAGAAACACTTTTTCGGTTTTTCCTCACGTCGTATTATATAAAAGTATTTAAAGTATAATGACGAATCAAACTTAATGTTTTGAAATACAAAATAGTACCATTTTAATTTATTTACTTTAATATTCATTGATTTCTGTAGAGAATGAGTTCTATAGAGTTCAAATGCTACGAAAAGCAGTCAAGCGTGACAACCGTATCAGAGACGTGCACCGGACAAGATTTTTTGTCCTGTCCTTACCTGTCCTGCTGGCTACTTTGGTTCTGGCGGGCGTCAGAGCAGGACAAAAATCGAAATCTCATCCTGTCCTCCAGGACAGGACACCAGGACAGCAGAACCGCCCTGTCCTGTGCACGTCTCTGAACCATACAGAAAACAAAATTTCAATCATATTTTTAATTGAAACTAAAGTACTATATTTAATAGATATATATTATTGATGGAATGGGATGCTTCAGATGTAGATATTGCATTTTGAATATTTTTATTTTTAATTAAGCGTCTTGACTATTGTTTGATAACATAATAACATCAGCCAAGCAATATCGTACCAGAACTGGGTTTTTTTCGTTAATGAAATGATTTGAATAATCGCGTATCAGCATTATTTTATGAGCAAAATTCAATTACTTTTTATTATTATAGGAAAACTTAGTCAAACACCAGACAATGCGGATTTCTATGCGTAATTAAACGCATTACAGACAATGAACATGTTACGACAGCTTGTGGCAGCATGTTGTCACGTGCGTTTTAGACTATTATTGTATTTAAATGCTCGACAATGTTGTATTTTATTCAAGGAAAGAAAACTTTTCTTTTAAATCGTATTTCGTTTAAAAATGTAACACTTTTCAAAAACGGCAGCACATAGAGTAGAATCAAAGGTAGAGAGAGAAAAATCAGATTTGAGGTAGGTAAACAACACAAGAAGTATATGCAACTCTTTAAAGCGTCAACATTGAAGTCACTGAAAGAGAAAAGAAAAAAGAAACTAATTTTGCAAAGCTTCGTATAAAAATTCGTTGTTCTAATAGTAAATCATTTATTAGTTGCCGATATTGAATTCATTGGTGCCAAATTGATTTTCTTAATGTTGATTCGTACTTTTGCTCAATGGATCAATCAAATCCGTTGGGACGCTCATATAACAGCTGCGATGCGGCCAATGAAAATGACGAAAGTGAGTGATTGAAGTACTTTCCTTTCCAGCACCGCCACATTTGCATCCTAGTATTCCAGAAACCAGGACAAATATTGTAAAACATAGTATTTTGACTCGGACACAACTAACACTTGGTTTATAGTGTCGAGTTTATTGAAAAGTGCAATGAATAGCTTTTCGACGATTCGACAGCAGTGCCCAAGGACTAAGAAATAGGAATTCCTAATGTGTCGAGGAATTATCAGTACCGCTGTGATCATTTTTAGAGGAAATGGGAATCAACTATAAGTTCCCGCACAGTTCCACCATTCGCGAAAGTTGCGATATTGCTGTTTTAAAAATACTTTTTGCATGAAATCATTGATTTTCACAAATTTTCAAGTGAAAATGTGTCAGAACAAAAATTATCGTGAATATTCCATACTTTTACCTTTAGTGTGCAAGGAACTGTAGGAAAACTGATGAGGAATTCTTAATCCTCAGTCCTTGAACACCCCTCTAAATTTGAGCAAATTCGATTGATTGTAAGTTTTATCTCTATGCATGAATTTCAGATTATTATCAAATATGCTTAAAAAAATTGAAAAAACGAAATTCATCTATTCACTTCTCTGTTGTATATCATTTCTTTTTCTCACAAGTCTGATAACAGTTACCTGGAATGACGTGATTGCACAAAGAAGAAAGATGAAGTCATTAGCAGGGTTTTCATCATCAGAAACCAACAAAAACTCTTTGACATTCACAGATTCGCGTTTCATTCATCAAAATAAAACATGGGAAACAACTGTTCAATGTGTGGGTTCATTATATAATCAATCGTGCTTATATCATAATTTATATTATGTTGATGGTACATTTATGATTCTCACAGTTGAAGGAAACTATTTACCACCGTATTCTGTACGAACCGATGCTTTCACTCTATGGCCAACAACACCAAACAAACGTTTTTTTGGTTCATATTCTAATCTTGAAAAGTTCGTTCGTAATACCATCGATCCAAGAATAATTCCATTTGTCACTGTTTATTTTGGTCAATATTGGCATTATAATATTGGGCATGCACTTTTTGATGGGCTTTATCCAGCATATGTTGCATTGATTCGTTTTCCCCCAAGGCATCTTTATCCTTTTCGTATTCTTGCACAACTAGAAGACTGCAAAAATTGTTGGAGCGAAGATATCTATAGTCGTTTTGGTGGCCTTGGACTTCTTAAACAAGAAGCGCTTAATGCATTGTCAATTGGACGTTGGCTTATGTTCGAAGAACTTGTTATGGGCAGTGGAACTTTCTGCCAACGCTGCATGCAACCTCATTTACAATTACCTGGAGGTGTTGAATTAGATGCTTCAAGACTTTTTCGAGATAGAATGTATCAGCAACATGGTGTCATCCAGCCCATTACTAGACGAAGATCTTCATTTGAAAGTAGAACATCTCATGATGTACTTCAGGCATATGTTATCGACAATAAACGTTTTACAAGTAAAGATCGAGACGAAATCCATGATGCCGTAAATGAAATAAATAATTATACAGATTCATTTTTCAATAAAACCATAAACAAGGCTGCTGCTGCTGCACAATGGCCATTGGTTCGCGTCGCTTACCTGCATTACAACCAAGTTACAGCTCAGAATTTTAGTTCCATTCCAAAAAATGTATCAGCGACAAATCTTCCATCGCTGGCATATGAATTAATTGAAAATAATTTTATAGCACAATTAAAAATTCTACGTCAAATGGATATTCATATTACTGGACCAGGTACAGGACAAATGTATCAAACATTTCTACCAGATGGTTCAGTAAATATTAATCTTGGATGTATAAAACCATCTAAATTCGAAAATACAGAAAAACGATACAGTTCATATCTTGAACAGTATATGACAAGTGGTACGCCTTATATCAAAGGTCTTTATTATCCAATTAATGAAAGAACGAAAGGTATCAGAAAAGATCAAGTTATTAAATTAATTCGACAAGCATCACAACTTATTTTTCAACAGTTTCCCTTGCCCGTCAATCCTCGCGACAATCTAGCGCCTGATGGACGATTATTTGTTGAAATGTGTGAAAAAGACAAAGATTTCTGTTCTCTAGTTACGACAAGGACACCAGATAGAGATTTTTCTTGTTTAGATTTTTGGATAGATGATTTTGTACATGAACGTCGTCAGTGGCAATTGGGAGGTTTCATTGATAATGACCGAAATGTTAGCTGCCCTTTTAATCGCTCATTGTTGCATCAATTAAGAGAAAAATATGGTATTGAACACTAAAATTGAATAAATAGAATACCGAAAATAACCGTATACAGATAGATTCGGTGAAAAACGATGATCGTCTCTTAATATACACTAAAACCTCTCTAATGTGAACACTCTCGGGACCGACCGAAAACGTTCAGTATAATGGGGTTATCATATAAGAGGGTGTTAAGCAAAAATAAATCTCAACGTTTATGTTATTACTTTTCATGTTTTTTTAAGCAGTTTTTATCATTTTATTCAGTAGTTTACTACTATTTTAACACTTCACACATTTCCAATTAGATTAGGTTTAAATATCACTTGCAGATTGTTTTTTAACAGGTTTTAAGAATTGGTAAGTAGTTCGCTCTGATGTGTGATAAATGGATATAATTCAGGATGAGTAGTCGAAAAAAGGTATAAACGACGTACCATTTTCACTGCCTCCGATAGTGATCCTCACGATAATGACCATTTTAGTGACAGATACATATATCAGACATGTGGCGCCATCTATTCATGTTCACATTGTTGCGGTTAATACATACAGTCGGGATCATAAAAACGCGTTCACATAATGAAGGGGTGTGTTCAGTGATAGAGGTTTTACAGTATATGCAGTTGTCACTTGTAATTATCAGAGATGATGGTTTCTCATAACAGCCGACATTACTTCTAGAGAGCTCATGAGTCAAAATCTTGTCTTAAAATGCAAATTTTTATCAAAAACTCATATTTGAGTGAGTGAGTAGAGATTACACGAATGTTCACACCCACACACATTCTCAAGAGTTGTCAAAGAAATAACATGTCAATATCTCAAGAAATTGAGAGAGATAAAAGACAAATTTGAGCCGATTCTTCGATATGTTCAGATAAATCAATCAGAAATGCCGAGAGAAATATACAAACCAATTAAATATTCTTTTGTTGACAAGAAAATCATTCAAATAAGAGTTTTGAAAAGAAGTATTCTTTATTCTTTGATTTATACGGAATGATGAATTATTATTATTGTTCCCAGTTTCTTTTTCTTCCGACGGCAAGTAAAAGTCTGAAATAAATCATCGTTAGAAGCTGATTATAGTCGATTTTTGCACGGCTGTGTGAAGTAGGCTAAATTTTCCTGCGCCAAAAAAAACCTAAGTTCATTTCGTCATGAATCTACGATGTAATTTTATTTACGATATCTGAAAATTACGACTATTCATAATAGTCATACTTCAGTCATTCATGAGTATGACATAAGCACATTGGTCATCTGTTTATTTTTCAACCAATCAAATAATCGCACGTGACCTTTACCAAGGACAAGCAAATGTTTTTTCACTAAATAAAATACGCATTATTTTTACAGTATCATTTTTTTTAATGAAAGGAAAAACAAATTTTTAAATGAACGAATAAGTAAATGTCATTCAATCAGCTGACTCAACCAATGTATACAAGTTTCTGTCACACGGTCTCTCGCAACAACAATATTAAGATTCATTCATTCGTTTATTTGTTACCTTCTACATCATCTCTATATGACACGTAATAGTTTAATTTTTTTTTGTTCTAGAAAAATAGTCTGTTTTTTTAGTCTAATTTAAAATGTCAAAAGCATCTGTAAGCCCATAATTGTTTATTTTTGTGATTTAATTCAATTTTTTTGTAGGTTTTGCGTATTCAATCATCGGAAGGTACAAAACGCTTAGATTTTAACAGTCAAGATACATATAAAACTATCTATGAAAAAGTAATTCAATTTTTTGAAAAACCAAAATTAAAACATCCATTCTTTTAGGTTGCACAAATATTTTCACTGTCATCATTGAATGATTTTACATTATACAAAGAAAAAAATAAACAATCACCGCTAGGACGAACTCAAAATAAAACTAATTTAAAACATGGTGATATGATTTATTTAGTTCCTGAACATGCAAATTTATTTCCAACAGATACCAATTCATTGTTGTATGTTCCTACTGATCTTAAATCAGATACACCATCAAATGGAAATAGTTATGCATCACCGAAAGTTGGCTCGTTTCAAATAAATAATTTTACGAAATCAAGTGCAAATGCTACGGACATTAGAGAAGATGATGTCGATATACAATTAGATAAATTAGATGGAAGAATACCAAGAAAACGTGATCCACAATTGTACGAAATATTTTTTTCTTAACATTACTTTTCATTCTTTTTTGTTGAAACATAGATGTCATCATAATGTACATGGAAAATGCTTACATTGTATACCGATTGAACCATATGACGAAGAATTTTTAAAAAATCGAAATCCACCAATTAAACATATGTCATTTAGAGCATCAATTAGAAAATTACAAAGTTCGACAGCTGGCGAAAGGTATATAGAATTCCAAAGAACGTTTCCGGTTATTTATGTTTTCTTGCTTTTTTTTTTATAGAAATACATTTGCTAGTCTTGAAAATATAAGTTGCTCAATTAAAGAAAAATGTGCCACTGGCCATGCACCTTGGCCTAAAGGTAAAAGATTTCAAATCGATGTATTTTTTATTAAGAGAAAATTTGTTTTAGGTGTTTGTACAAAATGTCAACCAAATCCAGTCACTCTTATGCGTCAGGTAAAACAAATTATCTATCGCGTACATTTTTAAATCGAACTGGAGCTATTGGAAAATCAAGTCTTGGAACAATTGTATACTATTTTACTGTTTTGTTTTAGCCTTACCGTCATGTAGACAATATAATGTTTGAGAATGGAAATATGGTAAATCGTTTTTTAAATTATTGGCGTTCATCAGGTCATCAACGTATTGGTTTTCTCTATGGTCGCTATGAAATTTATGATGGCGTACCGCTTGGTATTCGTGCAGTTGTTTCAGCTATCTATGAACCGCCACAAGTTCGTAGGAGAAAAATTTTTCAGATTTTCAAACGATTTTTTATCTTCAGGATACATCAAGGGATAGTGTAAAATTAACTCTTCCAGATCCACATGAAGCACTGATAAATGACTTAGCACGTCGTCTTAATATTCGTCGTATCGGATGGATTTTTACTGATCTTATACCTGATGAAAGTAAATCCGGTGGTGGTCCTGTTCTTCACCATCGTGGCAATGTGGTACGGCGAATCTTCTATCGAAATTTATAAACTGATTTTTCTATTTTCAAATAGAATTCCTACTTTTTAAGTGCTCAGGAATGTATCACGGCTGGTTGGTTTCAAAATAATCATCCAAACACATGCAAATATTCACCAGATGGCTATTTCGGTTCAAAATTTGTGACTGTTGTTGTTACGGGTGATGTATCAGGACAAATTCATTTTGAAGGCTATCAAGTATCAAATCAATGTATGGCTTTGGTGAAATCAAAGATTTTATTTCCAACATACGATGCACCTGAATTAGGTTACGTTCGAGAAACAAGTTCAGAACAATATGTTCCTGATGTTTATTATAAAGTAAAGGCAATTGAATGAAAAACGACAAAAACGATTGTGTTTTTCTCTTGTCCTAGGAAAAAGATTCATATAATAATGAAATAATGAAAATAGCGCGTCCATTACCGCTTGAATATCTTATAATTGATGTTCCAACAGGCTTTCCTTCGAGCGATGCACAAATTCAATCAACATTTAATGATGATTGTCAAACAATAAAAACACCGTTTTGTGTTGAAAACCGAATGCAAATTGGAGAATTACAAGTAAACGACTCTGCTCTCTCTCTATGAAACATAAGAATAATATTCTATTTTCTATAGGATATGAATGCATTAGCAACATATTTACAACAGTTTTCAAAAACTGGAGGTGCTGGTGTAACTACTTCTAGCGCAAGTCAATTTAAAGCTACAGACATTTTAAGTGATATTCATCTATTAAGATATTTGGCTGTTAATGATATTATATCATTTTCAATGGTAAGACATTTTGTTTTTACAAAAATTTATTTATCTCATAAATAATTCATTATGATCAGTTGACTGAAGATATATTCATTTTTGCCTTTGTAGGATCAACTCGATCCATTACTTGATTCTATACGTACGCATGATCTTAATGGTATTGAAACCTGGATGGAAGGTTCCGATTGGCAAACAATAGTTCAAGTTCTACAATCACATGGTAATATTTAATAATCTGGATTTTTGTTTTTCAACATATGCTTTTAATTCGAAGGTCCTAATACACCATTAGGAGGAGGAGGAGGAGGTACTCGATCATCGTACATGGATTATGAAGATCAACACGATCTAGCATCTTCATCGTCTCAATGGAACTGTCCACGATGTACTTTTCTTAATATTGGCTCATCTCGGACATGTGAAATATGTTCATGTGAAAAAGGTTCTTAGTTTTATCCCAGTATTTCTATATGAATTTATTCGATCATGTTTATTTATTTCTATCTCATACATATTGAAACCAGCAAAATAAAAAACAATTGCCAATCTAGATTGAACAAAAAAAACTCGATGTTAATTTGTTTTTTTTTATTCCAGATTGATATGATTTATTATTATTATTATTAATTTGTTTTTCTTGAAAAAGAGAGTAAAAAAAGAAATCACTATGAGTGCACTAGCGAGTAGACCTAGTGGCGGAGCAACTGGTGGTATTACCGGAGGTAGCAGTGATGGATCAACGGAAAATGATGTTCTATCGCAATATAAGGTTCTTACATTAACATTCAATCAAGATTGTACGTAAGTATTTGATTGGATAATTTCACATTCGAAGAAGATAATATTTCACGTATTGAATAGATCTCTAGCTATGGGTACAAGAAAAACCTATGCCTTATTTACCATCAATCAAGATAATAAGATTGATGAAATCTACGATTGTGGTAAGTTTAATGTGAACAGTTTTTACGTCTTACGTTAGTGTCCAATATAACTAGAAAAGTGCAAAATAGTTCCAATGTGACCAGAACTTGAAGATTTGCTGAGCCGGTACCGGCATATATTCCGATCAGGAAATTTTCATATTCTTCTCGGCAAAATCATGATTTTAATAACAGTACAGATCTGCATATTTTCGACCCCAGGAAAGTTTTAAGTAAGACAAAATATAGCAGATATACTCATCCTAGTGATTTCTTGCATTCAACACTAGTCAACTATAACTTTTTTTTCTTGAAGAGAAATCAGCACTACCAGCGAGAAAATTTGTTTTTTACTAATATAGGGACCAAAAAAGCGGTTCCCACCTGACTGTATAGAATTTCAATTTTAAATTATATTGTAATCGATCATTTACAGTTCTCCAATTGTCAAGAACTTTTAGCATTTTTTTATCGAAAAGTCGTTGCAACAATTACTAACCAATAATAAATAATAGTTTCAATTTGTTTTTTGAATTTTAGCTTATGACGATGTATCCATAATTGAACGTCTATTTTCAAGTTCATTAATAGCACTTGTTAGTAATCAAGCACCACGCAAATTAAAAGTGTGTCATTTTAAAAAAGGAACAGAAATATGTTCGTATTCATTTGCTAATTCAATTCTTGCCGTTAAGCTCAATCGATTGGTAAAAGAATTCAAAGTTTGTTTGAAGTCTACTAAAAAACTCGAACTTTTATTCTAGAGACTTGTTGTCTGTTTGGAAGAAAGTATTTATATTCATAATATGCGCGATATGAAAGTATTACATACAATTCGAGATGTACCATCGAATCGTGAAGGCCTATGTGCATTATCATCCAACAGCGATAATTCTTATTTAGCTTATCCGGGCAGTTCAATAACTGGTGAAGTACAAGTTTTCGATACATTAAATCTGGTTTGTTGAGCACGTGTTACATATTTATTAGAAAATTCATTTTTCTAGAAACCAGGTATTATGATCAGCGCTCATGAAAGTCCACTTGCCGCAATAGCTTTCGATATAAGCGGAACAAAATTAGCAACTGCATCGAATAAAGTATTTGATTTATTGGAAAATATTATGTTTTATTGATGGAATTTTGTTTTCTAAGGGAACGGTTATTCGCGTTCATAGTGCTGTGGATGGTTCACGACTTTTTGAATTTCGCCGAGGTGTCCGACGGTATGTAATGAAATCAGTCTCTGTGATAAAATACATATTAAAAATGCTTTTGCGTAGAGCTGCTACAATATGCTCGTTGGCGTTCAGTCCTGATTCAATGTTTTTAGCGGCATCAAGCAATACAGAAACAATACATATATTTCGTTTGACTAATCCAAAAGAAAAGTAAATATTTTCATTTTGAGAAAACTTAATAAAATAATTTCTTGTAATTCAGAGCACCTGAAGAAGCTACATGGATGGGCTATTTTGGTCGTAAATTAAGTGATGTTGCCCATTATTTACCAAAACAAACATCTGAAGTATTAACACAAGATCGTTCATTTGCTTTTGTACATTTACAATCACCTGGCATGAAAACAACTATTTCTATGAACGTGTAAGTAATAAAAAAACATTTTTGTAAACAATATTTATATTCCGTATGTTCTTATTAAGATTAAATAAAACATTGAAATTATTTGTTGCCGGTTACGATGGTGTGGTTTGTGTATATGAAGTGAACACAAACGATGGCGGCGAATGTAAACAAATTAGTCAGCATCTCTTGTTTAGCATGTCGCCGAACTTAACTAATCAACAAATAGTAACAACCAACGAGTCACGAAATTCTATTGGTAAATGTGCGAACAAAAAAAATAAAAATTAATCAAATAATTTTTTCTTCAGGAAATGCAATAACAAATGATAATGCATCTGTTACATTAACACCAACAAGTCCAACAGCACCGAAAAATCTTGTTCATCCATCATCGAGTATTCCAAATGATGAACAAAATTCTCCTCGATTACCTGCATCACCACCGGGCCTTTATGATTAATTATCTAAACTAGTTTGTTTTCGTTTTTCTTGTACAAAGGTTCTCCATCAGTGCGTGTGTTTTATATTAACTCTCTTGTCTATATATTCTGAAAGATAAACAACTAGATTAAGAAGTAAAGATGTACCTTGGTCTTATCTGGTCATTCATTCATATTATTTTTCATCCTTTTCCCTCTCTCTGCAAAATTACTTATTCTCGTTTTTGTAATTTTATTTGTAGACATATATATGTATATATATATATATATATATATCATTTCGTGAATTTCTGTTGTACATTTGATAAATATATATATATATATATATATATATAGTATGTTCTTTGTCGTATCGATCGGTTTTTTCTCGCTTTCTCTCTATTATTACGCCCTTTGTCACTTTTTTCTCTGTGAGGGCATTTTTCTTTTCTATCTTATATTGTAAAAAAGCGATGTTTGGATAAAAAGAAATTTTTTTAATTTTAATGCATAGAAGAAAAACTTGTTAGTGCAGCTTGTTTATTATTGAAATGCGGCATTCAGATTTTTCGTATAAACTAGTGAATATTGAGAAAATTATCATAGTTTGCTTTTGCACAAGAAAATACCGTTGGTTGTCGTTTTTTGCTTAAACAAGTTTGATATCAAGTTCTATGTTAGACTTTTATCCTAAATCTATCCTGATATCAGCATGAAGGTTTATGATTGGCTTTGAATTAATTATTTTTCGCTATATCTTAAACCATCATATTGATGCTTGTATAAGATTAATAAAATTTGACTACTATCAAAACAAGCAAATATCTGTTACAAGTCAAATAATCGTTTTTTCTTATTTATCAAGTACTTAATGTATATTTTTATCGCGATACACTTGCATGCCTCTATCTCTATCTTTTCTTTTTCTTACCAATTAGAAAAGTCAAAGCTCTATGGCTTTTTTTTTTTATCTCAAGGACACCTTTGAATATGAGAATCGCTTCATAATTTTTCTATTTGCCCATTAATCACCATTAAGTAACCTTGAAGTTTCTATCACATGATTTCCCTCTGCATCGAACACTAATACGTATTACGTGTATCATTGTGAAAACGAACAATTAATCATCGCGCATTGAAAATTCTGTAGCATCAGAGTCAGATAATATTTATTCGAAATAGCTACGTCTATTTTTCTTTCTCAATAAATATTCTCCTGAGCATGTTCGTCTCAGTTTTCAAGGTGAGCACACATTATGCCCCATTTATTCCTAAAAAAATCGACGAAATTTGCTTTCTCATTTTGCGTAATCACCGTAAAGATAAAATTTCCCGGCAGGCCATTGCAGAGGAGTGAGCAAAAAAGGTACGAACGCCGATATTTTGTCACGATATTAAAAATGTTTGCATTCGAAATTATTGAATTGCATGCTAATCATAATTTAAGATACCATGCACGGCCAACCAATTAACCGAAGATCAATTATCCCAGGAGATCTTAAATGAGCAAAAATAGAAAAAAGTTCATTTGTCAACGCAAAATCTTCGATGAATCGTCATGCAACACAATTAATTTAATATGATTAAAAATTCTGTCGGGATATGCGCACTTTTACGTATTCTCTACAAAAACAAATTAAAAATAATTGGTAACAACGAAGTGCCTTCGGGACTTCTATGATACGCGTTCTGAAAAGTAAAGCAAAATCGAATGACGCTGCGTAATTTGCAATATAGAAATCATTTAGAAGTTTTCGCAAAGAACAGATTCAACTTCGGGCTATTGATCTTAATTTCAATATTTGAGTGTTTTTTTTCAAGGTGAGACGCTGCTCGATATTCGTCGAGAGCTCCTAAATGAATAATTAGGTTTATTTGTGCCCTGCTCGTCTAACGACAAATAAGAAATAGCTTTTATGCGTGCCTTCAAGTCTTCACTTGAGAATATAATCAATCATTCATTTTCTTATTCCTAGCGGAACGTGTTATATAAACATTACAAAAGCAAATCAAGTCCGTGTAATAAACATTAGCATAAATATGAAGACACTTGTATAGTCTGAAGCATCTATCATTGTATGAATGTCTTACACATTTGATTTTGACATTCCGGACGATCAAAATGTTCTAGTGTTCATTATTATTCATAGATGTCTACATGAATATTATTTTATGATTCTTTTTTTTCTTCTCTTTATTTCAAAAGTGACGTTATTTTAAAGTTCACAATACATTTCGAGGTAAATCAGCACCTTTTTCAAATGTTCCCCATTTCTCACGAGGTATATCGTTGAATAATGCTTCTAATCGCTCTTGTCCTTCGTTGTCGTCGGCGTATTTTCGAATGAAAATTTTAGCAATACGATCCGGATATTGACTATAAATATTTGCGTAAATATCTGGATCCTTTTGAAAAATATCACCAAGTAAAACAAATCTACGATTACGTGTATTTTGTAAGAACATTTTTAATGTTTCCGTTTTCTTCGCCATATAACTTGATGACATAAAGAATGTTATGAAATTAACGTCAAGCCATGTGAAATGTCTCATATGTGCTGAGCCCGATGGAAATCCTGTTCGATCAAAAAATTCTCTTAAAAATGGATAGAGTTGGTCAGGCGACGCTGTCAAATACGCAAATGTCGCATTATATTGATCTTGCCAATATTGATAAATCTCAGCCATGCCATCAACAGCTTTAAAATTGCCACTGAATGTATTAATAAGTGTTTGCGTCGTTGATGTCACTCCTGTGACTTTAATTGTGTCATCAATATCACTTATAAATGTTATGCCTTCATCGTCACATAAGAAAATTTCACCAGTTTCCTTTATGTTTTTATTTGCTACCGATGTTTCAAATAATAATTTCCCACGACTATCATCGGATCGACGGAATGCTTGAACTTCTTGATCAGTCATCGTGAACGCATTTTTAAGACGGCCATCTTTGTCCGTTTTAGCGCACATCGGTCGACTGAGACCGCCGATGCATAAATCGGTTTTGTCTTTACCTTCGGCAGTAAACATTTTAACACGGTTACTATCTAAATCTTGTCGAACAACAAGTTCCAAAGATTTTTCCATTAAAAATGATTGAATTGGGTTTTCTTCATAGTACCAACCTTGATTGTATAAAGTCCAATCGGCTGGTGATTTCGTTGATGAACGATCTCGAAACGCAACAGATGGTACAAGAATCAGACCTTGTTTATCGGTTAGGAAGGCATTGATTGCTGTTGAAACAAATAAAACAACGACGAAAACGCAATACATTTGGCGCATGATTGATGAGTGCTGGTTTTAGATTAGTCCTGGGCATGGCTATTTATTCGTCTTACAATTGCAAAAGGCAACTAATCCTATTGTATAAATTGTTTTTCGATTTTTTTTGCACATCATACGTTACTATTATCGACAAATAACAAAGGTTAGAGAGGTATTCTATTACCGAACTGGTTTATATTCATTGTTATTTTTACGAAAATCCTTCCACCTGCATTCTAAATTGCAATTAACAGACATTGAGAATAGTTGCATTGACAATGCAAAATCAATATCCAACCTTTTTTTTTACTTTTCATTTTGATTTCATATATACAAAGAAAAAATAACACAGAAAAATATCTAAAATTCTAATTATGTTTACCTATGACATAAATGAATACTCTAAAGGAAATAAAGGACATTTATTCATAGAATCGGCCCTATAAGCGGAAATTTATGTCCGCCAAGAAATTCCAGTCTTTTAACAAGAATCACTCCAGCTATCATAATTTTTCTTTTTTATTATCAGTAATATAATATGCATACTCCTACATTCTAATTATTAAATTTAAAAACATATATGCCATTTATCATTTCTTCTCTTCCATTTCGTATAACAATATGAATAAGAGCTGATATAAGTTGTGCATAACTTGCTCCGTGTCCGCCGTACTCGTACGATATTGTTCCTTGTACTGACTGTTCATTCCATGGCAGATGACTTGACGCAAGTTGTGACGGATAACTGCCATCTAAAGTTCCATATATTGATGGAAATGTTCGCCCGATATCTAATGTTGCTGTACTCGACGAACAAGGACCAGCAAACAGAGTAATGACCATATGTGATTCAAATAAATGATCGATTACATTCAATCGTCGTTGTATTTCAAATGTTATCGTAAATACATGTCTTTTTAATAGACGAGTACAATTGATATATTTCAACGATATACGATCGTCAAATTGAGAGATTTTCGCATTCACATTTTGAGTGAAACATGGTACAGTGATTTTTTCGTCGTTACTTTTAGTTAGATACAATAAGGCACAAAAATTAATGAAGCTCGTAGTCACATGCAACGACAGCATGAACGAAATATTCCTGAACGTTCGTGTTTATGTGTCATGAACTAATATAACGAACGAAAAAAAAATTATATTTTTCTTGTTCTTGTTTGCAATATGCTTGTCCTCCCTTCCCTCGGTAAATATAACCGAGCGAAAGAACGAAAAAGCTCAAACCACGAAACTTTGCGTATTAGTAATTTCATTTATTTATTTTTGCTTTGTTGCACCTACGAGTATGTCTCATAGGGCTGTTCGTTATACTTGTCTCGTTTGAATGCAAACGCCGCGCGATGCTTTAAGTCATATAAATTATACGACAAATATTGTACACCTTATTTTACAAGAACGAAAAGAAAAAGAAATAATAAGTTTTCAATCATTTACTTATTTTTTAAAGAGCATTTATTCTACAACTATTATATTAATTGACTAGTTCGTCTATTCAGATGAGGAATGCTTGCGATGGTACATCTCTAGAATGCTTTTCTCGATATTAATTCATGCTGAAAACACACCGATAGATTGGACATTATTCTTTTCTCTTTTTTTTTGTGATCACATGAAATATGACGAGCTCAGTTACATTTTTATTTTTATTTTTTAGTGAAATTGCCAACGCAAAAAGAGTATATTCTCTTCTTTTTCTTTTCTCAGTCTTTTTTTCCTCTTCTACTTGAAAATTGTAAGTATTCTCGCAAAATCAACAGATTTGCGAATGTTAAAATTCTGCTTCAGACTTGTTTTTTTACTTGATCGATCGCGCCATCATTAGAACGGGTTACTCTATCAGTTGCAATATAATGAGATTCAAAGCTAAGTACAGCAGCGAAGGAAAACAACAAAATATCGTTGTTTGCGGCATCTTTTTTTATACTGTTCGATAATTAGTACCGTCATTCAGTGAAACATATCGAACGTGTCTTTATGTGTGTCAACCATAAATGTTAGTATTATGTTTCTCTCCTGGTTTTAGCATTATGCATCTGTCCAACAGTGTTTGAGAATGCATTTTTTATACGAATGTAAATGTATGGACAGGAATTCGCAGCTCCCTTTTCTCCTGCTGTGTCTATATAATGGCAGGCAGATGAGTACACGTTTGATTTTTTTCTCTTTTATTCTCTCATGTTTCATCATGGTATTGTGGTACTCTCTGCTTCTATTATGTGTTGCTTGCGAATAGAGGAAAGACGAGCGAAGGAGAGCAACAGAGATGGAGAGGTAGGAAGGGAAAAAGAACGAACAAGACGCACTACACATTGCTGCTCGACATCGACGCTGTTTAGAACGAGAGAAAGAAAACGAGAGAAAGAAAACGAGAAAAAACTATTTTGGTGTATATACTCGTTTCATTTGTAATTTATGCTTGATTATTCACTCTTTGCGCAGCCAGTTTCTTATAAGCCGTTGCTGTTTAGTTCTTGGCTTGCTTTGTTATTAATTGCTACATATTAGTCTATTGAATGAATCTTTCGTTCTCTTTCCATCGGACAATTTTGCAATTAGTTCACAATATTATTGCTGCCTACAATTTAGCACACATCCTCAGCTTTCCGGTAGCACTTTCTTCGTCTATTTTCTTCATCTTCTTCTTCTATTTTATTTTGTGTGAATAAGATATTACCATTATCAGTCAAAATCATAGTTTGAGAATGTACGCCAGTAAACTAACTACCACTGGTTCCATATACTAGATTTAAAAATATGCGTATACATTTATATAAGAAATAATTTTAAAAAAACAATCCGAAAAAATTTCCCTTGAGTATAAGTAGATTATTTGACGTGTCGATTCTGGAAGCAATCACAAATTCATATATTTTTCACAACACGACATTTGCTCATGACAGTTGATTTTTAAGATAAAATAGGAAATCGTTCGTTATTTCTTGACACTTCAAATTAATAAGTTTAACACGTTTCTTAATCACTATTACTAATAATATAATAGGAGCCAACATAATGGCTCTTCACGTTTATTGATGAATGCATCTATTCTTGACACGAGTTTCGGGAAGAGCAGATGTAGACAGATGCAAGACAAAGAAGGTGCACACACATGCTTAAAAAAAAATAGAACGAAGAAAAGAAACACACAGAGTTTCTGCTGTCGACAATGACAACAATAAAGAGATGAAATATAACATATAATGTTAACGAAATTTGACTCGTTCTCTTTGTCATTTGTCAGCTTGTCTTTGTTAATAAGTGTACGTTAGATCCGATTGGACGATTAGTAATCTATTGTTTATTGGATTTTTACTAGTCATAAAAATTCTAAATGAGAAAATGATAGAACAGGGAAAATGTGTTGTTAAGGTCAAATACGTTTCAACACGAAAGCGCTTCCTTTTTTATTAAATGAACTTAGTGCTGTTGTTAATCACTTAAAAATTTGAAAGAATAGAGAAAAAATATTTCTCTTTCTTTTTTTCTTCTTCTTTTTGTTCTTGTTCTGCTTCTTTTTTTTTGTTGTCTATGCATACTGATTTTGATAAAAGAGAAGATCAGAGAAAAAATAATATAAGAAAGAAGAAAAAAAAGGCAAACGATCTGACGCGAGTTTAATGTGGTTTTAGTGCTTTTTTTCTTCGTTTAACTGACATGTGAACATTGGCACGCAAATATATGCAAAATGTCGACTGAATCCTATAACTCTACTACTTTTAACTGTCAACGATTCAAATGCTCAGGTCGTGGTCTTATACTACCATTTGGTAAGCAACCAGACCTCGATTTTTACATATATATATATATACATTTTGAGCTATAAACATTATTTTTTTCCTCAATAAAATAGGTATTGAAGCATGCATGTCAATACAATTACGAGCAGTACTTTACTTCGTCTTTTTGCTCTATCTATTTCTTGGCATTGCTATCATTGCTGATATATTTATGTCAGCTATTGAAACTATTACATCAAGAAAACAAAAAATACGTTACCCGGACCCAGGAGAAAAAGATAAATACTTAACTGTTGAAGTTCGCGTATGGAATGACACAGTTGCCAATTTAACATTGATGGCACTTGGTTCCAGTTCGCCAGAAATTCTTTTATCAATTATTGAAATCGTTGGAAATCGTTTCGAAGCAGGAGAACTTGGCCCGGGAACAAGTAAGATATAATTCATCGATTTATTTTCGTGTCAACCAATATAGGAAATCTGACTTTTGCTGTTCAATCAAAAACAGCATAGAGATAAATAGATGATAAAGGTCATGATATTATTATTCTTTTCTTTGCCTCTTTTTGTTAAACCGATCTGTCATTTTTTACTTATGACAATAGAAACAAACCTTTATCGTAGCTGTTAGTTTCGTGCTTGCAAATATACGTTGAAAAGATCAAGCAAATTAGAAATTTAAAAAAATGAATCTTTAATCATTTTTAATATGTATCCTTTTTCAAATTGATTTATATCGTCTATAATAAATGCATAAATTAGTAGCACAAAATATCTCCTCCCTTCCTGCCACTTCTTCGACTCTGTCATAATCAAAGAGCATAATCGTATTTTTCAGTACCATTTTATGTCTTAGTTGTTGTCGATGACATTCTATTAACGTAAAAATCGGTGCTAATTTGTAATAAGTTAAATAAAAAATTTTTGAACAAAAAAAAAATTCAATCAGTAAAACTTCTCTAATGAGAACATGCTCGGGACCGGCGAAAATCGTTCAGTATAACAGGGCGATCAGACAGAAGGGGTGTAATCAAAAGTAATGAAGCTTAAATTTATTACATTCTGTGTTACTTGAGGCACTATTTTATTCAGAATAATTTAAGTCTTTAGAAGCATATCAATTTCAAATATAGCTACCTCTTTAGGATGTTTGATACTGCACCTAAGGATACTTAAAATTTTTCTTTTAATTGGCGATGAGAGAAGCCATTTTCTTTATCCCGAATTAAATTCATTTTTTGTTCTAAATCAAGTTCCTGACGAGATGCCATATTTAACAGGCAATATTGACAATGATCGAAAGTCATGATTCTTTCTCTGCTTCTAAATTTTCTCGTTTCTTCTTGCTTATGATCTAACTATGGAACCAACCAGAGTTGTCTTAGGCATCTCCGCAGTGCCAATCATGTTTTCTATTCGAGTGGCGCCCTCCATTAATGTTTACATTCGTGAAGTGGATATAAACTGTCGGGACTATAAAAAAGCGTTCAGATTCAGAACAAACGGGTGTTCTTGCAGGAGGGGTTCAAAGCCAGCAAAATTGGCTCGGCTACCTTGCAGTATTTTTAATAGGATTTCGAAGCACAATGTACGCGTACACTCTGCTGCGTTGAATTTGGTCGAAAGTAAAAACTTTTTTTCTTTGTGAAAATGAATCAGTCAGTAGACTTAATTAAAACAAAACGTTTATTATTAAAAGAAGATTAAAAGAAAGTCTAAAACTTTTTTTGAGAATGGTTGTTAATCCATAGTTAAACAATGTTCTATCTGCTTGATTAAAACTTCTTTTTTTTTTATCACAATTAAAGACAAACTTTCAAGAAGTTTACATGCTGTAATGAGATAGTTGCTATATATATATATATATATTGCAACGTGCTTATTTGACTTTGTAATGCAGTTGTTCTTGTGTCTTTCGGCTTCAGTGCACCAGATGGTCATTCAAGTTGATACCTTCTTTATTCGAATTAATGAAATATCAATCATCGTTGATAATAGATATTGAATCAGAGGGAGCCATCACTTTTATTTTGTTTCTCGAATAATAAATGATTAAAGATTCTTATTCGTATTCTTCTTCGTCCATTTCTTTGTACTGAATGAACAATAGTGTGATAGATGGATCATAAATTTACAATGAGATAAGTCAATATTCGTCGTGAAATAATGACATCTTCATCGCGCACTTTTCCAACAGTCTTCATTTCAACTTCCCTTTTTTTACAACAACGTTTTATTTCAATGTTCGTATTTTCGACATTCTTGCTTTCGACCAAATTCAAGTTTACTTTTTTGTGTACTCAAAAAACAAAAATGAGTACACTATAGAATCGGTCAGTGTGTCCGTCCGTTCACACGATAGCTCCTGAAAGGCTGATTCGATTGTCATGAAATTTTGTACACACAATGATCTCATCAATATTTCAGTCGTGTTCGAATATGAGACGGATCCGTCAAGAAATGGCTGAGTTATCGAAGAAATTGTCAGTATTAATCAGACCATCCCTGAGGACGGGGGGGTGGAGGTACAGGGATTTTTTATCTCAGAATTATTCGTAACATATATAAATCGACTCAGTTTTTGCAGTACACATAACAATCGGATGCAAATCCGATGCTTCCGCATTTATTTCAAGCCTAATATTGGTTAGAATATATAATCCCCACCAATGTGGCTGATGAAATTATATATATATTTATATCCATAACCGTATGACGAACGTGATCGCTCATTAAAGATAGAAGAAATATTGGAAACAAGATTTGAATTGCAATTCTATATAATTTTCGTTGTTTTAGTTGTTGGTTCTGCTGCTTACAATCTTTTAATGATTAGTGCTATATGTATTGCGTCTATAAATGCACCAGAAACTCGAAGAATTAAGTTATACAATGTTTTCTTGGTAAATACAGTTTTCTTTTTCATTGAAATCTATCGTATTATAAATGTATGCAAATAGGTCACGTCATTTTTTGGTTTCTTTGCTTACATATGGTTATTCATCGTTTTATCAGTAATCTCAAAGGATGTTGTTGAACTTTGGGAAGCAGTACTTACATTTCTTATGTTCCCACTGGTCGTTATATTAGCTTATCTGGTAAATAAATACATATTAAAACTGAACTAAAAGCTAATCAAATCGATTTTCTTCATTTCATTTATATTAGGCTGAAAAGAATTGTTTTGCTTCGAAAAAAATTGAAATGGCAGAAGAAGAAAAACTTATAATAAGTAGGAATTCATCAAAAATTCAATTTTAAACTAATTAAACATGTGCAATGTTTATATTTAGCCCCACCCGAAACAGATGCAGCAGGTGTTCCGCGTAGTTTTCATAAAGATGAACTTCTTCAATTCTTACGTGTAAGTTGATTTTGATTCAATAAGGAAAAAAAACAATTTCAAGTCAAATTCACCTATAGGATCTTGGCCAATCATCAAATCTATCAATAGAAGATAAAGCACAATTATTTGCTGCTAAACTAAGTGAAAATATGCATCGATCGCGTATGCAATATCGAATTCAAGGTGCACGTATGCTTACTGGTGGCAAATCTTTGTTTGTCAATTTACCAGATAAACTTCAAGAGGTTCGTAAATATGAATACCTAGAAAAAAAAATAAGTCTTTGGTTTTTTTTTCTTTTTAACACCTACTTCACTTTAATATATTTCTTATAATATCTCTATACATATCAAAACAGATATATGAAAAATATCAAAAGATTGACGATGAATCATCACCATCAGCAATAGCGCAAGAAATTGATTGCCTGCCAAAACTTGAATTCACTGCTACAGCCTATGCTGTACTTGAGAACGAACAAAGAATTGATATTATTATCAAACGAACTGGTCCTATTAATGTCAACGTTCGATTCAGGTGCCTACATTCATTCATAAATAAATATAAGAATGCCTAGGCTATATTATACAATTGCAACATTCACTGCACCATATACTTCTAAACATATTAATATCTTTTCTAACTTAATATCTAGCTCTTCTATTTCTTCTTCTCCTTCTTCTTCTTTTTCTAATTCTTCTTCTTTTTCTAATTCTTCTTCTTCTTCACTGATTTTAAATATTTCATCTAATAATACGATAGGCAAATATTCGTAAATTAGCATGGTTCGTTTAGATATACCAACGAGCTGTCAAACCGCAGCCATTTGATACTACTTTCTCGACTGACCATAAAGCTGGGGGTCGAAAAAGTACGTTAACACGAAATGACATCGATGAGGATCCACAAATGGCTATACTTGAGTTTGCCTCATCCAGTTACGCTGTACTTGAACGTGAACAGCGCGTAACTGTTGAAGTCGTCAGGCACGGTTTTACTAAATCTGTTGTTCACTTTCGGTAGGTCCGATCGATGTTTAGTATTTTTGTGAGTGTTCTTCCCTGTGTGATAAAAAAACAAAAGGATATTTTCATAATTTCCTCAAACGCTTTCATAGATGATGTAGAGTTTTTCTTTGCAAAGTTATTTAAAAACAAAATCTAGGAACCCGAGCTTCTTCTAGGCAATTATCTTATTGCTCTAAGCTTGCCCGCTTCTAGCTTTTCTTTCTATTGCACATTATAAACACGCTGAAGCACGTTTTCATATATATATATATACAAAGTGCTGGGAAAAAGTTTCGAAACAACTTTCTTTTCTCAATTTCTGAATACGAACAGCTTGCTCGAAATTTCTAAATACTGCTTTTAATAGAACTTATGACGGCTTACAAGACTAACGTGCGAAAACTTTTAGAGCACTGATATCTCATCAATGATTAGGAAAAGTCTTTTTCCCCAGCGGAAAGAAGTTTAGAAACATTATGAAGATTCATTTCATTTTCTTTTTGTTTATGATGACTAGCAGTTGTATTATACAGCGTTCGATGTAGAATTTAACGGGCTACATTTTGCTTAAAAACAACTATTAGCTCGCCCAATTATTGATAGGTTAATAGTTAGTAATTAACTAATGGAATTTTCAATTAACTATCGTTTTTCTATTGTTTCATACGGAAGACCATTGAGAACTGAGCAAAACGCTATATTTATCAGTTCAAATTTCATCGGTTCTGGGGCATTTTAAGAGTTCTTTCAAATTTTCTTAAGTGCAGCATTTAATAATTTTGAATAATTAATCTATCTCAGGACCAGTCATTAGTTTTGAAACAGCATGAATTTTGAAGAGAAACCTATCCTCTATCAGTTGGGATGTGATCACTCGAAACTGAGTATTCTATTTGAACTTTGGAACGCTTTTAAATATATGAACGAAAAAGCAATGGAAAATTGCATGGAAATGTACCATTGTAGTGCTACTTTGAGACAAAGACGACATAGAGTCTTAGTAGAATACTCAGTTTCGAGTGATCACATCCCAACTGATAGAGGATAGGTTTCTCTTCAAAATTCATGCTGTTTCAAAACTAATGACTGGTCCTGAGATAGATTAATTATTCAAAATTATTAAATGCTGCACTTAAGAAAATTTGAAAGAACTCTTAAAATGCCCCAGAACCGATGAAATTTGAACTGATAAATATAGCGTTTTGCTCAGTTCTCAATGGTCTTCCGTATGAAACAATAGAAAAACGATAGTTAATTGAAAATTCCATTAGTTAATTACTAACTATTAACCTATCAATAATTGGGCGAGCTAATAGTTGTTTTTAAGCAAAATGTAGCCCGTTAAATTCTACATCGAACGCTGTATAATACAACTGCTAGTCATCATAAACAAAAAGAAAATGAAATGAATCTTCATAATGTTTCTAAACTTCTTTCCGCTGGGGAAAAAGACTTTTCCTAATCATTGATGAGATATCAGTGCTCTAAAAGTTTTCGCACGTTAGTCTTGTAAGCCGTCATAAGTTCTATTAAAAGCAGTATTTAGAAATTTCGAGCAAGCTGTTCGTATTCAGAAATTGAGAAAAGAAAGTTGTTTCGAAACTTTTTCCCAGCACTTTGTACATATATATATATATACGCTAAATGTTCTGCTGCACTGTTTGTATTGTTGGTCAAGGGCATAACTATAAAAATAACAGCAGCGCATTTATACTTATGCTAATATGATTCGATATTTAGACTCGATACAATTGATGGTACAGCAACAGCAGGCGAAGATTATATTAAATTGTCTGAAGAATTTGTTATGGAATCTGGCCAACAAGAGAAAAAAATTACTATTCATGTTATCGATGATAATCAATGGGAGCCAGATGAGACATTTTTCGTTAAATTATCATTACCAGAAAGCGAAGAAAATCATGCTAAAGTAGGATCAAAAACAGTTGCACTTGTTACAATTATTAATGATGATGGTAGATAAATTTAATATTTAAAAAGAAAAAAAAACGAAAAAATGTTTTTTTCTTCTTCTTAGAACCTGGTTATATTCATTTCGAAGAACCAATTAATCTAGTTAAAGAGAGTGTTGGAAAAGCTGAAATCAAAGTTGCACGTGTGAATGGTGCCGATGGACGAGTTAGCGTTCATTATCGAACAAAAGATATCGAAGCCGTAGCAACAAGAGATTATGAACGTAAGTAAAATCAGCGGTGAAGACAATTAGAGAACTCTTATAAATGTTTTGTTCTGTGTGAAAAGAAATATCCGTTTCAAACTTGTGTATTTATATTTTGCAAAAGGAATTGATTTCAGTGATACTTGCCTATGAAGTAGCTGCAAAAATGTTGTTTCTTCAAGATAATGAATTTCTTAAAAAACACTCTATTTCTTGATTTCGCACGAAAACAAAACAGAAAAATGGCAATATTCTCAACTGTTAGAAAAAAGATAATAACTAATAATAGGACCGAATATAAAACGCAATTTCCTGATGTGTTGACGTCTTCGAAAACAATTTCCGAAGATTATGCAGATTACTTCGTGATAAAAAATAGATCTAATAGTATTTTTTGTATCGCATTAACGATTCATTGAAGAGAAGAAAAGCAAACGTTAGATTGAGAGCAGCCTATGTTAATTTTATCAAATAAATTCTCAATGAACTATTGTCTTGATTTCGGGAAGCGTTCTTTTTTTGTAAAGTTCAAATCCATGATCGGAATATTTATAAAACTATTTGTTTTTCTAGCTGCCGATAGTGAATTAGTATTCGAACACGGTGAAATATCAAAAATTATAGCTATACCAATTATGAACGATCTTGATACCGAAAAAGATGAAACATTTGCTGTTGAATTATATAATCCAACAGGTGGCGCAACAATAGGCAAACACGGAAGAACGGTTGTGACAATTATCAATGATGATAGTAAAGTTTATTTTCGAAGTCAACAAATTTAATCTATGCTCGTTTTTTTCTTCTCTTCTTGTTAAGATTATATAACCATGGCAAATAAAATGGCATCACTTGTTCAAGTTGATATTGATAAATTAAGTGTAACAAAGACAACATGGGGACAACAATTTAAAGATGCTATGACTGTCAATGGTGGCGATTTAGAAACAGCAAAATTCCTTCATTATGTTGGTCATACATTTTCATTTTTTTGGAAAATTCTCTTCGCGTTTGTACCGCCAACATCAATAGCTGGCGGCTGGCTAACGTTTTTCGTTTCACTTCTTTTCATCGCTATTCTAACGGCTGTTGTTGGTGATGTTGCCGCTATATTTGGTTGTCTCGTTGGATTAAAAGATAGCATAACAGCTATATCATTTGTTGCACTTGGCACATCATTACCTGATACATTCGCATCGATGATTGCAGCTAAAAATTCTAAAACAGCCGACGATGCCATTGGCAATGTAACAGGATCGAATAGTGTTAACGTATTTCTTGGTCTCGGTCTACCATGGCTTGTTGCTGCCGTATATTGGGAATCAAAAGTAAGAAAATGAAAAGATAAAAATAAGACATTCATAATTGTTTTTTTCTCTCGTTTCAAGAATCTTCCATTTACTGTCAAAGCAGGCGACTTATCATTCAGCGTACTCGTCTTTTCTTGCTCTTGTATTATTGGCATGATTCTACTAACGCTTCGTCGATTCTTAGGCGTTTTTGGCAAAGCTGAATTGGGTAAGCTCTAGCAAGCACGATCTTATTTTTTGTTTCATTAAAATTTATTTATTTTCAGGCGGACCAACGATACCAAAATATGCATGTTCAGCCTTTTTTGTATTTCTTTGGATTTGTTATTTGACACTATCGGGTCTTCAAGCGTATGGACATATTTATTGGGCAACTTAAAAGTATAAACAAGAAGAGATTAGTTAAATAAAATTAAAATTAAAACTTTTTCTTACATCGTTTTGTTCCTTTTGTTGTATTCATTTTTATTACATTGCGCGTCTGTGATTATATATACGCAACAGAAGGAAAAACAAAAGTGATTAGATTTTCTTTTCTTTTTTTTTGTATGAAAATAGCGATTGAAAACATTGCAGCATTAATTCATTCTTTCTTTTATTTATTTTATTGCGAAACAAATTAGTGACTAGATGAATTAAAAGAAGTATTCAAGTAGTTAATTTTACTCTTTTAAAAGTAAACTCAGGATTGTGCAACGTTTGTTTTTCTTCTACATGACTCTTTTCATATATTGTAATTCAACGTTCCTTTCTGTTCCTTTGCTTTTTTTTGAAAGTGACAAGATCAAGGAAGATCAATGGATTATTTTCTTGTTGATTTCCATGTGTGTGTGCTTTTCTTTCGTGCCTCTATCTATTCGTCCTTGAATACCTATCTATATATTCATTTCAACAATATCGTTTACTAACACTTCATGACTGGAATTCAATAGGCAACATGCGTTGAACTATTTTTCTTGTTTTTTTGTTCAAATAGATTAAGTTTGGGAATGCTAACATTAATATTAGTCTTTAACTTTATTGGTTAAAAGAGAAAAGTTTTCGATTTCCAGGGATCTAATGGATTTATCTATGGACCGAATCTGAAACATCTTCAATTGGAAGAGAAGAAATGTCTTGAAAACGGGATATTTACGTAATATCTCATAAAATTTTAAGACATCTGCGTTTTGACTATTTCAATCCAAGTTTGTCTCACACTATGCGAAACATCATGAATAAAGAGAGAGGTCCAGAATAAAGTTTGCTGGTCAAAATTATCATTTCTGAATATTTTCTATAGCACAATCGCATATTAAGATCGATATTTTAATATGAAACACGTTAAGTTGCATGGCATATCACGCAGCTTATTGTGTACTCAAAAAGTGAGTACACCATAGATTTGGCCAGTGTGTCCATTACCACGATAACTCTTGAAAGCCTCATCCAATTGCCATGAAATTTTGTACACACAATGATCTCATCAATATCTCAGTCGAGTTCGAAGATGAGAGGGATCCGCCAAGAAATGACTGAGTTATCGGCAACATTACCATTATTGACCAGCCAATCCCTGAGGGGGATACAGAGATTTTTTCAAAAAAAATTTTTTTCTCAGAATTATTCGTAACATATATAAATCGACTCAGTTTTTGCAGTACACATAACAATCGTATGCAAATCCGATGTTTCCGCATTTATATTATTTTAGATTTAATGTATTCATCTAAATCAATATTGTTTAAAAGCTTTACAATCAAAATTTTTTGCGTTTTCGAGATACTTCTGATCAATACTTCGCTAATATTGATTTTGAATAAAAAAACATTTCGAGTTGAACCTGATGAGAAATCGTTTTAGAAACATTCAAACTCAGTACTATGTTTCAAATGATAAATAAGTAATAGCGAAATAATTTTTGTCGAAGCCCTGAAAATTTTCATCAACTATCGATTGTAGCTACATATTGATGATTGCGATATTTCATATCCATTGAAACCATTCAAAAAGATTTTGCAAGCTGAAATTCATCGTTTATCTAGAAGCAAAACCACATTTTAGAATAGTAATGTCGAGACATAAGTCGATATGTAAAGGGTAACGGTCTCCGCGGTATCTGCTGAATAGAAGGTCGCGGTCGTCTAATATGATGAAAGTAATTAGTTTAAATGTTAACGTTGGATGAAGTAAGCGAATACGAATTTCATTAAAAATGGACACGCAAAATCCACTTCCATAATAAATTTTTATTTTTAACTATTTCGTAAATGTAGTTGAACAAAATTGACAAACAACAACTTCCCTTAAAATGATAATGATTAGTTAAATAAAAACAAGAGCTAGTTTAAATTGTTGGGTACTGGTTCTATTTATATAAGCAAATATCTACATTAATTTTGTATTCATCCAATTCTCTTTCTGTCTGTAGAATTATGTTAGTCAGATTCGTTGTTTAAGTTCTCTCGTCATCGTTATCATCTAGAGTTCTACGAGATTCGTTATTTTCTTCAGGAGAATCAGCCCTTTCAATTTCACGACCATCTAACTTATTTTCGGCATTCGCAGTTTCGTTGTCTATAAAGCGTTCCTCTTCTTGAAGTGCATCACCGTTCTCGTCAAGTTTACATATCAGCATCTCGTTGTTCTCGAAGTGCTAAATGAGGCAATTCCATGTGTTGCATCGCAGCATCTTCTACATCTCCAGTAACAGCTCGAGCTCCAACTTTGTTGTCGATAATAAAACTCCTGAATACCAATAGACAAGCAAAAATAATACTGATCGAACTCAATTGAATCTGCATCTTGAATAACAAAAATCCCTAGGAAAGGCAATAGTAAAACACTTTATCGTTTTCTTCTTCTGTTCAACTTGCATGCTTTTGCTTTTGATGCCTACACTACTCACGCCGTTTTTTCCCTTTCTATCCCTCTCTTATGTTTTTAGTTTGTTTTTGATTCACAATCGACGCATGAATACTAAGGAAATCAAACACTGCATAAGTAATTCGAAAAATACAATAGCCTTTCAGGTCTGTGTACACGCATGAATTATGGAAAATCATATGCAAGATAATTTTAGAAGAACTAAAGCACATAGTAAACATTCATGAATAAAAATAAGGGTTTTTTCACAGACAAACGTCGATTGTTTTTACTTGGATGATTGTCGTAACTATGCAAGCAACGATTTCTATTTACGCAAGAAGTCCGATGCAAAAATCTTCTACTAATTGTAGATCTATTCCAAAATTGAACAAAACGTTTTCGACATGAAGTCAACGCTACGGCATATGTTTTACAAATAACAGAAAGTCACAAACTTGAAAACTTGATGTTGCTGAGCCGAATGATGGGAAAAAACCAATTGAAGGAAATTCTCTATTTGTTTTGAAAGATCAAGATATGCTTTTGTACAATTTAACTTGAGATTATAACTCTTCCTGCTGATTGCATATGACTCACAGGTGAAGAAAGGACCGTACATATTATCCTGCAAATTTACACTTTCCCAGTATTCCTAAGAATTTTTGTAGAGCAATTTTCTAGAAAGTAAAGCAGCAAATATTTTTTATTCTACAAGTGTTATTAAATTGAATAAGTAAACGTAATGTGTCGTATTTTGCCAGACTACAGCGAAAGTAACAAAATTTAATATACGAGAAAAATTTTCTGTCATGGGCTCTTTATGGTCCGTAATGCTACCTGCTTGTTTTGACTAATTATGAATTTTATGTTTTTCGAATGATCTATTTCTTTTTGTCAATCTTTCTATAATAAACTACTGGGAGCAGAATAGGTCTCAACAAGGTACCTGTACAAGGCTGCGTACAACGAAACGATACGCTTGATTGCGTTGCGCATACAACCGATCTTACGTGCGAAAGAAAAACAAAAAAAGAATATATCTATATAATGGAAACAATAAATCAACTTTGCATTTGTTTTTCAGTTATTGAAATCGTTCTTGAAGATAATCTCCTTGAATGATAGCACGATATACATGGATTAGTTCTTCAATAAAAGCACTATAAACTAATTTAAAAGAAAACAAAATCTATTAATATCGCAATGACATTAATTTTGATACAGTCATTAATGTTTTTCAGCAGGCCCTCGCATATCATCATGTAAATCATAATGAAAAGAGAAAAGTAGACTTGTACACATTTTCATACTTTTCAACGTGTTCGTCCGGCTGTTGTAAAGTTGTAGATATTTCTTTCAATCAAAAGCTAGGCGAGTAATGTAATTCACTTCTCGTACAACGATTAGTTTTCCTTTACACAATAAAACCACTGAAATAGTCATTGCAGCTTTTTTCAAAATGTGCATCATGCATCGATCCCTTCTTGATTCTGGCGCGAAGAATTAGTCATAATTATGATCGTATTTTTGCAAAAAATCATGCATGATTATATCTTTTATCTCTTCAAAAAATGTCAACCTAATTAAAATTTCATTTGTTAGTTGGCCATTAGCAGAATTATGAATGTTTGAAACTGTTCTCTATGTCTTATTAAGAAAACATGTTGAATCTAATGTAAATATATTCTTATCGTGCCTCTTCTTCTGCATATGTTATATAATCAATCTTTAGATTGATTGCTTCTACTATTATACTTTAAATGCAACGTGTCAAATATAAAGAAATTGCTTCGAGCATACTGATTTTTAGACATGATAAAAGACGCTGTTGACATTAGATCAAATGATGCACTTCATACATTTAGAAATAAGGTGAGCACTTGTTAAGGGCCTTCGATTTAATGCGAAACTAAGCAATTTCTTTTCTTTTTGGCCTAATTTATCATCAGCAATGCTCTGCTTAAGAAGCCAAATGTGTTCCTATGCTTTAGATTTCTGTTCCAAGAAAGTTGAGCATTGCTTTAGTCAAAAAAATGAATTTAAAATCTATAGAGGCGTCACATAGCGATAATATAATTATCAGAATCCAAAAAAAAGCAAAGAGAAATTGTAAATATGACATTTTTTCAATGTACACGTTCTTTTCTTTTCATTTATTGCCAACAGAAGAGTACAAAACGTATTCATACAGATCTCTTTGTGTTTTATTACTCGTCGAAAGAATATTTACCTCGCAAGGTTCTTTGTTCTATTTTATCTTATATTTATCTAGGTGTTCTTTTTTGTTTCTTTCCTCAGCAAGTAAAACCGCTGGTCGTTTCGTTCCATCTGTATTCGTGAAAGAATATTCGTTCACTTTCTATTTTGCGCTGCTGCTACTGCTTTTCTCTTAACTGTAGACTAAATTCAGTCATGAGCACGATTGACGCTGGGAAGTTTAATGTAAACTTTTCTTTGAATTGTAACTATAAATTTGTTTTATTTTAAGTTTACTACTTTGAATAAATAATTCTCCTACAATGGATTTCACTAACGTTATCGATAATGCAAAAAGATTTGCCGGCAAAAGACAAAAAGGAGACAGCTATGATGATCTTCTCATAGATCGACTTCACAATCGGTACACAGTTGCCGTATTAGTTTGCTTTTGTATTGCCGTTTCGACATATCAATTTGCTGGTAAGACGAGAAAAAAAGAAGTCGGTAGATTTACAAAAATGCTTCTCTATGACAACAGGTCAACCATTGGAATGTTGGGTTCCGGCTCAATTTAATGGCAACTATGAAGATTATACAAATCTATTATGTTATATACAAAATACATATCATGTACCACGGCATGAGATAATTCCAAAAGATCCTGAACTGCGACGTGAACGAACATTAAAATATTACCAATGGATTAATTTCGTTCTCTTACTGCAAGCACTGTGCTTTAGTTTGCCACGTATAATCTGGCAATCGTTCAATGATAGAATTGGCATATCAATTGGAAATCTTGTAGATGTATCGAACGAGTGCGAATCATATGATGACGAAAATAATCGAAATAAAGGTTTGTCTCAAATTACATAGATATTAAATGAATCATGTCTATTTTTTGTACGCAATTTATTAGTGATACAGTATATTTCTGATTGTCTCGAACGATACCAAGAATATGTTAGTATCGCCCACCGTCCTGGTGTGTCGCTATTTGAACGTGTCTATCGTCGATTTCGTTTATTTTGCCATGCGCGTACCGGCTCATCTCTAGCGTGTCTGTATATATTCATTCGAATTCTTTATATATTGAATTTAATCTTGCAAATATTATTTCTTCAATATTTTCTCAGTTATCATGATATAAATTATATTGAATATGGTTTTAATGTATTTAAAAAATTACTTTCTGATTTTTCACTACCCGAAAGTCGATTATTTCCGCGTATAACATTATGCGACTTTCAAATACGTGAATTAGGCGAACGTCATAAATATACAGTTGAATGCATACTTGTAATAAATATATTTATTGAAAAACTGTATTTTCTATTATGGTTGTGGTTTGCAATATTGTTAATAATAACAATTTTTCATACGATTCATATTATACATCAAATCTTTTTTCGTCATTCACGAAATCTTTATCTTGCCCAACATTTAGAATTGATTCCTGGAAGTCATTTAGCACGAAGAAAAGAATTTCGATACTATCGTCGTTGCTTTCCGATTGATAATCTTTTTGCTCTATGGGTTATATCAGCGAATTCAAATTCATTGATTATTGCAGAAATTATCGATGAGTTGTTTCAAAGAAAATTACGTGATGGTTCTGAGATTTAAAAATGAAATTACAAAAACAAAACGAAACAGAAAATCCTTTTCTTTTTACGTAGAATTGTTTTATTCAACAGATTAAATATACAGTTTAGAAGAATAGCGTTTGAAGATATTCTTCGAATTCGTCTTCTCTAAAATAGAAATTAATAAATAAATATTCAATGTAAAAACAAAACTACTGACCTTGTTGTCTCTCGTGCTTCTGCTAATGGTTGTGACCACATTTTACCATCGTCAGGTATCGTTGTTGTATCATCGTCAGTATCAAGACGACTTTTTTTCTGTACAGATACAGATTGATCGATTTCAGTGACTTCAGGCTCTGATTCTTTTTCTTTAGGTACAATTTCTTTCACTCTAAAAGCAAAAGAAAAATTGTTGAATTGTATGAAGCGAAAACAAAAGTCTTACTTATGACCAAAATGAAGTTTTTTTGTACATGATGGACATAATCCTTGAGAGGTGAAATTCAAAATTTGATTGAAATAATTTATCTTTGTACTTACTCAATTTAACTAAAGCGTCTCGTTTCTTTCCATGTTCAACATAACCGAATAGAACTTCCCAACTTCGTAAATGTTCTTTCTCGTCACATCGTTTTTCACCACAGATAAATTGACCTAAAACATAGAGAAAAAATTGATTGACATTTCTTCTTGTTTTCCATGTATGTTATAAGAAATTAAGAAGGCAGGCGACCAGCTCGAGGGCACCCGAGAAGTTTGATAAACACAAACGTTTCTGTAATTTGAAACTCCTGTAGAACGCTAACGACATAGATTGCTAATATTAACCCGGAAAGCTAATAGAATCTTTGTTGAAACATTTTTCTAAGTTTTCTTTCTCGGCTCAAATCTAGATAGTCGCATGGCTAGTCCTGTCATGGAAATCTCAGTACAAGTTTAAACATTGAATATCTTTTATTTCTGATTCGATCAATAGCGATTGAACTAGAATTGGAGCGATTGGGACCTCTGAATTTTTAACGACGTCATACGTTCAGAACAATTTTGAGTACGATAAAACAAATCTCCGACATTACCTTTTCCGCTTACAATTTCTCGATCGATACGCCAACGCATTGCAATTTTCTTCTCTTGCCAATGACTTAGGTCACATATACAATATTCTTTAAATAGTTTATCATAATATTTTTTAGCTAAACGCTTTTCCCTGAAAAAAAGCAAAACAGAGAATTTTTTAATCAAACCAAAATTTAATTACCATGTTTCTTCTGGTCCATCTTCTTCGTCGTCCCATAGAAATCGATGTTCACTGCGTATAATATCAATATCGGTTTTATCATTTGTACTAAGAATTAACAGCAAAAAAATCTTTTGATCAATGCAAGGAAACAAAGACTATTCAAACTCACTTACGTATCACGTTTAAAAACAGCATCAAATGATTTTTCTTTTGAATAATAACGAACATAATCATTGATTAGCCGTTTATGACGCTCAAATGCATTCATCGCCATAAATTGTGACCGAAATCGTTCTCTAGAAAAATTGTATTCAACAAATATTTTTCCGTACGATAGATAATGAATATAAAACCTATTCGAATTTTGTATTCGATCATCTTTTTGTGCGAGGCCAGTTGTCTGACGGAAAGTTACTTTTTCACAAAGATCGTTACGTTTTCGTCTGAAACAAATTAAATATGTATAAATAAATTTTATTAATCGTATTTTACTTTTTTTCATCGGTTTCATTATTATCAAATTCAGAATTGAGATCCGATACGTCGCCGACCTATACAAAAATCGACAGAAATAAATAGCCTATTAAATTATATTTCAAGGTACCGTAGCTAAATCAGCTATTCGTGCCATAAATTTCGAAATATCTTGAAAAAAAAAATTCGAATTAGCGCTCTTCGTGTCTATATCATCAGGATGACTTTTATAGAACGATGAAAAAAAAAAAGAAAATAACAGTCAAACGACTCATGCCGATGTGTAATTAAGCATTTCAGCCTAGACAATCGCATTATGTTGAATATTAAATTTTTCTTTCGCGAAGTTGCTGATTATTGGGTCTCTTCAAAATAAATAGGTATACATCCTCCGGAAGGCACGACTTCTAGATGTATTTAATCTTGTTCTTATTCATGCTGCATTTTGATAAAATATTCTTTCCAGTTATTAATTTCGATTGTTTTGTTTTTATATGTCGTGAAACATTCGATTGAGTTCTATCTAAAAAAAAGTATAATATCGAGATTTATAGTTTTATTATAAATCTTTTAAGAGTGACTACTGGAAATTTTCAGTTTTTTTTTCTAAACTCTAGATGATTCAAAGAATTGCCTATCTTACGTGAAAACTCTCTCCTAATTCATCAGAGAAATTTTTTACGATAACCTTTTTTTTTTGTTTGAAAATATTTCTTGTCTTTAACAAAAAATTTAGTCCTCGTACTTATAATATCTCGTGTAGGAAATTTCGACATCGAGCTTTTTGTATTTTGTAGCATTAAGAAAATTTTCTGATCAGACGTTCTCTAATAGTATCGGAAATGGGGGAGTGATCTATTAAGTGCTCCTCTATCGTTTTACAATTATCTGCAGATATTCTATAAAAGAAAAATCATGTCTTGTTTATTTTTTCGTCTTCATTTCTCTCTCTCTCTCTCTCTGTCGGTCATTAAGCGCCTGTTAAAAGAATTAAACAATTAAATTACATTATTCCTTTTCTTGAAGGTTTACTATTACAATCTTATGTAATTGAATCGCGTGCTACTTCAGTCGTTCTGACGATTTTCTTTTTTTGTGAGGGAAATTTTTTTACTCGTAGAACAAAAAAAATGAACATGTATCTTAATAAATAAATAATAGTGGATGGCTGTAGTACATTGTTATGTTAACAAAGCAATTGAATTCTACAGAATTAAAACAGAATTGTACCTCTTTTCATATGCTACCAACTACAACAACGACAATGAATAATTCACATGCTTCCTTAGTCAAATTTCGACGATACCCACCAAAAATATCTGATAATACAGTGGAACGATGTTATTTTGTACTAATTCATTTTTTCTTCTATGCTATTATGTTACTCATTGTCTATATTCGACTTCAGGAATTTAGTAGTAGACAAGAAGCAATAATCACTGTTATTAATGCAAATCATAATTTAAATTCTCATCATACTCCTCGCGATCAATGGAATAATCAAAAATTGTGAGTTTAAGTAAAAATTTATTTTCTTTTGTCTTCTTCATCTTAGCTTTTAGTAGTAGTAGTACCAATTGTTCTTGCCATATATTTTTACATCCAACACAAGATCCAACTACACAATGTTTAGAATTACATTTTGGATTAAATGAAACAATATCGAATGTTTTCTGTCCGATACTACGTAATGATCAAGAATATTATGAATGGGTTGTTGTTCAAAGTCGACAAACTAATTCAATTAGTTTTAATCGATCTTGGCTCGAATATCGGCGAGGCTTTGGCAATAGTTTAAATCAAACTGACTTTTGGATTGGAAATGAAAATCTCTATTGGTTAACTAATAATTATCAATGTCGTCTTAAAATTGAATTAACCGATTGGTACAATGAAACTCGTGTAGCAACCTATGAATTATTTCGAATTTCAAATCAAAGAGATGAATATAGATTGCAAATCGGAGAATATAACGGAACTATGGAACCGTATAATAAGGCTGATAGTAAGTTATTTTATAGAGAATAAAAAGAATTAATCGTCGATTTCTACTTATAATCAGAGTTATCAAATCTCCTGATTTTTCTCATGTGACAATTAGCTTCGTTTTGAACCTATAGCGATTTGCAAGAGAAAAAAACAAATCTACGGGAACGTTAAACTTATATATGGAATGATAGTCGCAATCAGATGAGCCATGATAATGAACACTCATTTTCAGTGTTGCCAGATGTCGAACTTGAAAGTCCGGAAACTTGTGGAGCTTTTTTCAAATGTTGAAAAAATGCGGAAAGGTTTTTTGGGCTCGTGTTTTACTCTAACGGATTCGAAACAAAGATACTCTTTACACATATCTACAACATATATTTTAATAAAAAAGTGCACATCCAAGAAGGCTGCCTGATGTCAACCTTGAAAATCCAAAAAATTCCGAAATTTGTTTTTCGAAGCATATATTCGATTGTTAGATTTAAGTAGTGTCCCGAATTGTTGAGTAAATTGGCTAAGTAGTTTTTACTATGTGTTTAAATGACTTTTATGAAATCAGCATTCTAATTCGCCTACAAGGAAAATTTTCAGCATCAATCCCATTATAGGAGACGAGGTTAATGCGTCTATGAGTGAAAAATCGGAAGTTATCAGATAAAAATCATCGATTGACTGTTGAATGCCGAAAAAAAAGCACTCCTGATTTAGGAAAAAAATTCTCTGATTACCAAAAATTTGAATTGGGTAACCCTGGCTATAATAGTTTAAGTGTACACATCGATAGTAAAACAAAAATTAGAGAAATCTTATATTAGCAAACAACTGCTAGTTATGTAACAATTACGTTTCATTCTTATGTAAGAACTACTACCTGATTGCAATTTCTGTGCGATTCAGTACAAGAATGACACAATCTCGTTGTAATGAGCATCAGCAACTATGTCCTAATTTTAACTCTTCGAGTGTAAAAAGTAAACCTAGCTAGCTGATCATGTTTCGTTCTTGCCGAGATGAGATAATGTGCATCAAGAATACTACGAAAAAATGACTGGATCGAGTGAAAACTTCGTACAAACGCAGACCTAGTTTATTGTTGAATTACTTCTATAAAAACTTAACATCGCACGAACATATTTCAAGTGCCTCTTAAATAATGCAGGTCGATATTATGCACATTCATTCGTTTCTCAGAATGATTAATCATTCGAGAGACCTGCGTTCTTAACACGATTTTTTTTGTAAATAGGTTTTTCTCGTTGGCATCATAATTTTCCGTTTTCAACTTACGATCATTATGCTGTAGAAAATGTTAATTGTTCGAACTTACATGGCGGTGTTGGTTGGTGGTTTCATTCCGGTACAGAATGCGCACACGTACAACTGAATGGACGTTTACCCACACGTACCGATGGACTTGTACCATTGAATACAGGCATTCTATGGATAGGCTGGAGAACTGATCGACACTATTCATTTCAACATGTTCGTATGTTAATTCAACCGAAATTCAAACTTCATCGTCGTCGACGACGACGACGACGACGATAAATCGTTGTTCTGTTCATAGAGTCCTGGGTTTTTTTCATACTTCATTTTTATTAGTTGATTGTATTATTTCATGATCTTGTAGCTGAAAATAAAATAGCAGAAAAACCGTAATGCTCAGTTTTTCAATCCTTCATCCATATGAAAGAATATTGAAATGAAAATATGAATTTTTTATTTGGTTTCCACCAGTGTGAAAGCAGATAGTTTATTGTTATCTAAAATAAATAATTATCCTTTTTTTTCTTCTTCTATTCAATTCAAGTGTCTCTGAGCATGGATTAAAATAATGAACTAAATAAGATCCACTACATAAACTGATCATTGGAGAAGAAGAAAAACGAAATAAATTTATTTTTCATATTAGAATATTGATTCGATTACATATTGGAGTATATTTGAATACAAAAACAAAACAAACAATACCGATCAAACGTTCTTTCTCAAATACAAATATACAGTGAATCGAAAAAAAATGATATGCCGATTTATAGATTTCCTTTTTCTAGAATTGCACGATACAAAATTCCGCAATAACCTAAACACACAAAATTTTGATTTTTAAAAATTCCTATTATTCATGTTCTAACTGAATAGACAAGACAAGTCATTCTTTTTCGGTTCGCTGCATTGCACAACATTAAAATAGATAAATAACTAAAGAGATATATGTATATAATTCTTCTTTTTCTTTCTCATCGAAACAATGGACAATAACAATAAATGAATACTAAAACTAACATCTATTCTTTTTTCTTTTCAACTTCTTCATTAGGTGTTGGATGATCTTCATAGGCAAACATTGCTGTCCAATCTCTGCAAAGCAATGCTGTTAACAATGGAAAACCGACACAAAGTGGTACAATATAAAGTAAAGCCGGTTGACCATGTTTAAATATTTGAAGTATAAGAATTGTTATTAACAATGCAATAACATACGCAACAAATGAAACATTAAAGTAAAGTGGTGATTTTGATTTACGCGTCATATCATAACGAAGTAATAACGCAATAAATGCTCCGGGAACAACAATATCACCTACGCGAAGAAAAACAGTTATCATACTTTTGTTACTTCCTTATGATAGAAAACCTACCGAGTCCAAGCATGGCGAATTTATTTGCTGCAAATATTCCACTTTCAAGTAAATCTTGAGGAAAAATTAATTTGATTGGTGCATCAAATGATTTCGCGACGGTAATCATAACTGAAAAGAGAGAATGAAATATTATTCTTTAGCAAAACAAAAATAAAATTCATCCTTACCATTGGTGCCAAAAACCCAAAAGATATCGTAGATAAATAAGCCACCAAGTAAAACACATCCGTTGAAAACTCTGAATTATAAAAAAAAAGAATTCAAACATTTTCTAACAGACTAAATCTTCGATCATTACTTATTGAAATGAAGAATTTCAATTGCATTTAACGAAAAAGCAATACCAAATATATTGTTACTTATCCAATGACGTTTGAGTAAATACCAAACACCAATTAAAACACAGAAGAATAATGCGATTATGTCCAGAAAATTAAATTTAAAATCTATATGCATTATATCATTGTTTGAAGTATTATTCTCGGATAATTTCAAATGAAATTGTCGTTCACGAAGCTTTTCCAATGATGGTAAACGTATTCGATCGACAATTGGATGTATGGCACGAAAGAGCGCAACAATTCCAATAACGAAAAAATAGATATTTAAAACGAATGTTATATATTCTTTTGAGACAAGTAATATAACAACGTAAATACCAAATAAAAATCCACTTGCAATAAACGGAAACATAGCAGCTGGAAAAAAAAAGAAATTATTTATTTTTTCCGAATTTCAAAAATCGAATTTTTCCTACCATCTTTAGCTGTAAGTACTTCAGGTTTTTCTCCGGATTTTTTTTGTTTATCCTGATGTGTTATTGATCGATATGAACCAAAATAAACGCATAGAAGTGCAGAAACAAGCAGAAACGAATAGGATAATAACATTCCTTCAGTGCTGGCCACAAATATTTCTTTATCCGTCGTATTTGATCCATTGAGAATATCAAGTAATGGTAACAGAGTTTCGTTTTCAGTTGTTGCAGCCATGTTATCGTTGAAAATGATTATCGGATTATTGTTTATTACTGACTAGTATCAAGCTTTCAATCGGTCCACGATGCACTTTTTCTTTATTCGTAGATAAGAATTAACCAATCATCAATTGACACAGATGTCTCAGCCATCAAAAATAACTTTAAAAAAAAAGAATTTATTTTTCTGTAGGCGTGAGAGTCATATTAAATGATGCTTAAAAATATGTAAATTATGTTTTTGATTGGTAATGATGGCATAGGAAAAATAAAAAGCGCCCAAAAATCTGCTTACTCAATTAAAAATATTGTTATTAGTTAAAATGACGTGTAAAAGCAGTTCCACTGGGAAAAAAACGTGTGAAACTCCCATATGTTTGTTCGCCTTGTCATACAAAAGATGAATCATATTTTTATAGCCACCAATTTAACTGACACTACTAATTGTATCTACAGTGTGTTTCAGCACTTTATTATGTACATTTTTTTCCTGATTTATAGTATTCACCACCGTGAAACAATTCGAGGAAAATAGTATCATGTTGTTTGTCTCGGGTTTGTATTGAAATTTATCTTATCGAATTTCACATCAATAGTCTTTAAGGTTGAAATTAGTCGTATAACTTTAATCTTAAAACAACAATCAAAATTCGGTGTCAAAGGTAGATGCGAGTTTCGCATTTACATCGCACGATTAATACAGAAAAACTTTATCGTAAATAACAGTAGCGAATGCAACAAGGACATAAGCAATAAATCTCATTGATTGCTACAGAATTGAAAAAGCCTTGAGCGATCACAAACAAGAGAGCTGTTGCATTAATAGTTTTCTAAATGTAATTATCGCCTATTTTATGGATCAAATAAATGCATGATTCCGAAAACGATGTATACTTGTTTGAATTCTTCAACAATCGCCCCTATCGATATTGTTGTTTACCACCAACATGTTGTATTAATGTTTTTTTTTTAGCATTATTCATTCTCCTACTTGAAATTGTAAATTTATCATTTTATTCCTTTTGAATTAGTACAATCATATATAATAGAAAAATGATTGTTGATCGAAGTCCAAGATATTTTTTCGAATAAGAAATAATATTTACAACTATGATCGGCTTTGTCATTATGTATTGAGTTTCATTTTGATGCCTCATATTTCTAAATGAATCATTTTAAAGGAGAAAAAAAGCACTTGACCAATCATTGCTAAAGGCAGATGGCATAGCCACTGTCGATCATTGGCGCTTAGAAAAGTCTCATGTCAATCAATACCTAGAAAAAAAAATATAAATATCAACCTTACTTATTTGATAAACAGTTAAGATAGAACAAAACAAATACGTATCCATGTCGAAATCTATGGACAAAAAAGTCCAATCTATTATTAAACAATGTGAATCTTTATCTATTGACGATATTGAAAAACTTTCAAATTATAAAAAATTACAAACTATTATTTCAAGAAAATCTCAAGGCAAATTTGATATTTATCTTGTACTTGCGATTGTATTTGGAATGCTCAGTTTGATTACAACAGGTATATCACAGTTTGGCACTGAACATTTTCTTCATTATGCATATGACAAAATTTTCTCGATCGATATTTATCGCGAAGAATGTCTTGCGCCGAAACTTGAATCTCTCATTGATGCATTTCGTCCACCGACATCCTGCGGTATTTGTCGCAATGTGGATCACATCGAACGCATATCAAATATAACACGTGAAGAATTCGAAGAAAAATATGCTTATACAAATCATCCTGTTATAATAACTGATGCAACGAAAAATTGGTTGGCAACAGAAAAATTTAGTTTTAAATTTTTTAAACGTCTTTATCGAATGAATTCAAGTGCACTTCGAGCCGTTGAGGAACATTGCCAATTTTTTCCCTATAAAAATAAACATGAATTTGAAACATTAGGAGATGTTTTTGATATGGACCCAGAACGAGCCTATATGATCGATGACGATTATCAGCCGTGGTATGTTGGTTGGAGTAATTGTGATTATTCAACTGCTTATCTTCTTCGGCAATATTATTCAAGGCCCTATTTTTTACCCGAACAATCAGAATCCAGTAAACTTGATTGGATTTTTATGGTTCGTTAAACAGATAAAATAAATGTAATTTTTAATTAATTCTATTGGTTGTTTACTGTAGGGCACGCCGGGATTAGGTGCACATATGCATATTGATAATGTAGATCTACCATCATGGCAAGCACAAATACGAGGACGAAAACAATGGACTCTTCGACCTGTACCGGAATGTTTATTTTCTTGTAAAGAATTTAATTTTATTGTTGAACCAGGAGAAATTATTGTACTCAATACAAATGTATGGTATCATAAAACATTTGTTATTAGCGAAGATGAAATAAGTATTACAATTGGATCTGAATTTGATTAATTATATGGTGCTACTCTTATTTTTCTATCTAGTCAATTTATATTATTTTTCTCTTATTTGTATCGAATTTAGTAATATTATTCTATAATAAGACAATAAACTTTTCGAAGTTACTCAATGTTCTATTGAATCGAAGATGGTAAAAAAAAGAAAACTATCTCTAATATTCGTATAGCATTATTTTTAGAATTCTATCGAAGAACGTTCTTGTGATTTCGATGATTTTTTGTGCCTTTAAATACTATGGATTTCTATTCTAACAAACTGCTAGATTGAGAGTATTCCTTTGGAAATGAAATTTCTTTAACAACGGGTTCAATAATATCAACAAGTTATTGTAATATATGTCAAAGAAACACATTAGGTTTTTTCATTATCAAATACTGTTGGATTCGTTCTTTGTTTTAACTTTTAGACATAAAACCAAAAGAATTTATTGCATTGTAGAGAAGAAAAAAATGATTGCTTTACTGTAAGAAAAAAAGTTTTTTAATGATTTGTTTGTTAATTAGAATATTCATATGGTGGTGGTTCTTCAGAATGATCATCCGATGATGTTCTGGTACGCGGTATCATAGTCGGCTTTTGCCAAGCTGTTGGAGAATTTTCATCAGATATTTGTTTTAGTAGTTCTCGTTCTGATTCGGCTACTTCCCTGTCAATAAATAATTTGCCTGCGAATGTTATAATGCTCAGTACAAAACAAATGGCGGATATTATTGTGGCTGAAAACAAAAACATGATTATTTTTTTTTCACTGTTTTCTATTCATTGCTTACCACTCATTAAATAATCCATGGCTCGACCGGAACGAAACGAGAGAAATTCTGTTCCCTCAAAAAATCTTCCTGGTGTATAAAATTTTGTTAATCTAATAAGGTCTAATATCGATACAAGAATACACAAGAGAATAAGAGTAAATAAGCATGAAGCCCAAATCAAACCGACAATGTATCGTAAATAGCAATTATTTGTATTGTAAACTAAAAGTATAAATAATACCCAGGATGGAAAAATTATTAGATTGGCAAAATATAATGCAAACGTATATAGTATCATGATCGTTTGAAAATGATGAGGTCGAGTTGTCTGTGTCCATGGATCGCATACAGTAACGGAACTCGGTTCCAATTTAACACAAGAATACCATATACCAATTGAACCTTCTGCAATTATTTGAGAATGTTGAACTGACAAATTTGATGTTGGTATTATATCGTCCAGATGAACTGCATCATATTTAAATAAACTATCCGAATTAAAACTTACTAATAGAAGGAAAGCTAAAATCGTTATGAGAAGACTAGTTAAAATTGACAGCCATTTCAAGATGGAATAACTGTTTGCTGTACCAATAATAGTTGCGATTCGACGCAAGTCCATGTATTTGTATTGAAGAAATTTAATTATTTATTTCATTGTTCTAAAAATGATAAAATAGAAAGAGAGATAGAATATAAAATGCATCGCTGCATTCGCGTTTGATTTATTCATTATGTACAATCATGCAGTCTACACAGAGATAGACGTTTGCCAATGAATCACATTGAAAAAGACAAGAAATTTCAACCAGCATACATATGAAGAATAGCTAAGCAATTGTACGAAATGTACACGACAGACAATAATTTTTGAAAAAAATCTATCAGAATAAAGAAAAACGCCACGCAATTATGTTCGTATTCAGCTGTAAAGAACTTCATCGTCCCTTTCATTAGACTTTTCTCGACATATCATCTCTTTACGAATCATAATTTATTAGTGTGTGATAAAAAAAACATTCTTTGTCGTTTTTAGTTTAAAAGCCCACACAACCATACGATTCGCATTCATGAATATTTCTCTCTCTCTCTCTCTCTCTCTTTGATTCAGTAGCTATGCATCAATGATTTTTCAGCAAAGAAAAAGAAAGACGAGACACACTTTTACTCTGTTTTACCAATTCTGCATCGAAACAAGCACCTCGATAGGTGTCGCTACATACCAATCATCACATTTCCATGGTTTACCCGGTTTGGATGTTATTGCACCATCTCAACTTATTTCAGTGCATATAGTAGATTGAATGCAGTTAATCATCGACTGGAAAGCGCGGCGTCTTTCTGTAACCGGAGCTACTTCTGGGGTCGGGTTGTGTGAATGACTTGCGGGCGGGAGTCCTGTTTGTCGTTGCTCTATGTTGATCGAGCGTCCGCACGAAGCTTGGCATCGACATGGTGGGAGTTGAGGAATCTCTCCTTCCAGGGCGTCTAAGGAAGGTTGAATCGGCTGAGGCGCGAATAGCGAGCAAGCCAAAGACCTCATGTTGAGCAGTCGTGGGATAGCGCTTGTGAATAGACAGCGGTAGGCAGCCCGTCCAATATAGTTGAACCACAATCTGTTTTTTTTTTATTTATATTTTTATTTATTATGACAATATATGGTATGTATCTCTATTTAGAATTTTTTTAATCTGTAAAAATCTGAACTATTATAAATATTTCTAATATATATATTTTATGACGAAAATTTAATACAATAGAAAAAATGAATTCTAATGCAGTAAATTTTCATTCACCATCGTAATATATCTGGAATTTTCTTTTTTTCTTTTGAATAAAATTATTAAAATTGAATAACACTCATTTTCTTTTGTTTTACTAGTGTAGATATCAATAAGACCTATATATCTATGATTATTTACACATCGATATGGTAGACATAAGCATATAGATTGATTTTTTTATAGTTTTAGTTTATCGAAACGTCTTGATTGACATCTGATAATAAAACTTCAAATCAATCGAAAATTAAAAACAAAATAGAATAGTAATTATCAAATCAAGTAACAAGCTTTAAAAAATCATGATAAAGAAGACGTAGCCATTTTTCCTAAAATTAAGATGAAAAATTGGTTGTTTATGTTATCTTTCACAATCAGAAGGATCCTTTTATGCATTCTCTCGAAATCATATTTTCCGTCATTTTTGAGCATTTATATTTTTTTAATGGAGAATAATGTTTCGCCATAATAGGAATAGGCATCATCTCTTATAGAGAAAAAGAGAATCACCAGGCAGTATACTTCGTAAAAGTAGCTCTGAATAAATTCATTTATTAAAAAGTGTTGCTCTGATAGATTGTTGTTTCCAACAATTCACACGATTTCGTCACTGCGACATGTATTTGATCAATAAAGATCATTTAACTCTTTGCTAAGTTGTAATAAGCAACTTCTGGGAAAAAAACGTTCTGTTAAATATTGTTAGCGTAGAGATGAATTGTGGAATTTGAATTTCGAGTCGGAGCCATCCTTGATAAACAGGTAACGAGAAAAAATATTTAATCTCTTCTAAAATGGAACGTTTATTTCGATGTTGATAATACCATGGAAGATAAAAGTAGTGTACTTACATTGTCTAGATTTAGTAAAATAATTTGAAGAAGGTTTACCGAAAAACAAAACCGAATGAAAAATAACTAAAAGGAGAACAAAAATATATAAAGGACCCCGCCGGATAAAAACATTTTCTAGCATCGATTTCATTTTTATACAGTATTGCAGAGCTCGTTGAGATACATCCAATGGTATATAGGAAGTCAAGTTTTCATAACGGTTTTGTGTAGTTACAGTCGATATACTATCTATACTGGCATAGGGATTTGTATGGTACTAATAGAAAATGTACACTCATATGATCAGCTCTAATGAGTATATACAGATTTAGTTTTATAATTCAGTTCGATACAACTATGAGTGGTGCTCAATTTTTCATATTTGATAGTTTTCATTTCGCTTCTCTGTACCCCCGCCCAGGGTGATAAAAGTGAAAAATTTTTTTTCGACTTCAAAAGGATCTATTGACGTCAAATTGTTGCGGAATGTTTGCTGATTATAGATGTATAAAAATTTCCAGAACTTATGCTGCACATTGTTGGAATATTGTCTATATACTGGGACCTCTATATGACAAAATAGTCGACTTTTTTACCACTATTTTCAAGATTGCCGACGAGCCCCTGCAGCTCAGAAAAACTGGGTCTCTCAAATATGTAGAGCTCAGTGACAGACAGTTTTTAGGAAAGTTTCACGTTGTTACCGCATTGTTCTACTGCACAGGACTGAAAACAGTAAAGTGCATTTTGGTGAAAAAATGTCATGACTCTTTTAAATATGAAAAATTGAGCACCACTCATAACTGTATCGAACTGAATTATAAAACTAAATCTGTATATACTCATTAGAGCTGATCATAGGAGTGTACATTTTCTATTAGTACCATACAAATCCCTATGCCAGTATAGATAGTATATCGACTGTAACTACACAAAACCGTTATGAAAACTTGACTTCCTATATACCATTGGATGCATCTCAACGAGCTCTGCAATACTGTATAAAAATGAAATCGATGCTAGAAAATGTTTTTATCCGGCGGGNTACACAAAACCGTTATGAAAACTTGACTTCCTATATACCATTGGATGTATCTCAACGAGCTCTGCAATACTGTATAAAAATGAAATCGATGCTAGAAAATGTTTTTATCCGGCGGGGTCCTTTCATTTATTTTACTATTCAATTAGTCATTACAATCGATCAATCCAGGCATTCTATAGATTTTTCTATTTTGATTCTATACTCAATTATCAAGTTTAGCTGTTAACAGCATTTCATAGATATTCAGAATAATTTGTTTCTTATGATTATGTTTTACTGTTGCATGAATTCTACGACACCACCAATCCATTTTTTTTGTATTCATCATCTCATTCTTATATGTGTGATGTAGTTAAGGTATCAATAATTCATCAACATAATCGAGAATACTGAGTTACTTTTGTAATTATTTTACATTTCTATCAGTTGAGTATATATCGATCACAGTCAGCCACATATTTACTAATATTTGTAAGCTTTGATTATTTATTTAAGTTATCATGAATTTCTCAGAAAAATTGAAAATAAATGCGTATTTCTTTCTTATCAATTTCGACTAGCTACTAGGATCCTTCGTTGCGTTGTTTTTCTATTTATCTTCAGAATGTTGAGCGATTCATAGTCTCGTTCCAAACAAGCCTTAAGAGATATTACAAACAACCTTTTCCTCGCATTTCTGTACTATATTGTTTTTGATTCATTTTTCATCGGTTCAGTTGTCGATGTAGTTCAATCGTCAACAGTATTTCAGAAATACGCACAATGTAGGTTTCGTGGGGATTTTCACATTCTTATGAAATTAGGTGCCTCCATGAGGACCCCCGCGCCCACACACCCTAGTTTCAGTCTCTAATTTTATTTACATTGAAGATGCGCATACTAGATCTGAAAATCATGTTTAAATTTCCATCGAAAACCTTGGATCAACACCCGAGAGCTTTCATTCGTTAAATTCTATATATCCTCATATTTGAGACACAGAAAACAAAGGCTTTAGCAGAAGAACAGAACGAATAATAATCCTTTTAATTTTACTTAATAAATGAAATCTATTTAAAAGAAAACAACATTTTTCCTAGAACAACATTTTAGATTATAAGTTTATCGTAAATGATCAAAAATGGTCTTGACACGAACATTGACCATTTGGATAAAAGTGATGAATACGATTAGCATCACGAACAACAATATCACATTGTTCAATTTTTGCTATCACTTTTGTAAATTCATCTTAAATATTAAAAAACAAATGTTGACGATTGATTGAAATGAAAATAATCGAATATCTAATTCCCAGGTCGAACAGCCCGACCTGGAAACGGCCGGTTCCGGGTAGTTCCGCTGATTTTGTGAAAGCAGTATTCCGGTTGGAAAATTTTCGCATTTTTTCCGGTGATTTCCGATCAATTCCTGCCGGAAAGCACCGGAACTTGGCAGGAATTTCCCGGAAAAGTCCGGCCGTATTTTTAACCGGAATACTGCTTCCACGTTCCAGCGATTTCCCGTGTTTTCCTGCAGGATATGGTGACTTTCCCGCATATCCCCTGAAGTATCCTACGGGATCCGGTGACCGGAATGTTCAGCCTGAGTTACGACAATGACCACAAACACGAAGATTTTTAACAGCTTGAATAAATTTTGGACAGGTTCTTGAATCAAATTCAATGCGATTACCAATAGTTCACTATGACCACATAAAACAGATTCAATTGTTTCATTTTCGTTTTATGAACGAGTTATCCAAGATGAATCAAATATGAAACCATTTTCAATCGCTTTTGATTTTAAACGATCAATTTTAGCATAGCTTTCAGTTGATTGTGGATGAGAATGATCATGAGCTTTAAG